AAATTATAGAATAATACTTATAAATATAACTAATTCCAAGAATTAATTCTAGTAAAAGACTTATTAATACCTTTTTCTAAAGCTAGGAGTATTTCCCTATATATTCCCTAGTATTTAGCCAGGTATATAAAGCCCTTTACTTAATTAGGAAATCCTATATAATTCATATAATTCCGATTATAAGCTATTATAATAGTACTAGCTAGAGGCTAAAGGGAAGTAGTTATTATATAACTAGTTTCACTTAGCTAGCTAGTATTTTAGTAGTTTTAGCTAGTATTTCCCTTTTTTTATTTCCTTTCTTTTTCTTTTTTTTTCTTTTTCTTAGCTTAGTATTCTTAATATATAGAATTTTCCTGAATCTTTAAGCCTTTATATTATTATCTTAATTCCACTATTATATAATACTAAGCTTACTTGACTCAGCCTATAGAGATAATATAATATTACTAGTAAAGGACCTATACTTGTCCTTAGAAAGTAAAGACAGAATTCCGCTTCTAATATTTAGTAATTTTCCCGAACTTAAAGAAGAAAGATATATTTTCTAAGACCTAGTTAATCTCGGAGCCTAGCCCTTAACTAAAGCAGATAATATCCCTTATTCTCTATAACCTAGTTAATCTCGGAGTTTAGTCCTTAACTAGAGCAGATAATAATCCAATAATTAGTTCTCTGCCGACTTAAAAGAAAAAAGACTTCTATTCTTTATAACCTAATTAATCTCGGAGTTTGGCCCTTAACTAGAGCAAATAATACCCTTGCTTTCTATAATCTAGTTAACCTTAAAGTCTGGCCCTTAACTAGAGCAAATAATATATTTTCCTTAATATTAATAAGAGTAAAAGAACTAATACTTTTTTTTAAGAATTAGTAATTCTCTAATTTAAAATAAGAGATATACTAATCGGTTTCGGATTCCTAATTTAAAATAGAAGAAACCCGGTAATTAGTTCTAGTTTACTAATTTAAAATAGAAGTAATTATCTTATAATTACTTCTTCTATAATTATTTCTTTCTTAATTACTTCTTTCTCGTTTGCCTCTTCCTTATTTGCCTCTTCCTTATTTGCCTCTTCCTTATTTGCCTCTTATATAGCCGCCTCTTATATAATACTATTATTTCTCTAATTTAGATAATTTAAATAATCCTATCCTAGAAGCTTATTTATAATATTCTTTTACTAATAATTTATTATCTGAGGAGACCGAGAGCTAATAAGATCCTAGTAAAGCTAGCTCTAGAGCCGAGTTTGAATTAGATATAAAGGCTAGTTCCGGTTTTATAAATAATTTGGATAGTTCTATAAATGGTTCTGGGAATGATTTGGATTTTATAGATAATTCGGGCTCTATAGACAATTCTATAGATAGTTCCCTAGATAAGCTTAGTTCTTTGGACGGTTTTATAGATAGTTTTATAAATAATTCTAGAGATAATTTGGATTTTATAGATAATTTTGGGTCTGAGGCTAGTTCTAGAGCCTTAGGTAAAGATAGAAATAGCTATTAGTTAGATAATAACTATTAAAAGCTAGCCGTTTTAGGGGTTTTATTAAAACCCTATTTCCTTTATATACCTAAATAAGAGTATTTAGATTTGGTTTCTAGAGAAGTAATATAATAGTACTAGCTAGGGGCTAAAAGAGAGTAGCTATTATATAACTAGTTTCACCTAGCTAGCTAGCATTTTAGTAGTTTTAGCTAGTATTTCCCTCTTTTTATCTCCTTTCTTTTTCTTTCTTTTTCTTTTTCTTAGCTTAGTATTTTTAATATATAGGATTTTCCTGGATTTTTAAGCCTTTATATTATTACCTTAATCCCGCTATTATAGCTATATCCAAAATAGGAAACTAGATCTATAATATCTAATACTTATTATAAAATAATAGAAAGTTATCTTTTCTAATAAGATAATAATTATTATTTCTACTAAATATAATATATAAAATATTTTATAAATAGTTAGGGAATTAGAGAAATATTATCCTAATTATATAAAAGTAATATTTTAAGTATATTTTATATATAATTATAAAGGGCTATACTATATTTATTATAAGGAAATAAAAGAGTAAAAGGAATTAAATTAAATAGAGATAAATAGAATTAATAAAAAAGTAGTAGAAATAGAGTATTATATAGTATTTAATATTTAAGAGAATATAAAAGAAAAGAAATAGGACAAGAAAAAGTAAAAGTAGCTAAAGAAGTATATAAATTAGAATATTTATTAAAAGAAGAATATATTTAAAAAGGAAGTATTATAAAAAGGAATTAATAATTTATATTATATATATAAAGTTCTTAAGCCTTTATTAATTCCATTTTAGTAAGAACTTATAATTTAATAATATGAACTAGACGAGTTTAAGTATAATATTCTTCTTTACTTTTTTTAGTAAGATAATACTTCTTTATATATAAGTAAATAGACCTAAAAAAGGCTTAAAAAGAAGGGTATTTCGGTATTTGAGTATATTAGGAACTTTCTAGAAATAAATATAATAGAGAGAGTTTAGATATCTCTGAGAATAGTAATTACTATAATAGTAGGATTAAGGTAATAATATAAAGGCTTAAAGATCCAGGAAAATCCCATGTATTAAGAATATTAAGCTAAGGAAAAGAAGAAAAGAGAGAAGGAAAGGAGATAAAAGGAGGGAAATACTAACTAAAACTACTAAAACGCCGGCTAGCTAGGTAAAACTAGTCATATAATAGCCATCTCTCTTTAGCCCCTAGCTAGTGCCATTATATTACTCTCCCGGAAACCAAATCTGAATGCCCTTATTTAGGTATATAAAGGAAATAGGGTTTTAATGAAACCCCTAAAATGGCCAGCTTTTAATAATTACTATCTGACTAATAGCTACCTCTATCTCTACCTGAGACTCCAGAACTAGCCTCAGACCCAAAATCGTCTATAGAGTCCGAATCGTCTATAGAGTCCAAGTCATTCCCAGAACCGTCCGCAGAACCAAGCTTGTCCAGGAAACCGTCCAAAGAACCATCCGCAGAACCGTCCAAATTATTGGCAGAACCGGAACTAGCCTCCGTATCCGATTCAAACTCGGCTCCAGAGCTAGCTTCGCCAGGATCTTGTCGGCTCTCGGTTTCCTCAGACGATAAATTATCGGCAGGAGGACGTTATATATAAGCCTCTGGGGCAGAATTGTCCGAATCGTCCAAATCGGAGAAGTAGTATTATATAAGGGGTGGCCGTACGAGAGGCGAATGAGGGAGAGGCAAACGAGGAAGGGGCAAACGAGGGAGGGGCGAACGAGGGAGGGGCGAATGAGAGAGAGGCAAATGAGGGAGGGGCAAACGTGAGACAGTTACTTCTGTTTTAAATTGGCGAACTGGAACCGATTACTGGGTTTCTTCCGTTTTAAATCGGGAACCCAAAACCGATTAGCGTATCTCTTGTTTTAAATCGGAGGATCGCCGATTCTTGGAGGGGGATACCGGTTCTTTTGCTCTCGTTAATATCGAGGAAGATATACCGTCTGCTCTAGTTGAGAGCCAGACTCCGAGGTTAACTGGGTCGTGGATGGCAAGGGCGTCATCTGTTCTAGTCAAGGGCCGAACTCCGAGGTTAACTAGGTCATAGAGGACAGGAGTCTTTCTTCTTTTAAGTCGGCAGAGGACCGACTATCGGGTTATCGTCTGCTCTAGTCGAGGGCCAGACTCCGAGGTCGACTAGGTCGTGGAGGACAAGGAACGTCGTCTGCTCTAGTTAAGGGCCAGGCTCCGAGGTTAACTGGGTCTTAGAGGACGTATCTTTCTTGTTGAATTGGTACTAGCTTACTAGTCCTTCCAGTACCAGGTTCAACTACTAATATTAGCTTCGCCACTCTCATTTATAATGGTTTACTATGGAAGCCTATGGAATAGCTCACTATGGAAGCTCAGGGAACGCTCACTAATATATATGAGTCATCTGATTTATAATATACTGGAGGAAATCGCCACCCACTAGTGGGTATATAAGAACTGTACTTTAGATTCCCTCCTCTCCTTTTTTACTCTTCACTCTCCTGTATCTAGTCATTTTACAGATTGTCAACCTCCAATATATCGATTTTCCATTAATAAATCGATCACTTTCCAATATTTCTTCTTTGAGTTCGGGAAGATTACTTACCGAACGTCAGGAGCGGAATTCTGTCTTCGCTCCCCAAGGATAAGCACGGGTCCTTTGCCGGCAGTATTATGTCGCCTCTATAGGCCGAGTCGAGTGAGCTTAGTATTATGTGACGGCGGGATTAAGGCAATGGTATAAAGGCTCAAAGATCCAGGAAAATCCCATGTATTGAGAATACTAAGCTAAGGAGAAGAAGGAAAGAGAGAAGAAAAGGAGATAAAAGAAGGGAAATACTAACTAAAACCACTGAAACGCCGGCTAGCTAGGTGAAACCAGTCATGTGATAGCTATCTCCCTTTGGCCCCTAGCCAGCGCTATTATAATTACTAAGGAATAAAATACCCCTTATATAATAGAATAAACTAATTATATATAAAAAGCTAAATAAAATAAGTTCTTATAAGATCGGATACATGGTTTGGTTATATAATAGGCTATAATAAATAATCTTATTATAGAGTTTAAAGGAGGGAATGAATTTCATGGATAATACTTTTGTTTTGGTGTAATTTACTATGGTGGGGGGGGGAGGTCACTTTGGTGGGGTAAATTCGCTTGCGGAACCAGTAAAAAATGGACGGATTTTTTCGCCCGTCGCCTTCGTATGGAGTGAACAATGATCTTGTTAATATTTGTAATTGCTATCCCAGACGTTACCAGGGGACGATGGGATTGACCCATACGACCGAACAGCTCTATAAGGGCCACGATGATGCGAGACTTGCCAGTGCCCCCTTCACTGCTAATGAATTGGCACAGCTGAGGAGTAAAGACAATACTCATTAAGGGGAAGCTATCGCGAGAACTGCTGTGACAACTATATATAGGTGCAGGGCATAACCCTAACGACTAGCTAGGCTATAAACCCCCTTTTTTCTAGATCTCTTTTAATAAATACCTCTTCAATAGAGTTAAAGACCAGCCGAATGTTGAACTTATCTGTGGTTTCAATAAGGTGTGGATATATGGTAAGGTTAGCTCGATTAAGTTTGGTGAAGCGCCACAGAATGAACTCTTCCGCCTTGTTGACGTCGCTACCTCCACTGTAGTCGGGGAAGTAGTTTGCAAGGGGAGCCATTCGTAGCTTCCGCCTGAAGCTGTCCAACTTGTTTAGGAGCAAGAAAACCGACGATCTCATAAACCATCGGGAGTTGACAATTGAGTCGAATAGGACTATGGATTCCATCATCTTATTTCGATACGGTTTTTCCAAGGAAACCTCATCGTACTCATCCATGTCCACGACAAAGAGAATGACGGGTACGTTCTCGAATGCGTGGATCCACTTTTTCATTTCGCTTCTTTGGCCGTTGACATCAACCATCTTTATGGAGAGGCTACCCATTCGGAATCGAGTTTCAGATATACCACTTGTCTTTATCCCCGCCCGTAGTAAATCCGTTTCATTCGGGAGATAGTCTGCAGACGAAATTCGGCGTATTCCTTCGAAAAAACTATAACTGGTAAGTAGCATTTTTAAAGCAGGGAAAAAGACGCCACGAACTATATTGCTGAGTCCATGAGGTAGAACTCAGCCTGCCGTTCCATGAGTGACCCAATGCATGCATCAGACCAGATAGCGCTCAGTGCATCACCAAATTCTTGGCCCAGTGGCAGTTCGGGATCGGGATCGAGTGTGTACTCAGCGATGAAGTCAACGTATTTCCGATTGGCCGGAATTGCTGGAACGATGCCGAATTGTTTCATGGCGCCGACTACAACCTTTGCGCTGTGGACGACATTCCTCAAAATGGCAACTCGGTAGTCTAATAGCTCCGCAACCGAGAAATCTGTCTGGTATAATATTTTCATTTGCGTCATTAGTTCAGACTTGGACTCGGATCCAAGCAACAAAACAGTGCAGTCCCTCCTCCACAACCGTCTCGCGTCCTCTTCAAGGGTGCGATCAATGGCGCGAGATCGCATTTTGGCCTCAGGCGAGCTTGGATACACCATGTAGGGTGGTCTCAGCTCTGGTAATGTGACGTTTGGTTTTGCTGGCGTTGATATGGAGACCTTTCTTGGCTCAGATTTTGAATGGGTCGGAGCAATCATCCCGTTCTGAGTGGCATGGTTGAGGTACTGGTGTTGAACTTGCCTGTACCATACCAACCCCGGAGTGTCGGCAATCGACGGGGGTAGGCGATGGTCGAGCATTCTGTTGACAGTCTCGACAGCCTCGACAATGTGTTGCGTATTTCCGGACGTCTTTAGCGTCGACTCACACTGCATCGAGAGGTTGCAAGCCAACTCTTCGAGATACTCCGTTTGAAGTTGGGCTGGAACTCTGTTCAATAGAGGGAGGCCGACCAATAATGGGCTATTTCGCTCAAACGCCTTTGCTTCTTGACGAAGCCTCCGACGGCTTTTCACTAGACACAGTACGCTGATCATGCGAACAGTGTCAGAGGCTTGACGGTTTTCTACCACATCTTGAAGCAAGGGCAATGCCTCGCGATACTTGCCTCGCCCTATGAGTGAATCAGCCAAGGCAAGCAGAAGATAGAACTGGTCCGGTCGATCCAAGAGCTCCGGAGATGATTGCCTCGCATCTAGGGCTGTTCTAGCCCATTTCTCGGCCTGACTCTCATCCCGAAGCATGTTGTAACAATTCGCCATCTCAGCCACAACGATGCTATATTGCATCGAAGTAATGCCATAGTGTGATTGGACGGCCTTCAAGGCTTTATCCAGGATCTTCACCGCGTCATCATAACGCCGCGATCGTGCGAGCAGGAGTCCGCTCAAAGCTATCGTGTCAACGGTGTTGGATACGGGCTTCCCAATGGAACTCAGAGGGGGGATGATTCCCAGGCCGTTGGCTGCAAGGTATTCTATCGTAGAAACTGATTCTTGCGATAGTGGACGCCAACGCGAGGCCTCTTTCGCAATGGCACTAGTGAGAATCTTTGAGCTTTCTACAACCTGTTCGTTCTCAGTTGATGATAATATACTCAGCGCTGATCCAATAGTCGCGTTGTTTCTTTCGCCAAGTGGATCTGGGAGTTTTGATAAGAAGCTGGACTGTAACGTTGACTGGCTCGAGTGTGCGACAATATCCATTATTTCGACAAGCATGTTGCAATAGACCTTGCAATCATGGGAGATGTCTGTCCCAGCGATGGCCAAAAGTCGTTTTGGAAGAGACGCGGGAAGAGAAAGGCGATCGTATCCAAGAAAGCCAAAAGTTTGATAAAGCAAATCAAAGAGGGAAAACAGGACTGCAATTTTCCTGAGGACTTGGGGTTAGACTAGGAAGAACTGCTCTAAGCTGACTTGATGAACAGCTTACCTCTCATGATCTCGAGGCATGAACAAGTCCTCCAGCTGTGAGTCCGGCAAAGATGCGAGTAGCGGCAAAACTGACGCTACCGCAACGTTCAGAAGTCGAGACGTCATTTCCTCCCCTACGATCTCAGTGTTTTGAGAAGGGAATGCATGGATGAGGACCGAGACCCAATCCTGGATCATGGTTGGGTCGTCCTCAGCCTGAGGCTTCTCAAGTAGACGGAGAGTGGAATCGGAAGTGATGTCTCGTTCAAGATACCAGATGCCCCGGTCTAGCGTACGGCGAACAAGGTCTCCTAGTACGGTCGCGCTGTGGCTGTGGAAAAAAGCTTCATTGGCATCATAGGTATTAATGAGCCATTCGGGAACCGACCCTTCACGGGGGCTTCTTAGGATAACCTCCCCGGTTGGTGACCAAACGGATTTCGGACGACAAGCTCGCACAAAGAGGTCGACTGGGAACTTGTCACACGGAAAATACAGAAGAAAACGGTAAAACATCTGGATGTTTCCGTCCATCTGATCGGTGGCCATGGGTGCCGGCTACTAGTAGGACTGGAGCGCATTTGTTGTTTGATGTTATCGTGAGGTCTCTTCACTCAGCCCAAGAAGTTAAGTGATGCAGGAGAAAGACCCAAGCCTGCATGTGGTGACCAAAAATGCCTCCTTACTGCTCATTTCAGTGGCCAGTTCGAACAGGGATCAGTCCATTGCAGCGAAAAGCCTGCTGTGCGACCTGAGAGGCTGACTCACAGCCCGCTTTTGCCCCATCACTGGACAGGAGAATAATAAGCGTGGCGCTCTCCAGCACTGGATGATCGGCCCAAGTCCTGTCGACACGGCAACAAACTTCAAAAAAACCAAATAATACTGCGAACTCCTCATATTTGTTGTCTGGATCCTAGGACGACTCGGTCAGTCGAGTCGCCACAGGGCATCACGGAAAACCCACACAGTGAACGGCCCTTGCGAACTGCCACCAGAATTTCCTGGCCAGGAAAAGATTGTGATGCCATGCATCGCATATCACATCGTTTTGCCAATCAAGCCGTGGCAGCCTTTTTGCGCACTGGCTCAGCCACTCAGGCGCCCATTGATCGAGCAAGCACGAAAATACGGCAGGCCCCAGCGGCTGCTCCAGACTCCTGAACTCCAAAAGATCGACAAACGACTTAGCTACTAGTGAAACCATGCCCGTTAGCAGCAGAAAGGCTCTCAAGGTTACTGGAATTCCTGAGGAAACAACGGAGATTGATTACCATGAATTCGTGGAATGCTTGTGCCAACAGACCGCGAACAATCACGAGTCATCCACAGCGGCTGGCGACAGAGGCGACAACGCTCCCTTCATCGTCTCTAGGAAGGGCAGTTGGACGCTTGCCCGTCAACATGAGCACCTAGTCGGCACCGTATCATTCCCGTCGCACAGCGACAAGATGAAGGCCCTCAAGCGGCTCGGAAAGAGGAAAGCGTCCTTCTGGAGAGACTGGAACATCGAACACGTGTTTAGAGGAGTAACCGTTCTTTATGAGAACGAGGCGAAAACGGAGTTCGTTACATCCCCTTGACCCGAAGAACTTTCTGAGGACAGAATCACTTACTGTCCCAGTATTTGCTTTGTCCACGGACTCGGGGGAAATGCTTTTGATACCTGGACAGTCTCAAATGGGGGTAGCATGTGGCCAAGAGATTTCTTGCCGTCGCCGAAGCACTTTCTCAACAGCCGGATCATGACCTTTGGTTATGATTCTGACTTGACAGATAGCACCACACTTGTGACGATGGAGAGCTGTGCACAGTCCTTGCTGAGAGGCGTCAATGAGGTGAGAAATTCGGACGAGGTGAGCGACCGCGCGGTTCTTTGGGGATAGAAGCTTGCTGATCGATGTTTACCAGGCAAGAAATCGCCCATTGCTGTTTGTGTGCCACTCTCTCGGCGGTCTCATCACAAGAAAGGTCGGGTTTACCTGACCAAAGAGTGTGCTGCAACCGATCAGAGGCTAACAAAACAGCACAGGCCATGGAACTATTACCCATCATGGCCAGCTACACCAACATCGAACTCGCCAAATGTGGGCTGTTATTCCTCGCTACGCCACATCTTGGATCTAAAAGAGCTGATTGGCCAAAGGCAATGCTCGCCGCAGCGGAGGCTATCGGGGGGGTCCGACGAGAGTGGGTGGACGTGCTGAAGTCATTCAACAACGATGCCCTTTGGGATCGGTTGAAGTACTTCAAACTGAAGCCTTGTCCGCCATTTCGGTGCTTCGCCGAGGGCGAGATGACTTCCATAAACCTCCTACAAAAGAAGCGCGTGAGTTGATAATTGGCATTGCCAAGACGTGAGCATCCGCTGATTCTGCTCCAAAGATTGTATCACAAAATTCAGCCTCTCTGACAGAGGAACCAGCCCCAATGCTCGAGGGTACTGACCATAGGACCATCGCCAAGTTTGATAGCGGAGCGACTGGCCCGTTTGTGTCGGTCAGTAAGGGCTTAAGCGATATATTGGAGGAAATTACTAACCGAAACGCGTCAAACCCGGCTCGTGGAAGTCCTGTATGAGCCTACATTCTTCCTAGGTTTATGTAATTTAATGATCGAATCTGACTGTCATCTCAGCTGTTCGGCCACCCACGTTTCCTTGCTCACGCGTATCCGAGAGAGGAAGGCAAGTATTGGTATGTGGGCAGCGGGTTCCCTGCAGCCCAGCAGCAACAACTCCAGCGTAGACCCTTCTTCGGACGGGGTGAAGAACTGGAGAAGTTCAAGTCAATAGCTGCTTCCTTGACTGGTCTTCCAAGATTGACTGCCATTAAAGGAATTGCAGGTATTGGGTATGCCGCCCCGTTCTCCCAGATGTATACTGCTGCGTTTCCTATCTGACATTACGTGATCAACCAGGAAAACTGAACTTCTGCTACAATTTATCATGTCAGAAAAGTCTAAGAGGAACGTGTTTTACCTGAAACCAGGTGTTTTCAAAACTGTCTCCGATGCCATTGTGGATATATCGACACAAATAGGTATCGATATTGTGCGTACGGCTGAGCATAGGGAAAGTTGGAGACGCGTCTCGCCTTCTGAACGCGCTGACGCCTTCTACACATGGATAGGTGATCCCTGCAACAAGGACTCGTTACTCATCATTGACGATCTTGAGGCATTTGGAGAGTCTGCTATGCAGACCATCCGTGAATGGCCGGTATGGCACATTGTCATTTCGACCAGAGATTCAGACTTGGGAGAAGATGATGAAGACATCCTCAAGTTCCGACTAGAGAGACTGGGCGACAACGACGTCATTTCAATACTTGAGAACCGACGCAATCTGCTGGGGCAGCAGGACGCCACGCTGTTTCGTCAGAGAGATCTCGAATCTCTTGCTCCCCTGGTGCATGGTCATCCAATGGCAGCTCGTGTCATCATCCGTTTCATCCTAAACCGCCTTGCAACCTTCGACAATCCCAGCAAGGAATTTTTGGAGATGTTTACTTGCAAAGATTTCGAGCGCAGGAAGGCTTTTCTCCAATTCAAAACTGACGGGTCATCGCTATGGGAGGCGTTTGATTCCTCCTTGGAGCGACTTCAGAATCACGACAAGGGCGGCCAAGCCTTGAAGCTGTTTCAATTGCTCCCATACTTGCAGTCGGACCACGACTGCATTGATGATTTTTTCAAGTTGCCAAAGCAGTGGCTGAAGAATTCTGCACAAGGGCTGCCAGACGTCTCGATTCTCGAGTCTGGCTATGACCTCATTTCAGAATGGCTATCAAAGTTACGGAGTATATCTGTTTACCTGCGCGCCAGCCCTCGATCTAAGAGTCTCGATATCCACCCTCTGATTCTGGATTATGCCTTGCTATGTATTAGTAATAGCGACAGAACCAGAATCGCAAAGCAAGTCTTCCAACTACACCGCCGGCTGGAGTTCGAGGGGGCCGATATGGAGTCAAAAATAAGGCCCCATGTTCTCCACTGCGTTAAGCTTTGTCAAAAGCTTGGCGTGTCCCTTGACAGTGTGGGATTGCCAAATGACGTCCTCCAATGGGTCAATAGTCAACGTGACAGCGAAAATCCGTTCTTAGATACAGCTAAGATTACCGCTTTCCCCGTACAAAATATCACTCAGGAATTCACAGCCCGCCTAGCGGAGACCAAAAGGGAGCTGAAAAAGAGTCCCGGGTCAATCAATCGGGTCGCTACCATTAACAAGATTGTGAGATGTATCGTTTGCTACAAGCAATTGAGGACGGCCTTCGAAGCGGGCGGTAATTTTCTTCTATCACTGGATCCGGAGTTTGGGGGGTCAGTTCAGGAATTTTGTAGCATTGTCAGGTCGACTAGTCCAATTTCCAAGCTCCCTAAGGAACTTGAGAAGTTTTCTGAGGTGTTAAGACCACCAACGATCACTGAGATAAAGGGCATCGTAGCGCCAGATATATGAAGTCCAACCTCAAAAGAAGAAGTAGATTTCATATTATGTGCAAGGTGCGATCTGTCGTTGTGTCAAAGGCACAACAACATAATCGAGGCCATTTGCAGCTCTGCCTTCTGCCTTGTCTTTGTTTGAGACTATGGGTTTGCTACAGCATCTTCAATTGCGAATAAAGAATTACGGTTGAACATGATAACAGAGTTTCAAGTTCCTATAATGAACGTTTGTGGGAGAGGAATCGACATGAGATCTCTCCTTCAATGACTCTGAGGCTCTGGAACTTACATCAAAGCAAATGAATTGCGGTTCATCATTGCCAATCACCTTCAGATCTAGTCACGATTGCTCTACTCAACTAGGACGCCTTATGTATTGGTTTGATGGCGCGTGCAAGGTGACTTCATGCCAATTCCCGCTCCCAAATGTACAAGAGAAATGGCATTTCAGGCTCCATTTGGAGAGAGTTGATACTAGAATTTCAAAATAAGTATGTTATAAACATACACTTTCTTGCACATGTACCTAGGAGAAAGCGCCTTGCATGAAAAGAGAACAATTTCTTATGTCCAGTTAGGATTTCGGGCGCATTGCACATTTGCGTCATGTGATCCCGTTCAGGGGCTCGCGTTGTGAGGGGTTAGCGTGGCCCTACTCGAGCTCCCGCTTAAATGCACGGCCCGCTTAAATGCACGCCTAACTAGAAAACTAAAATATTTAATTATAAAATAACCACAAATCATATTTATAGAAAGTAAGCTATTATAGAATTACTAGGTACTCTATTTTTGTATTTTATATTAATTTTATAATAATTTTATAATTCTATTAATAATATTTACACTTTTTTGAGAAATAAGTAATTTATTAAAAGAATTAATAACTTTTATAATAATTATAAATCTTATAAAATCTTTATATAATTATTTTTAACATAATTTATATTAAAATTTATAGCTTAAATAAAATCTTTAAATGCCTTTTAAAAGAAGAAATATAATTTTAAAGTTTCAAAATTTTCAAAATTTAAGATTTATTATTTATTTTTTAATATAATTTAGAATAATTAATTTTAAAGGAAATCTTTTAATTTAATTTCCTTACTATAATTATAAAAGGAGTTTAAGAACTTAAAAGTATTAAAAATACTTATTATATATATAATTTAAATTTTTTATTTAGGTTTTTATTAATAATTATATTTATTTAAATTCTTATATATTAATTAAAAATAAAATAAATATTAACTTTTAAATATAGTTCTTGCCTTATAAGAAACTTATATTATTAAATTTTTTTAATAAATACTTATTTAATTTATTTAATTTAAAAATTATTAAAAAAAACTATAATATTTTAATATATAAAAGATTGAAAATTAAATAAAAATATTTTTACGTTTTTTAAACGTTATATAAGTAATATAAGCTATTTTATTCAAGTTTAATTAATAGCCTTTATTTAAAACTATTATTATTAATAATTTTTTTATAATTTTTTAAAAATTACAAAAATTAATATTTTAATTACTTAATAATATGTAAAATATAAATGTTTTATAAATAATTATATATATTAATATATAAAACTAAAAAAAATTAAAGTTATATTTTTAGATATTTTATTCTTATATAAATTAATTTTTAAAAATATTTTTTCAAGAAAAAAATTATGTCTTTTATAAATCTTTAAAATAAAGTACTTATATTTACGATATTATGATTTTTAGGATTATATTATATCGCTCTTACTATTTTTATACATTATATTTCAAGAAGTAAGTTTTTTTATTAATTAATATAAAAGTTATAAAGGTATTAAAAGTATAAGTTTTCGCGATTTTCTATGCAATTCGGCCGTGCATTTAAGCGGGGCGTGCATTTAAGCGGGAGCTCGAGTAAGCGAAACGCTAGGCTTGAACGATTATTTAAGGAACCTTGCCAAACGTAGTTTCTTAGAAATCCAGTCCTCTGGACCCTACCTCTCCTCCAGGCCAATTCAATCAACCGGGTATCAGCGTATAGCAAGCGAGCCCCCTGAGACCACTTTGCATTTCAGGGACAAAGAAGGAATAGAAGGAATATGGAAATAACAGACTTGCTAAAATCTAACAATACAGAGGGTAAAACTATGAGCTTAATGCGGCTGCTCTTTCAGTAAATTCCGTCAGACGGAAGCACCTCAATTGAGCACTGCATTAGGAAGGTACAACGGCATCGAATCCTCCCACATACTATCCGTAAGAATCTTCTTATCAGACCCATCAGCATTCATAACAAAGATCTGGCCATACGGCTGGAAGGTATCATCATAAGTAGCAGCCTCGGTGCGGAATCCGTACATCCCGCTCGACCACAGAATCCTGCCATCCGCAGTCCAAACCGCATGAGCATCATTGGCCCCACTCGTGGTAAGCACCTTCAAGTCTGTGCCATCTGGGCGAATGGTACACACGTCGAAGTTGGTGGCGTTCATTTTGCGGGTAAAGACGATTTGAGTTCCGTCAGGCGAGAAGGATGGTAAGTTGTCACGCTCAGTGGTAAGGACCTGGACGCTCTTGTCGGTGAGGTTCATGACACGTAGACCAAATTCGGCGCCCCAAACACGGTAGACGAGAGACGTTCCATCGTGGGAGTAGCTAGGAAAGCCTGAGTTCACTGAGCCGTTGGTGAGCTGTTCGTAGTACGAGCCGTTTGCGGTGGCTTGGTAAATCCAAGCTGTGTACACCGCCCTCTCCTGGAACCACGATCCCAAGCCGAATGCGACCCATTGTCCGTCAGGAGACCAGGCAGGTTGGAATGCTCCGGCCAAGCCCTGAAGGACCAGCGAGGCGTTCACTTGGTTGGTGCTGAAAACATCAAACACGACCTTCAAGTTTGATCCATCGGGATTCATCGTCACGATTGAGGAGTTTCCGAGTTGCTTTTGAGTAAGAGCCAGTTTACCTTGCAACGAAAGATCTGGGAATACGTCGGTAAAGCGATAATCCCAATCAGCATCCCAACTGTAGAGCGGCTTCTCCATCGGGCGTGTCGCGGTTCCTACCTTCTCATAGACTACGGTCTTGCCGTCTGGTGACCAAGCTGGTGAGTGCATACTGCCTAGCACCGAGGTAAGACCAGAAGTGTAATTCAGACCAAGATCCCCAATGGGACCTTTCACGAGATACCCGATGGTATCATTCGTCACATATTGCGGGAACATTTTCAATCTCGAGTCAGAGGTTTCCTCGACACGGTCATGTCCGGTGGCAAAGTCAACGGAAACAATTTGCGAAGTCGTGATATTGAGATCCTCTGGCCTGTGTGCATTCCATGTATCCTCACGAGTCATCTCATAATAGACAACACGCTTGCCATCCGGCGACCAATTGGGAGAGCCAAGACAGTAGCCGGACTTTGTCGCAAGCTGCCGAAAGCCAGTTCCATCAGGACGAATCACATAGATAGACAGCTCCTGGGTATGCTCCCATCCAGTTCCATTGCCGTGGCCGGTCCAAGCTGTGTTGCGATCCGACGAGAAGACAATCCAGTTTCCGTCGGGTGACCATCTCGGATGGAAGTAACCATTCGGGCTCCAGGGGATGCCTTTGACAGTGGCAGTATTGGTTAGGCAGCGTTGACCGCCCATATCCAGATCCATCACCCAGATGTTGGTCGTGTAGTCATTCGCCGTTGATACATACGCAACCTTGGTCCCGTCAGGGGACATCACCGCGCCATCCTCAAATGATGACGTTGCCAGCAGCTTCTCCAGTCCTGAACCGTCCACACGAGAGCGGTAAATATCTGAATTGCCGTCCCCGCTTCGCTCACTGGTGAAAGTTATCCATTTCCCATCAGGGGAGAAAGATGCGTGGTATTCGTACACTGAGTTGTTCAACAACTGGCGTTCATTGCTACCATCAGCGTTGGACAGATAGAGCGTTGAAGTCGAGGGGCCGATTCTGTTCATCAGCATAACACCCTTCTTTCCTGGCGCAGGCAGACCTCGAGCTGAATGGGTACGTAGTAGTGGCGTCGTGGGAAAATCGCTTTCTAGCTCCAAAGCCTCTTCTTTTTGGATCATAGCAAAGGACCATCCTAATGTAATGCCCAAAAGGGCGAAGATAGACATACGCATTTTTCTTCCTGCCGTCTGTTCTCAGGTATGAACAAGAATGGAGGTTGGTAGAGTGAAGGATTAGAAAGCGAACATGCTGCTCTTTTTCTTTGCTTTCTCGGCTGACTTAGAGATATATGTAAAGCCGGTGAATAAAAGTGGGAACCACCCACCTACCCTTGAGCCGGTAGTTCAAACTTCGTCTAATAAATCTGCCAAGAGACTTTTACTCATCTTGCTTTGCTTCGAGACATACCAAGCAAAGGTATTTGCCAAGACTGCCCGACAAAGCGAGTAGTCCAGTTGAGGTGGAAGTTGTTTTATTCTTTTCAACTTTGCCCCACTCAAAAAAACCCCTAGTCCCCGCGGCGGGATTGAAGTTCAGACTGATTCTTGCACAAAATAAACTTAACGCGTAACCAGTGGGGCGCAAGGATGACTTGACATGGATCCTCAAAGCAGGATCGGGAGTTGATCCGCTCAGTTCGGGACCGAGAGACTTGAAACGCACCGAGAACTTGAAAAGGATGTGCCAACAGCTACATCACAATCCCAAATCTGCAAAAAGTCATCTGCATCGTTGATGATCCCTGCTCCTGAATGAGCCAAGGTTATAATTGTCTCGAACACTCTTATTTGCGTCATGGAGTCATTCTGCCCTAGTGCTATTGGGTTAATCCATTTCAATCAACGTAGCAGTTGCGCACACTTGGACTCGAAAAGCTGCACCGCCCAAGATGCAAAGCTGAAAACTTGAGTGACACGTATTTTGACAAAGCCACGATTCAATACTAGTGCGCAAGCCTCGTCATATTGCTCAGTCACGCTTAAGAATTGGCTGAAGCTTTGAACAAGCAATAATACAACTAAATCACTTAATCTAAGGCATCGACCTTGGAGTCCTTGAGGTGGACAAAGTGAAGAGGGGGGCATTGTTGACAGAAACCAAGAAAATACAGCTTGTTGCATCTTGGTGAACAGCCACTGTCCCTGACTTTATTTGAGGTACAACTGACTCCTTGTGGACAGCTAGCACACCAATCACGTCCAACTTCAACTCAAAGCTGAGAGAAGAGGTTAAGTGACACCCTTCCCTTCTATGAGAAATTCTCTGGATTCATTTGCTGAACCTAATTCTTGATATTTTGTACCGAAAGCACAGCAGATCGTCCCGGCCGGGATGGCGGTGGTTCTCATCTCTCTTGAATGACCTCATAACCACACAGCCAGAATAGGCAGACCAATAGTGAATCCATTCTTAACGAATCTATGACGATAGCCCAGCTACAGAAGATCCGTCAGTGACTTCTGGTCAGTAGCATTGAGTTTTGCAAGACCAGTGGTTGCGGAGTTCGAACTGGTAGTCGCTGGATTGTTGACAGCGACTCTCACCGAAGAAGGATGTATTTGGGATTCACCGGGAGCTGTCGAGGAGGTTGGCATTTGTTGCAATCCTATTTCGGGGTCTTGAGGCTGACGGCTGTTCTCGCTCTTGGAAGCAGCCAGACAAGTAAGCCAAGTCTTCAATCTCGTTGTAAGACAAGCGATAAACGTCTTCACGATCGAGGTAAGAAGAGTTGGCCCCTGCAACAACATATATTGCAGAATGCGCCAGCCGCTCAGTCTGCTGGCCACCTTTTTTGTATTCGAAATCCCATCGAATTCTTTACCACGAGTGGCCCACGTTTCGTCCTTATCGACTTTCATCTGAGAGACAGTTCGAGTCGCAAGGGCATGGTAATTTTGAAGCACGATTTCAACGATGTTGTTCATGTTAAAAGCTACCAGATATGTAATAAATGCGATAATTGGTGCAGTAGACGGTGTTGTTGATGCTCCAAACAGGCTAGCGACGATTGGTCAATACTGAAGACAAGAATTGGACCTACACGTGCCATGCAGAAAGAGAAGGGTAAGAAAGCTATGCTGATAAAAGTTAACAACATTACGTTTTGGCCCAATCTGGTAGCTGCTCGACTTTCTATCACACTGCTGGCATTGAACAGCTTTGCCATTCATTAGCTGGAATGTAAATCTTACTTTGAGCTCTTGCGTGCATTACTTACTCCGTTTCGAAGTTCTGTTACTTCCCCAAGTTTTCTGCTGAGGTTTGCAGAGATCATTTTCAACCTGTCTCGAATTACTCTCATTTGCCTCCGATACTCGTTAAGTCGATTCTGCTCTCTCTCCAATCCATTCGAGGTTCACCCGCCGAAGACTCTGTCGCGCTATCCATCGGGCTTCTGACACCCAGCAAGTTCTCGATCTCCTGGATATTGTCAATGACAGTATGGTTTATTTCCTTGAGTGTCGTGATTGCCCAAAAGTATCGTTTGGATCTTGAGAAAGGCTCGTCGTCGGTGAGAAGACTATCATGAGCCTCGGGATCTAGGAAAACGTCCTTTTCGACGATGATCTCATCGAAGTAGGAGAGAATACGCTCATAACCTTTCACAACAAGTGCTAGTGCTTCGAGCGAATACCTAATTAGACTTGTTAGGCCATCAGATTTCTCGATGGTCATTGGGGATAGGGCTTCACGCCAATTGAGGAAGTCTAATGGTGCAAGCTCAAGAATAGTCCAATATATCTGTGGATCGCTTGAGTGATTTCTCAAAGAATCTCTCTCGCTTTCAGAGGACGCAATGAAGGAGATCTGTGAACGTCAGTACCATATCTGTAATGAAGTGCCACTGCCATACTGAGTAAGCTCGTTGGCACAGCATCCGGTATCGTGCATTACTTTCTTCTGTGGGTAGGACCACATCGCTGTAGATTTTTCCCGCTTTCCAGTAATCGGTTTTCAAGTTATCAAGTTCACTGTTCTTTGTTGTGATGAGATCGTAGAATGCGAGTTCGATAGATATCGGTCGCGGAAAGAGGGGAAGGAGGGCGAAAATCCAGGCGAGTCCGCCCATAATAGTTTGCGGTGTCCGGGGAGGAGCGATCTTCCGTTCTCGGTAATTTTGTATTATTCTCTCAAATTTATACATAGCTATATTGGGTGGGTGCACAAGTGGGCGGAAATATGCTCGAATCTGCTCAACGATCTGCGTACGGTTAGGTGTGACGCAATTAAGTCTTGGAGTAGGGACATTTACATGAGCTGCCGCTAATTGCCTAATGTCTGGTATCTTTCTTCTGGAATTCCTGTCGAGGATGGGGACTCGACCACGGCTATGTCATCCAGATCTTTTGGCGTCTCATCCGGATCTAATATCATCTGACTAGCCTCGTCATTACAAGGATTAACAAAGTACATCTGCCTAGTCTCGTCATCAAAATGATCCACGATAGTCATGTTTCTGGCTATTGAAGACTTGGAGTCAATCGCCGTACGCAGTTCTTTGACATAGAGCCGTGCTTGTTCTGGGCCTTTTGGCATTGGCATCATCCATAGTTCTTGAAACATGAATGAAGGGAGTAAGAGTAGCGTCCTCACTTTCACAGCTTGGTCGAATGGACGCTTCAATTGATCTTGGATCAGCTCTGCACTTTTAGAAGATTGATCAAGCTTGTCTGAGGGGACCTCAGATAGATTTTGAGCTGGCCCCTTACCCTACATAAACGTTGTTAGAAATTGCCAGATTCATCAGCAACAGAAGCTTACCTTCACGTCACATTTCACGCTCTCTCCTTCTCCAGCTTCTCCTTCATTCCCTGCCTCTTCATCGCCGCGTCTTTTCAACAAGGCCGCAACACCTTTTAGCTCCACCAGAATCTCCCGAAGGAAATCTCTCGTTTCGTCTCCATCCGCCTTCTGCGAATCTGCAATTCGTGATTTCTCATCCCCCACCATGATTTTGGTAGATCTGTGGGCAGAGGGCCGTCTGCGAGCGCTGCCTGCTTGGCGGTGTTTTTCTTTTGCTCCTTATATAACGCATTAGGTTGTGTTGAAGTTTGATGGCTCGCTGGTACTAGTGATATTGTCAATGTTTGCCCTTCCACCTTAGCTAACTCGTCATCCTGCGGTATTGATTAGTCGCTTGATTGCTTCGATCTCCTTCCTTTCCCCCATCGACTTATACAACCAACTCATTCGGTTTCGCTGTATCCAACTCTTCTGGTATCGGTGGTTTGCTCATCGCTTTTGCTCGACCACCAACGCGATGACTGAGAAATTGCGTTGAGACCTGAGCGATAGTAGCACAGGGGTCGATCAAATAGAAAACTTCTCATTATAATAATGGTCAAGACAGAGCCCAAAGGAAAGTGCTAGCAACGACGCTTTGCATTGTTTCCATGCCTAAATGGGTTTCGTTGTTCGAAATAATGAATAAATGAATAAATAATAAGAAAGGAAGGTTGTCTGGTGAAAGAAAGAAAACCTAGTTTCTATGAAATTTGATATTGGAAGGCACGAAGACGAGCGGCTTATCACTGGAGATGTATGAAGCTGGGACTGCATTCAAGATTCACAAAATTAAAGCCTCACTCGACAGAGCCGCATAGTAATTGACGAGAGTGTGTACTCCGCATGCATCTATGCACAATATAAACCTCAACCTACCCAAACACAATACTAATCCCTCTCTCCTCAGAAATCTGCCTCCAGTCCACCTCTCCCTCCCCATCCTCCAACTCATCAACCCTCCTCCAAACCTCTCTCACGACCTCCCAGGCCCTGGTGATATTCGTCATCCCCTGCCTTCTCTCGATCCCACCAAATCCTTCCATTGCCAACTGCCTCTCCTCTTCATTTATCGCTTCACATGTTGCTACAAATAATGGCCATAAAAGGGCTGACATCGGTCCATCCTGACATTTCTCAGCCAGATTTACGACGTTCGAACATGCTTGCAGCGAGAGGCGGACGTGCTTTTGCACCAGGTTGTGCGAGCGGGGGAGGGTGCGGATGGTGCGGTAGAGGTAGACAAATGCGGAGTGGCGGTATGCTTCGGCGTTGTTGAGGATGCTTTGGATCCTTGTATCTTCGTGCTGCAAATCTGAAATTGCCTTATTTTCGTCTGATTCTAGGCTAGGTGGCATCGAGGACAGAGCAGGCTGCCAATTAGTGAGCGCGAGTTCGATCGCTATTGAGCTGTTCTCCAGCTCTGTGCGTAGGACCGTGGCTTCATTTGTGCGACCTGCTGCTACCGCGGCTTCGAGTTGGGTTTTGAAGGAGAGAAGGTGTGATAGGCGGTGGATTATCGGCCAAAGGTCGGTGGAGAATCCGAGGAGAGTGTCGACTGCGTTGAGTGGAGAGTCTGGTATATTACCATTAGATGATGGAGGGACTGGGAATGGTGCCGAAGTTGGTTGTGTGTTTGTGTTGGGGGACGTGCCCATTGAGAGGGCTGCTATCACATCGTAGAATCGGAATGCCTGCAGATGTCAGATTGAGATGTGAAGAATACTTGGGCATGACTTACGCGCTCTAAGAATAGAGTAGTTGGCGTTGCAATTTGAGGCCCGGACCTCATGATTGTCATGGCACCTTTGAGATGCCCGTTGACGATGTTTGAGTTCCCTCTTTGGACAAGCTGTCACACATTAGTGAATGTGTAGGGCTTGAGTTTCCAAAACTTACCACTTCGTAGTACACGAGCAACATGATAGCTCCCAGTACCTCTTCCCGGTTCGCGTGTTGATTTTGTTCTATGAGCTGAGCAAGTCCCTGCAATGCTCGATTATGAAAATCGAGTGATTTCTCCTCGTTCTCAATTCCTCTGTACTCAAGATGAGCACTCGACAGGGCAAATATCGCGTTCATGACTGGCGAGCTGGCATGCGACAGCGGTAACACCAACTGCCTGAAGGGGTTTCCCGTGTCTTCCTTAAAGACGATCAGGTGTGACAAAACATTGCAGAAATGATCCACCAGTGCTCTTCGATTTCTCCTCTCCGTAAACTCCTGGAAAACCGGCGAGCAGAATTCCAAGAGTGGGGATGCAACTGGGGAAGGCGCGATCATTGCAAGATCTGGGTATTGGCTGCGAGAACGAATAGGAGCAGAGGAGGGGCTTGGGTCCAGTGGCTCTGTCCGTATAATTTCCTCCACATCACTGCCGTTTCCATACGGTGCCTCCCATTCTATCGACGCGTCGGACTCGGGGTATTGGAATCGCGAACCCTTCCCCCATTTATGTGTACCCTCGTTGTCATCCCGATCCCGTTCGAAGAATCTTCCTGGCCATCGGTCGTTGTAAAATGCAGAGGATTCGGTCTCGTGAGAGAGAGCAGAACCTGCGAAAGATGTCCGTCTTCGTTTTCGTGGTTTGACGGGTTCATATTCGCATTTCAGACTTCGTTCCGCACATCGATCGCATTGGGGACGTTGTTCGTTGCATTTCTTCTTCTGCGCTCTATTAGTAAGGGCGGCGCATTATATCTGCATTCGCGCATACCTTTTCTTTGCTGGGAGAGAACCGAGTTAGCTTTCGTATATCAAGGTCAGGAAATGATGCTCACCAGTGTATACATCCTTTCGTCCCATCCCTGGTCAGCTGGTTCTCAACAGAAGATTGACAAATGCTTACCAGCTCTTGATCTTCTCTTTGGTGGCTTTGGAGCGGCGGTTCTCGTGTAGATGAGCATGATGCCAGCAGAGAGATCAGCGCATGATCATTCTGAACTCGACGGCGGATCAGTGTTCACCTCAGGCTGTTCTCCAATACTTGAAGATCAACCATGCATTGATATGAAGGTGTTTGCTGCGGCGATTATGCACAGGAGGCGAGTAGGGCGAATGGACGGCTGTGGTTCGTGGAGAAAGAGCCTGTCGATTATGCGGGGTATGATGAAAAGCTGCATGCTGCCCAAACCCAAAATACGAGGTGCACGTGATCTGGGGAACCATGCAACAAGATCAACTGCCTTTGTTCCCTCAGCAATCACTGGTGTTTAAAGTTTTTGTGTTTAATTAAAGCCTTTGTCTTTTGTCTTGACCCAAACTGCTTCTCTTGTCCTTTTATCAACCTCGAAGGCGCTTGAAGACTCCCCCGAGTAGGGGGCTGCTGGGCACGCGGCTGGTGCGGAGTTTGGAGACCTGACAGAGTCGGAGTTGGTTCTTAAACGGCGAGGTTCCCCGGTTCCCCCGCGTGGTGGCAGGAAAGGTTTGTCTGTCGGCACGCCGAGGCAGAGCAAAAGACGGATGTTTGCCCAGCTTGAGATCGTGACATTCGTACGTTGTAAAGGGGGCAGACGCATCGGGTTGGACTCATGTAAGGTGATCAAAAGTCACAACTAAAAGTTTAGTAGACCGGGGTGTGCACGTGCTTTCACTGTAGCAACACCCGTCTCCAACATAGCTGCATATACAGGAGTTCAATCCGATGTGCCCACCCCCTTTACGACTAGTTTGTCGCAATCAGCTCATTTGGGTAGACTCCCGTGCTCTCTGGTGGAGAACGGCAATCTCTCGGATGATTTCACGTGATGGCCTTGCTTTCCCGGCTCCTGTCGCTCCTCCTTCCTTTCTTACCACCTTTTGCACCTTCACACCCCCTTTTCTCAAGCGAGGCCGCCCCTCGGTGTGAGGTGACGCTCTGGGAGGCACAGGTATTTGAATTCTTTCATTTATCCTTCCTTGCGGCGCCCACAGTCACGGCCAGAACCTGGAACAACCCGCCCAGCCCTACAAATGTCCCTGGTTGCATGGCTTGGAGTGTGGCCGGAAACACGACAGCATGCAGCTGTCACCCACCACCAAGGCGTCTCCCCAGCCACTCACACGGAGAGGTCTTGAATCTTTGCTGCTTCCCACCCTCCACGAACCAACATCCCACCTTCACAGCCTCCAATCGTGGCCACCAGGGACCATTCCAATTGGGTACAACAATCCGAACACTGGTCCGAGAGGCTTTCCCTCTGCACTCTCACCACGATCCCCCCAATGAGAGACGCAGCACCCAGACTTGCACTTGTGATCGCCCCCAAAATGGCGATTGGAGAGGCTGATCCCCCGTCCCGAGAGTCGGATCCAGGTGGAGTGGCCGCTGGGTTGGCTGCGGGAAGATCACAGCTCTCGGAGTCCGCCATCGATCAGGTAGGGTTTTCTGTCGATCTATTGACAACCTCACTCTTCCTGTCTTTCGTCAGATCGTGAACTTACTCCTGCGCATCCTCCAGCTCGGGTTTATTATCGCAATATATGCCCGCGAGTGGCACTGTTAACGTTCGGCGCAGTCAGAGTCCAGCCCCCACGCGCTGACCTGACAGCCTGGGCAAAAGCGCCCATATCTGAGATCTCCCGCTGAGGCGCCGCGTCTGTTCTGACCGCACCTTCACGACGCAAACTTCGAATCATTCATGGAAATATCACTTTCAGATCTCGACATCAATTGTCGGTAGTGGTTGGGGAGTTGCGCATGGTGGTTGGAAGTGGCGGCGCTATCTACCCATAATCCGAGCACTTCGAGACCGAAATCGACATGTGGGGATCTGGACGATGCTGGAGCTGCACAGTTCGACTGGTAGCAGAGTACATTCGAGGACCATGGAGATCGATACCTGCCGATGCGCATAGATGTGGAACATCGATGGAACAGGGGATGGAGAACGAGAATGCAGGAGCCCGCAGAGTCCCTTCAGCAAGGAGAGCGGAGGATGGACAAAGAATACTGGGAGTCGTCGCAACACCACACTCTGTAGTAATAGTGGCATATCCGAAGATCACAGAAGGCCCTCCATTGGTCAAACGAAAGCTGGGATCGAATCACTGGGACTTGATACATGAAGGCATTCAAGGTCGAAAACGAGACGGTACGATATGTGCAACGGACCAATCATTATGCCCACAATCACTGGGTGGCGGATGTTGTCCCACGGACCGGGTGTGCGGCTTGAGTAGTTGTTATCCGAGCTCTGCTACCACTGCATCGGCTTGTGGACAGGCTGGATATTATGGCTGTGGTGTTGAAGAAGGAGGTTAGTATAATCCACCCTCACAAGACCGGCACCCTGCTGACGAATATACAGGCGGCTGTTGCCCAACGAGTTATATCTGCGGAGTGGGTAATTGTACGCCCTCCCCTGGAGTATCGTACAGTCAAACTTGTGGAGCCAACTCATACTTATGCGCGGCTTCCTTTGGCTATGGATGTTGCAAATCGGGGCGTAGTTGCTGGTACAATAGTTGCTATGCAACTTCCAGCGTAACCTTCACTGTCACCGAAACGGTGACAACAACGGATGCCAACGCAAATCCTTACACTATAACGACCACGATTACTACGGCGACGAATCCTGAACTGCCAACAGACACTCCCCCAACTGATGGAATCATTTCCCAGGTGACACCGCTAGACTCAGCTGTCCCAAAATCGGCTGCCTCTGGTGGATCGAGCAGTGGACTCACAAAACCAGAAATCGGGGGTATCATCGGTGGTGCAATCTTCATTCTACTCGCTCTTCTCGTAGCCACTTTCCTTATCCTCCACCGTCTCAGCAAAGCCATAGAAGCCACTCAAAAGGCAAATTCTGGCACCTCATCCAGTGGCCATCGATCACGCCGTTCCGGTCAACGACCGATAGACGTCGACGCTCTGTCCGTCGACCCTCTTATGATGACACCCTCAGAAGCAGGAGGCAGCATCCGTCGGCCGTCCCAATTTGCAAACAGCACCACCCAAATCCACGAGATGGAAACCAATTCGCCCCCAGTATTTAACTCTCCATTTTCACCCCGCACACCACCCTACACCCACTACCCAAAAGGCTACAAGCCCGTGTCGACCACATCCGAATCAAGATACTCAAGCTCAACACGACATGGTTCCATCGAACTGCCCACCCCTCCCTTGCAACACAACCCCAACACAGGGTATTTCGACCTCCCCCCTCAATCCGCGCGCAATCGCGGCTCGGCAGATTCTACACCGTCTGCAATGACAAGAAGGCCAAGCCATAGCCGCCAATGGAGCAACTCGTCCGATCAAAGCCAAGTCAGCCAAGCCTCCAACTCCTCCAACCCAACAGAGCTCGATGCCGGCAAAGACGGCGTGAAGGCCACCCCGCGACGCTCATCAGGCTCGTCCTTCACAAAAGCCCTCCACGAACTCGGCGTAGGAATGACGCGAATGGTCTCTTTCCGCCGACGCAGCGATCCGCCCGTCCTAACCGGCGGTCCTGTACGAAACGAGAAGCCTGACTGGATGACGAATACGGCGTATAATGGAGCAGGGCAGGCGCTAGGCCATATTCCTGAGGCAGGGGAGAGCAGGATTAATCTTGAAGGGGAGGGAGGGATAAGTAATGCGCAGATGAGGGAGGCTACGTTGAAGGACTCGCAGAGTCCGATTGTGAAGGAGGGGACGAAGGTGTTTAGTCAGGAGATTACTGGGGGTGAGGTCCCTGAGTTTTTGATGGGGAATGAACCTGGGCGTTGAAGGATGAATACGAAGGTATGAATATATAGATGGATGGAGTTGGGAGTTTGTGTTTGCCGTGTGAGCGATTGATGAGTACATATTAATGTATTGCCTATAATGAATGAAAATATTTTCGATGAAGCCCTGGTGTCAACGAATAGTGCATCCAGTATGGCGAGTGTGATGTCTATGTCCCCTACTGGGCCCTGCCGACCCCGCTGCCGGTGTTTAATATTGAGTATCCTCCGCATAAAGGCAAGACGCGGGCGGCGGCCCATGCTGAGAAGACGTCGGATGCTTCGATGAAGCTGCGTTCTGAGAATCTGGTTACGAATCTGAGGAACTATCCCACGGTGAACTGTGGGGGTGGCGAGATGCAAGAAGAATGGCCAGATGCCGACTGTGCCGAAGGTGGGACTGTTGATTCTTGCGGATTGCGTTGACTCGAGCTAGAGATTTCACTTTCAAAGAGATATATGTTGAACTATCAACAGTTTGTACTGTACATAGCATTTACTGGCGGCTTGTGTACAACGAATTCCTTCCAATCGCTGACACAACTCTCCACAAAGGTTCCATCATACCATCTCACAACCTCCTACGGAAGCAGTTTCTCGCCCTCCCTCTCCACCCACCCCTCCGTCCTATACGCCCCAAGCGGCACCGGCAATTCTCCACTGTACCCCACCTCCCCCCTTGCCGTCTCCAACTTCCTCGTCACCTTCCCGACCATCTTCGCAATCCACCTATCATTGACCACCCCACCCACAACCGTTCTCTTAACGCCATCCTTCAGGCCCCCCTTAACCTTCTTCCCAAACCGCACAATCCCATTCACCTCCTGCTCCTCCATATCGCTCTCTTCTCTCTCTTTCACCTTCTCCATCTCTACGACTTTCGTCGCTTTCACGAGTGCGGCGATGAAATCGAGGAGCTCTTGGTCGAAGCAGGCGGGGAGCCGGGCGTGCACTGAGAGCTTGACGTTCGTTTCGTCTTTCTTTGCTTGTTTGAGTTCGTGTTCGGCTTGTATTATTTTGGGCTTGCCGTCTGCTTCGTCTACTTGCTTTTCGAGGTCGCTCTTATGGTCTTTCGATGGAACTGGAGGCAGGAGGTGTTCGTGGTGCGGAAGTAAGAAGCTGGGGACGATGAAAGTGGCGTCTGCGCCGCCGAGGCGGATGACTTGTTTTAAGTCCAGCTGAGCAGGCAACGCGCGGTAAGACATCACGTCGTCGAAGACGAGTTGGCAGCGAATATCGTATGTGGGTATGAAGGGAACCGATGCGATCCCTGTAATTCCAGAAAGCCCAACAGCGAAGTTCGCATATGAGAGCCAAGAGGAAATTCTCTTTTTGAGATTGGCGATTTCGTGGTCTTGATCTGCGTAGTCTAGGAAGACCTTCTCAACAAGCATGCTGTCAATCCATCGACCTGAGGCTGTGGCTGTGATGGAGGAGATTTTCACGGGGTGGAAATAATTGAGTGGATTGAGAAGGAGGCGGAGGAGCATTGGGAGCCGGTGCATGAAGCCGCGGATATATGGTGGTGCGAGGTTTTGTAAAGTCGTAACTTTGATGGATCGTTGGGGCGGGTGGGGAACTGAAGGTTTACTGTGCAGCTGGGAGCAGATTGCTGCTCTGACCGCGTTGTCGTCTGTCGAGTCGAAACCCCTCTCTTCACCTGGAACCTTCTTCGTGATCTTCTTGACGTATTGCCGAACTTCGTAGATACAGTTCGTTTCCTCAATGACCTTGACCATCTTCTGGTATCGGCCATTTGCCTCTTCGTTATCTGGAGACAGCTTCTTCATTCCCTTCAAGCCCTCCTTCGCCACAACATCCTCAGGTGGACTCCCGTCCGTCATCTGATCCATCATCTTGACCTTTTCTACTTCTACCGAAGACGAACTCCTCGTATCCCCCTCTCTCGACGCAGCTTTCAACAACGCCGTACCTTCAGCAAAGACCGCGTCCCCATCAGCGTCTTTTGTGCTACCCTCCAACTGCCCAAATGTCATCTCATACTGCCCACCCTTCAAATTCGCAAAGCAATCGCCAATCTCAACCCCCCTGAACAACTTAACCTTCACCATTTCACTCTGGATCGCGAGTTCCATATCATCGCTCAACTTGATGCCGACCTCTACGCCATGAACCACGAAACTGAGGCTACTGAGCGAGAAAGTGATGCCTCTCAAAACCATCAAGCCATCAACCTCGGTATCGATTTCCAACGCGGGGATGTCGAAGAAAGCAATCTTATCATCGATGAAGTGCAGTTGTTTCAGCAGTCTCCTCGAATTTTTCCTCGCAAAATCTCCGACGGCGACGAATTGAAAAAGGCAAACAAGAAAACACGCCGGATAGCAAATGGCCGCGAATACATAGTAGAGGAGCCATGATGTCGAACATATTGCGTATATCAGGTGCAAGGTGGTGAAGAGAGGCCATAGGTGAAATGAAGGTAAGACTCGATAATCACGAACATCTCCGGCGAGAATGAAGAATTGGAGCAGTGGTTGGCCAGATATGAGCCATCGTCGAGGCCATTGGTAAAAGATTGCGAGGAGGAGAGTGAGAGTTGCGAAGATTATTGGATCTTTGACAGTCCGTTCAAGCCGCGTGGACTTCATTGGCGGGGGGAGCGAGGCAAGGATGACCTCGCCTTATCCCGGTTGGTGGGTTTGGGATGATCGTTGTTTGGTGGAAGCTGGGATTGGAGCGAGAAGGATCGACCGGCAAAGAAAATGGAGTTCTTCTTGACGAGACTTAAAGGTCGTTTGAAGAACCAAATCAATAGAAGGAAGAAAGGAAAATTATATCAATTTTCAGAAGGAAGTGGTCCTTTTGAGGTATGGTTGTCATGGTTGGTTCTAGACCGACTACGTCATTGCATCCAGAGGGAACGCGTCACGTGATAGTCATTCCTCAACCACTCCCAAATTCGAGAGCTTTGAGAATAGCGACTTGTTTTATTTAGGCATATTTGGAAATAACAAGACACTGCTATCCGCTGCAGTCGTTATCAGTGCCAGCCTGATAACTGTATCCGGAAACAAGACCCTCAATCGAACGCCTGCTCCCCAGTGTACAGATCCTCATGCTGCCTGGCCTTGATCACTGGGGCAACACCTCCCACGAATATATCCTTGTGTGTCTCCAGACCATGCTCCAAGTCCCCTCGTATTCCTTCGAGTTCTTCGTCGGTTGGCACAAAATCCACTATTCCATCACCAGTCAATAGTACCGTCTTGAGACCAGGGAAGTGCGAGATCAGCGCGCCGAGCTGCTTTGTGCGGAATTTATTGGTTGGATCCCACCACACATGTCTAACTTCGAGCTGCCGAATCTTACTGAATGCCTCGGTTGGAATGCATTCCTTGATGTGGTTGAACCATTTCGAATACCGCAGACGCTCGGTAACAGCTGGCGGCTCTCTGACGAAAACCGAATCCAGTGAGGGGTTCACCCATCCCGGGCTGTACTTTCTCAATTGCGATTCATCCATATACTCCCGAGTGACATGGTCAAGGCAGCTTGATGGTATGTATATGGCGTAGTATGATCTGAGCGTTTCTTCCCGGCTCTCCCGGTTGACGGCAAGAGTGACTGGGACATAAGGCTCCGGCGGCTTATCCATTCTTTTCCGTGCCACTCCCACTCCCAAGGTGGCTCGGTAGTATGGGTAGAGGTCGAGCTCGACATGGCGTTTGACAAAGGTGCAGTTCCATACTTTGAGGCGGACTGGCGGAAGATTTCGAGTTAGCATTACTTCTTTGAAATGGATTTGAGAGGATTAAGTTTGATCCAAGAGCAGTTGACATCGTTTGGGTGGAGGAACATGTTTCACAGCTCCCGAATTGATCTGGAACGAGAAGGAATAACTCGGAGAATGCCTACTTTCAATGGGAAACTTTGGGAAGATGACGAATTTGCGGTCTTGGCCCACGGCGACCAGAGTGTTGCATTGTCCAGAGGTTTCTTTTCCGTCCAATGCCACTGTGGAAGACGGCTTCATATCTTGCGTACTAGTGGTACTATTCTTTTCGATGACATTCTGGGCAGAGTCTGAGCATTCGGTGATTTTGGAGGTCGTATTGTCTTCGGAATCGATGACATTCTTTGACGTAGCAACTTGTAAATAGAGGGCCTCGTTGGTACCTTTCTCGTCGAGGCGGGCGCTGGAAGAAGAGTTCTCTTTGGGATTGATTGTGTTGATTGATTTCGCAACCGGTAGGTCGGGAGTGTGACTCTGTTGAGGACCGTTCACTTCTGAAATACTACGGCCGGTGGCATTGTTGACTTCGGAAGAGGACGTTGCTTGCTGAAGCTGTTGTTGGTACGACGGATCATCCATGATAACAAGACGTTGTGAGACGCTTCGAGATGCAGGAGTCCATGGGCACATGGAGTTGGATGTGGTGTTGATTGTGAAATTAGCTGTCGAAGGGAAGTAAAGTATTTGTTTGTGCGAGAAAAGATCGAATTCAGCCTCGCTTAAGTTAGGGGTAATCGTGCTGGTATAGCAGCGAGCGATTGAAAACGTTCGCTTTCAACATTTCTCTTAACGGCTTCACCAAACACTTGTGGCTCCTACTTGTTATTCTTTGCAAGTAGACAATTCCTCCTTCTTTATTCCCAAAAGCTAGCTTTGTCCACCAATAGCTTACGTCCAGGCTCTCCGGCCCAATGCTACATACATGCTTCGGGCCAGGATCCCTTTCTCTTTCTCCTCTTTCACCTTCTCCACTGCTCACCGGGGAAACTTCGAATATACCACTCTCGACCTTTCGAATCTCGTTGCCCACTATTGCTTCCAATTCCATCTTCATCTCCAATCTACAAAACAAGTTGCGCCAGGCTCTGAGTCATCGCCACACCCCATATTCCCTCTATGTATGGAATTTTCGGATCTTGTAGCAGTTCCAGAGCCTGTTGGGGATTGTAGGCAAGTAAATCCCAGAAATAGCATAGAAAAGTGGCCGGACAACCCCTGTATTGAAAGAATATGTTTCAAAATGTGTTGTGCACAATAAGTGAATAAGCCTCTTGAGATTAGAAAGCACCCTACTGAATTCCGGTATTACAATATCGAGCAAGCCTTACGGTTTCGTGGTTACGATGGTCGTGATGGCGAGACACGTGAAGTGGAGTTGCAATAGTTCAATACCAGTCGCTTTGCATACAGAAAGTCGACATCCCTATCTCGCGTCAAAAGCCTGAAAAGCGCCCTGCCAAGAGGTGAGGTCTTCCGAGACCTTTTGGTATTGATGAAGCGAGCGTCTAGTTTAAATTAATTCATATGGCCGAATGTCAACGCCCACTACGAGTACTTCCTCCGCATTATCGAGGCCGGAGACTTTCATTTTTATCCCGACTCTACTTCTTGCAATCTCCCCACTAGCCAAATCCTCCTTCACAAAGACTTTCCGTATACCATCCTCCCCAGGCTCACTTCGAAACCTTTTAAACCTTGGGTCTTCAAGATGTATTTTCCCAGAGGGGTGATAACGGTACGCGTCAAAGAAGCTATTTTCCTCCTCCACGAATGTCGTGACATGCTCGTATCCATGAGGAAACTCGCCTAGAACGGCCTTGCCTTCCATGAGATTCTGCAGATAGCATTCGCCCACTACACGATACCGGGTAATTGGGTTTCCCCTATGCCACATCTGTAAAGGACGCAAAACCATAGGTGAGAAACAGCCAGGGAGCAGCGCTATCACATCTGCGCTAGTTGCCAATGGAGGACCAAGTCCAATAACACCATCCGTGGTAGAGAATATTGACCGGTACCTGCAATAGCCTAGCGCGTAATCCAGGTATTTGAAAGTCCCTTTAGATAGTGATATCTTGGTGCCCCAATCTGATCTAAGAATGTCTCGCAATCCACGTTTGGCCTCTCGCCGATTCGGTAGGATTGCCGAGTCTTGATCTTCCAGGATGTCAGAAAATGAATCGCAGCACAATGTTCGGTAGAAGATCTCAAGGCGTTGCTCGAAAGTTTCAAGAAGCGTCATACGCTGCGGGAGGATGGCCTTGAGAGCGATTACGAAGTCGTCGACCGTGGATGCTGCCGAAAGCTGGGTGGGAAAGACCCCGGAGATTTTGGCCACCTCAATCCCCATGACTCTCAGGATGCCGTTGTCAATTACGCTCACATCAGAGTTCGAGAAACCAGTGGCCCCAAGTCCGTCAGAAGTCATAAGGGGCTCGCATTTGTTCTCGCGTGACCAATCTGGCACCCATGATGGGCCGTTTGAGGCTGGATCGTGCATCTCACAATACGCTAATAGCTTGAGATTGCCGTACGTGTGCTGCTTCTTCATATAAGATGTAAACATGTCTTGATACACTTCTGCAATTGGCTTTTCGTAGTCGGGGACGATATCGTACTTCTGATCAAGAAGGCCAAGCAGAGCGTATATACGATCTCGCGGATCCGTGCATTTGCATCGCCTGGTCTGCGTCAAGAGATCTTCAAAAGATGGAAATAACCCACCGGTGCAAAGGGCACGAACATGCCGCCGGCGTTCTTTGAAGATTGGGCCGTAGGTGAGTAGGCCGATTTCCTTATCGTCGACGGTTTTGAGCCATAGTGTCTCTACGGCTTTTCTAAAGGCCGGCCATGACAGCTTATGAAAGCCACATAGGAGAACTGCGCTTTGCGCTAATCTGATCTCTTGCTGTATCCAAAGTCGCTCAAACCAAGGCCTACCAAACAGATGGCATAGAGGCATGAGTTCCACTTTTGTGTATGGGAGGGGCTGCTTTGTGTGCCACCAGTGGGATTCTGGATTCCGCCGACTAGAAGTAGCACCTTTGGGAGGCATCAACATATGGCCCTTGAAATCAACCTCAACCTTGGTGCTCAAATCCCTTAATACGTCGAGTGCCAAAGTGCTGTTGTCTGCCTCAGGCCCAACCCAAACCAGCACATTCTTCGTAAGGCTGTAGATATCGGTCATCCTTGGAACCTGCTTGCTTCGTTCTTGAATATCCTGTTGGTTCACACAAATTGCATCGATCCATAAGACCCGAGGTCTATCGATGTACCGAAGATGCTGCAAGGCACATTCTAAGTTCCGTGTAATAGGCAAGAACTGCAGTGACCTGGATGGGACACTGAAAAAAATGTTGACAGGATGGTCTGGAGAGCCCCATGTGTAGGATAAAGCCTCGAAGTCCGGTATAGAATCATGTGCCAGAATGGTAGCTCCAAGCTGAACATAGATAGATGTACCAAAGGGACCAGGAAGCAAATTTAGGAGCCGAATCTGCTGACCTGCCAAAGGACAGTACTCGTATAGTGCTGCAGAAGTTAGGGATAGGATAAATCGACATTATCACAAGAGAGCCTTACTTGTTGTGGGTGATTGTGCTGTGCGCCGAAGAGGAGGGGGAGAGATGCGCCCGAATTGCTGACTCCTATACTCCATTTTGGTTTGCCAGTAATGTAAAGTAAAGTGAGTAGCTGGACTAGCGACATGTAAGTGTCGGGGGAAATTTAAAAATCAAGCTGTTCAAGTTTGTACTAAGGTTCGGAGTACAAGCGCCGAGTATATTTTCATACTACGGTGAGCATTTGTCACCTGATTGGCAGCGCCCGAGGGCTGGTCACGTGCCTTTCTCACAGCTCCTGAGAAGAGTTTTGTGCGGGAACTATTGGGTTAAAAGGGGTCAGCGACTGCATTTCTTAACACCAAATGCAAATGAGGAAGGATGGAAGGGAAATAGAGGATGGAGAGATTAAGAACGGTGAGATGGGAGCTGAACATCTGCTGTCCCTTGTCGGAGTGAACGAGCTTGGTGTTGAGAAAGTTTGAAGAGCGTAACTTTAGGCTCCGGAGATCTTTAGAGGCACTGGTGGTTGAAGAGGCATTTGATGTGACAGGGAGGATTTTATAGGAAAACATATGAGACGCGTGGGAGATGTATTAGTTGACGTCAATGTTATTGCTTGGATTGCTGAGGAATATCTGCTGATCAAGTGCCTGAAAGTTCAGTACAATCTCTCCCCTTTCTTTCTCCATGTGGCTGCTTTGACTCTATACTGAATTCGCCGATACCTTCGCCACGTACCATGCTACCCCCCCTCCCCCGGTAGCCTCCAGCATTAATTCCTCCTCGCCACCTTCGTTTCAGGAGTGCTATACAGAGAGCGCCATTCTTCCTTATCCCAATACCGAACTTGCACCTCCGGTGCCTTGCCTCCTACGTAGCTATCCTTATGACTGTCCACAAACTCCTGCATATTCTCTCTGCAATCCCCCAAGGTCCACAACTCATCAGGAGAGTCCATTATGGGACAAGTGTTAAGTTGTGTGAGGCAAAGCATCTTCAGGCTGGTAAAGCGTAAGCAGCCAATCCAAAGTACAGCAGTGTGCGAAACTGGCTTCTGAAGTGCCCCGTAGCATACGCTGTAACCCAATTTTGCTTGGCAGAATCCAAGGCGGTGTCACAAACATTAGGGCCTGCGCCTTCGTAAAACTCCTTTTTTAGCGGGAACACGAAAACCCGGCTAGCGCAAAATCGCGATTCCACGACCCTTTGGCCACAATACTAAATATTATCTAAATTATAAGAGCTCTTAGAATTTAAAGTTTGACATATTGCGATTAACTGAAGCCTAATGTCTCTACTTTTAAATAAGTAATAGTAAAGTTATTTAAGAAAAGGCAAAAGGCGAATTTTTCGCCTCGCGCGGCCTTGTGCGGGAATGTGTAAAACGACACCCCATGGGGTGTCGATTGGGGGGTCGATTGGGGGCCACCACGTGATGAGGTACTTAACAAATTTCTCGCTTAGGATCAATACTGGATCAATACGGATCGATCCTACCAATACTAAGTGATACCAGGGGGTATTGATACCAGGGGGTACTGATACCGGTATTAATACCTCAGGTATCATTGCCGAGCCTGCTTCTGCACTTCGCTTCCCGCAATTTTTCCTTCCATCTACTTTCGAGTCGAGGACAATATATTTCTGAATATATTTTGCATTTCACTATCCTACAACCCTGGAGTACCCCCCCCCCCCCCCCCCCCCCCCCCCCCCCCCCCCCCCCCCCCTTCACAACTATCGCTGCAGTGTCAGCAGCCCAGGTCGGTAAGGCTGTAGGTCGTAGCTGGAGCTGCCACCAGGGGCTAGTCCCTGGAAGAGGAACTGCAGGTTGCACGGATCAATGGTCATTGTTTGGTCGGGGTTGCTGCGAATCAGATCGCCATGACTGATGTCGTTGGTCCAGGTAGCGCCGCTGTTGGCCTTGCCGGCGAAAGGCACGCTCTCACTTTTGGACTGCTGCGTCCACGTACCGCCCAGACTGGTGGCCGTGAAGGAGCGAAAGTACCGCCCGCCGCTGCCAATCGCCTCGACGATCATGAGGTATTGGTTCTGGCCCTCGACGGTGTAGACCTGAACGGCTTCGAAGAGGGCGTTCGTTGAATCGCTCAGGACCACCGTGGCTGCTGAGCCGAAGTTGCCAGGGAAGTTGCCAATTGGCATGCTGGCCCCGTAGATCTTGCCGTTGTCACCGGCGAAGAACAGGTACATGGTTGTGCTGTCGCCAATGACAGTCTGGTCGATGCAACCAGTGCTGGATGAGATGGTTCCGGAGTAGAGCGCCTGCGGTGACGACCAGCCATTCGCGTTGGTGGGATCGCTGGACGTCCGGTAGGAGAAGGCAGTCGAGCCCCATTGATAGGCAAGCACCCAGATGTTCTTGGGGGCAAAGAGGAAGAGTGTAGGAGCAACGGCGGCTGAACTCATCGAGCTCTGGCTCGCTGAAGCCATGTCTGACCAGTTTGTGAAGAGACCGAAGTTCATCGAGCCATAGCTCGCCGAGTTGTGGTCCGACGCATATACGAGATGCTGGCCTTTGTAGGGAACATGCGTGAAGTCCTTGAGCGCAACCAACCCATTCTTCGGGGTAGCCAGCGCGCTGTTGGGGGTTGCTGTCCAGCGGTACGTTGAGGGAAGAGTGCACGTCTCCGCCACAACAACCGCCGCTGTCGCTAGCAACATGATGCCTTTGGGAAGTCTCATCGTAATACTTTCTCCTTACAAGGACAGGTAGAAGGGAAGAGGCTAAGAATTTGAAGGAGGAAGCTGATGGAAGGGGGGGTCGCCGGGTTTATATACCCCGAGGCATTGCTTTCAAATTCTACTTAACTAACGTTTCACTGATATTCAATAGAACCTGTCTTATAGCAGGCACCCCCACCCGTCAAATTTATTTTTTGCCTTCAAAGCAGTACCGGGAAAGACCCCCGACCCAAGTCTTAAATTATACGACATTGTTAAGAGGTTTGGCCCTTCTGGTTTGAGATGTTCCACGAGTGGTGGTGCACGGTTAAAACAAAATAGAGCTCCTCCTGCCTCGCTTGCCCGGAAGTGACTCGGAAAATTCGGGGCCCCTGATGAATCGCCTCGGAAAGGATCCCGTAACCCGCGCATGCAAGAGATGACTAAACAACAGCAGTGCAGTATGGGAGTGTGGTGTGTGATCTTTCCGGGTCGCCCATCTCTTCGTAGCTTGGCAGATTCTCCTAGTGATGTCACATCCAGGGGTAAACAAGCTGTTTCGCTTATTTACCGAAATCGCCCAAAACACTTGCAGTCGCGTCAATACTAACCGCATTTATACTTGAAATGAAGGTAAGAGTTGTAATCAATACATATTATATATGATACAAGTCTCTTAGTAAATAAGTTTCATGTTTGGGGAAAGGTTGATTTTTTGAAATTTTTTTTGTGACTTCGGTAAATAAGCGAAATTGTCGGATCACACCAGGATGTGCTTTGATTTAATAGCCGCTTTCACTCCACGGGCTTGCTTGTTCCGTAATGCGGGGAACACCCCCGGCAAGGATCTGTAAACCTGCAACGATTCTAAAGTAATCATTAATTCCTACGCTGCGTTACTCCCGCCGGGACCTTTTTGCATGTGGATGTTCCGCGAATCACTACCCTGACTCAACCCTTGTTTTGGTCTGGGCAGGAGCAACGCAGTGGGAAAATTAATATCTGCATCAGGAATGCTACTGGGGTGCTTCTAAACCTTTGGCGAGCGGCCCGGATAGTAAACCCGATGATCGAATCTCGACCGCACTACAGGAAAAGAAACGTACGTTTCGGGATTTGCGGATCTTTGGTCCTGGTGGGAACACAACCGCGGCAATGAGAGGTAGTGGAAAGGGCAAGGGGAGCTGGAGGTATTAGAGCGGGGGAGCCCTTAGTTCTTTTCACATGACCAGACCCACCAGCCTTCGAGATTGATCCCTTAGCTCACTTGAAATCTGCTCTATCAGTGGACGGAATACAGATTTTGGGCATCAACGTGTTTCATTTTTCTCTAAGTAGTGTAAGGCTCATGCTCGCGTCTAGCAAGCCTGAAAATGCATCATCCAACTTTTAAAGATCAATCCCGTCATTTTGTGTGACCACCATAAGTCCTGTCCGTCGAGGGTGATCCTAAAGCTCGGAGTGCGTCTTTGGGTTGAAGGTATTGTCCACAGACTTTAATATCGAGTTGCTAATGTCGATGCTTCAGCTTGGTCGCATAAATTATAATCAACACCACAGCAGCCCCCCCTCCAAGGACAAGCTCGATAATACCATCGACTAGGAGGCCATCCTTTCTAAAGAGCGCTTGTGCAAAGTAAGGGTAATTTTCAAAGTTGAGTGGGGGGATCGAAAAGGTGTTTCTACCCTTAATAAATTGGGTACTGCACTGAGATGGTCGGCACTAGTCAAGGGGCTTCTGAACGCCCGTGAATCCAACGAATTTGGGACCCCAGCGTTATGCTGGTTTCTATGAATAACCAAAAGGCGTTTATGGCCCAAACTTAGCTCCAAGGAAACAACAAGCCATTCACTGGTTCTCTCATTTGCAGGCCTAGACGCAAGTGTCGCCACGGCAAATACATACTCCGAGCCATACGACTATCCCAACGATGCAAGCAGACGTTGCAATATAGATAATTGCAGCACTGCTTAGTCCTCTTTTGGAGAGCGTGCGCGGGCTATAGGTGCTTTCTGCGAAGGTCTACGTTGATGGTAAGGTCGCTGTTCCAGTCCAGATCCGAGGAAGTGAGGATGTTGGATGAGCAGTGACAGAAGTCGGATATATTGCATAGAAAGAGGTTAAGGTGATTAATAACAGAATCAAGTTCCTTGGAACTTGGCCGGAGAGTCTCATTCTGATTGTAATGTTGCCTCAGATACTTCTTTTGTTGTGGAGATAAACAGGAGGAAAGCAAAGAGAGTGGTAGTTTATTTCTTAAATAAACCCTGGACCTGATAGGAAGAGTTAAAATTCGCGAAGACGTAGTATGAATCTGAGTAATCGTCACACATGCAACCTCATTGCCTCTACCGTCGATGACTCTTCAACCAGCACCACGAGACCGAATCATATCAAGATTCAAGAACTGTGAATTGATCGCGGAGAGGGAAGAGGTGTCCTACACCCACCAAGTTTGTTCCTGTATGCTAACATCTTCGAAAGTGAATGAGCTGAGGAAACTTCCCGTTCACCGTTGCTATGTCAGAGGCACCATATCTCGTTCGCCTTTGAAGGGAGCGTCATCAGCGGAAGCACCTTTATGGATTTCTAATCAAAGCTTTCCGACGGGAGGAATAAAATGCGGAGATTATGGCAGTTAAAGCGCTTAGAGCGATCTCTCAACTTGACCACTTACGGGCACCTATGCTCACGAGATTCACTGGACCGTGTCTTTTGGTACACTGCAGCTCAACTGTATTAAAAAGTCCTTGCATATAATATAAATTTCTCGATAGAGCTCTCTTAAGCATACGTTTGCTGCCATAAACCCCAACATGGTCAAAAGTCCTCTCTCGCAGCTGCCAGGGGTATTTGTCCACTATTGAACAAGACCTCACCAATATTACATTTTACGCGATACCACTGACAAACCAAAAGTTACCGCCTATTGAGAGTCCGAGAACCATTGCAACATATAATTGAACCACCACGTACCCATGATACAACCGACAGCGAGATCATCAAAGCAAGGAAAGCCGCAATGCAGAGGTCAATCGCCTAATTCTCGTACCTCATACACTTATCGACAATAGTCGCTGTCATTGACTTGCCATTTGCTGAACACTTGATAGTGGTCGTCTTGCCGCAGTTTGGGTTGCTGTTCGAGAGAGGTCCCATCAAGACATGTGGAAGAGCAACCACCTTTTTGAATGTTCCATTGCTGGTCATACCGAAAGCAGCAAGCTCCCAAGACCGCCTCGTAGTAAGTGATGTCTCCGTGGCAGGGCCTTGCAACCGAGCAAGTAGCACGGACTGCGCAACAGGAAGTATGTTAGTAGATCGTGAGCTATTAGGTAAAATGTTCAAACAGAGACCGCAGTGCGGTGCCAGCGGCAGCTTGAAATTGATGGTTGTCTCCAAATGTCTTTTTTTTTTGTAAGATAGCTCAATTTAGTGACAAAGTCAATATAGATACAAAAACAGTATGCCCCTGCCAATCCCTGCAATATCCCTGTTTTGCTCGCATAGCATTCCTAAAACATGGGTGTACGCCCAAAGGGGAAATAACAGGAGGCCAACTCTGATTAGAATATATAAGCACCCTCTCTGGGTAAACCCTAGAACGGGTGCTTATGCAATTGAGAATTGGATTCCCTTCTAGCCCCCTTCTCCTGTACTTCGCAAGCTAATTTTTATAATTTTATCGTAAAGTAAGGCTTTCTTTTTCGGCTATCCTTTAGCCCCCGGTATACGTATAAAAGGTGGGCAAGACATATATTCCTCTGTCCCTTATTTATATTCGCTTAGGAAGTATATCCTCAAGAATATATATACGCTTCCTGTATTTAAGGCATACGTATATATACGCTCCTGTAAGGCGCCGAAGGTACCGAACGCCGTGCCCCTAGCCTATTAAGGTCCTAATATTAGTAGAGAAATAAGCTTTAGAACTCCCAGAACTAGCGCTCTGTCTAGTTCTTTTGATAATATGGGTTTGTCTTGATTGAATGATGCAATCCATGCATGGGAATCTCGATGTGTAGAAAGGGGGGAAGGAAGTAGAAATTTCAACGATCTTTGGTTGCTTAAGTACTCGTAGTTCTGACCAATAGCATCCATATGAGTGAATGAATGAAATGCAACTCCTGTTTGTAACTCCTTCCAAATCCAACAAGTTTTCTTTATAGATTCAAGCCTGTACAAGCAATACCACCAAGGCCCAGCCGACCGAACCACCCACGAGAACCAACAACGCCATCATTTCACGGCCAGTTCCTCAATCAGGCATGCCCTCACATAACCCTACACATTCCCCTCATCCCGAACTTAGAATCCCCATCACCCATATCTTTTCCCTGTTGAGCTTTGCGCTTCCGTATGTAAAGGAAGATGAGGAAAGCGGTCGTGAATGCGAGTATGATGACGATGATCACCATTTTACCGAAGCTGAATCCATCTCTCTTGGTCAGCGCTCTTGACACGGCTGGCAGCTGGGTGGGATTATCGGGATTTGCTGCTCTGACAACGAACGATGTTCTGTCCCCGCCGATTTGTGTAAGTGGAGAGTGTGGACAAGCAGTGGTAGTGTCTGTGTGCAGTCCCCAGAGGAGAAGGATCAAGCCGAGGAAGAGTTTTCTGTTCGAGAACTGAAATTGGAGCATCATCTTGATTTGCACTCGAGTAGCTCCAGTTCCGAAACACTTGGCGACAAAGAAAGGCTTTTGATAATTCAAGGCTTAGCCAGTGAAGTTGAGTGCAGAGGCTGCAGGATGAAGATGCAAATGCAATGATCTTGCCTGGGTTAATGACTTGATTTGTAGACAATGCAAATGCGAGATGTAGATGGAGATGGAGAAGACTTGAAAGCTCAATATTTTATTGCTTAAGTACTCGACGATCTTGACTCATTCCCGCGATGTCGAGTTCCAAGATCATGCAATGATTCCCATCTACTTCGTCCCGTAGTCCGACCAAGCTATTCAGAGGTAATCATGAGGAATCCGACACTCTAAATTATTGCCATGGTGCTGCATCTAGAGAAACTTATAATAGGCTACCCCAGTGATTGCCAAAATTAGAAGGACGACGATGACGATGAGAGCTACCATGGCAGGTTCACATCGCTTCTCAAGTGGTCGCAGAGCAGAAGACTGTTTGAGGAGGTTGTCAAAGTTGCTAGCTGGGCATCGATAAAGACGGATTATGTACCAGGAGTTGAGAGAGACGAGGCGGGTAGAACCCAGTGGTTGAAGAGTAAAGACCGAAGATTATGAGGGTGATACCGATGAAGACAAAGAGTTAGAGATTTGCAGTAGGAAGTTTCATGCTGAGTGTCTGTACAGAGCTGTCTTGCTTGTCCTTGGCTTTTGTTCGAGTTCGTGTAGTCTACCTTGTTTCTACCGTGTTTGGGGATGGCTCGTTTGTAAGGACCTTGCGATCGGGTTTAAAGTGGCTGGGAGGGACGAATCTTCGGCTGACGGAGAGAGACCTGGCGTCTTTGCGGAAATTAATCTCGTCAGCAAGATTAGCACCATTGGGGATGTACATATGCACATAGTAGTCACTAAGCTAAATAACTCAGGGCTCAGAAGGCGAAATCGCATCGACCGAACCCCGATTCTCCTTAAAAACCAAGCCCGATGCTGGGAGGTACACATACACTCAATCAGAATGGAGAAGGTTAGAAGTGCCAAGCCAACAATAAGGAACATGGCATCTCTGTTAATTATTCCTGACAAAGCTTTGTCAAAGTCGGAATCGGTGGAATTACGTGCTAGATACATCTTGGCTTTTGTGATGGATTTTCGCTGCGGGACTCTCGGGACTGAATGTAGTGCCGTGATGGGTTGCAGAAAATGGGAACATGGTCACAAATTGAGGGGATATTTATGGAGATCAACGAGTTCTGTACCTAAATTTTCCCTTGCCTAAATTCCCAACACCCGCAGAGTGAATCGATGCCAAACAACCGAATTCCACGCACTCCAACCACTTGACTACCCCCTGCCACAATGTTCCTAGAAAAGAAGACAAGAATCCGACAATCGAGGCGTCTCCCCTTATAGCCCTTTCCACCACCATTGTATGCCCTTCCATCACCTTTATAACCCTTTGCATCACCTTCATAGTTCTGTCCATCACCTTCGTAGACCTGCCTGTCAACATTGTACCCCTTTCCATTATCATCATATCCCTGTCCATCGCCAGCGGCAGCTTCCACTTCCAACCTTGCCTTGCGCTCCTTTGATGTGCAATAGCAGTAGATTAGAACTCCAAGGAAACCACATAGCGTGGCTACCATGACCCCAATGATTGCGAGGCCTTTTAGCAAACTCTTCGTAGTCTCCTCAGCCTTGGTGAGATCTCCATTGTCACTGCCGTTATTAGAGTCTTGACCCAGGAGCTTGACCGTCGGCGAAATTGAGGCAGGCGTGCTGGCGAGAAGCTGGCTGAAATGGAGAGAGATGTAGTCGGTTGTCCCAGTACCGGGCTTTGGAGGGAGAGTGTTGAAAGGATGGCCATTAGAATGAAGAACTGGAGCTTCATCTTGAAAGTTGACTCTTCTTGGTGAGCGCTCCGCGAGGTCTTGAAGTTGCTGATTGAGGTTGTTGATTGAATATTAGCGTAGAGAGAGTGAGCAAGTCTTAATGAGCCTTGGTGGTTGAGATTCTTGCTGTAGCGTCTTGACAGATTTGTTCTTCTGTGTGCGAGTGTGTACAATGGAAGAATGTTGTTGCAAGAAAGAGGCCTCTTCGTTTTTTTATAAAAAATAATGTCAACTTCATCCAAACTACACAGAAGACAATCACAATTCTCTCGAATTACGTTATAGTAGTTACATCAAATTTGGTATGAGTTCAATGCTTAGATTCATGCTCTGACTGTGCATTCTTCACTCCCACAGAATGAAACTTTTCGTTATCCAACAACACCCCCAGTTCCTCGTCTAAAATAATCCCAGAACTTTCTAAAGTCCCCATTCAACAGTTTCCCAGAGACAACATAATCTTCTTATCATTACACCACACTCGATTCAACTTGCGGCAGTTCCCACCCTTACAAAAGCATCATAAGTAGTTTCTTGTGCTTCCAACCGCAGTAGCACACAAACACAAAAACAAGGACGCCAATGAAGATAATGACCAAACCGACCACCTTAAGTTTGGTGTGATCATTTGGCGGATTCTGAGGAGCAGCTTCGTGGACAACATGTTGATCGTTCTTGTTATTGCTGCCATATGTACCGTTTCCACGCCAGAGCTCGATTTTGGACGAAGGAGTGGAGGAGCTAACAACAATGCCAGTCGGAGAGGTTGAAAGTTCGACCGGGCTGGCGAGAACTTGGCTGCACAGATTGAACGCTCTAGCCACGAGGATAATTAAGAGGAGATGAAGCTTCATCTCGATCTCTGCTGGTATGGATTCTTGGCTGTGGAGATCGTTCTAGGCGAAGTTTCGACTCGATTAATGTTCTGAATGAGGTATTCGATTTGGGCCGGCGTGCGGTCTTTGATGAGCTTGAGGCGAATATTCTTGCTGAATGTGGCCGACTCGAATTGCGATTTGTGACTTTTTCAAAGTTCTTGATCGAGATTCTTGTTGCTTTTGATTGAGGGTCTGATTCAGCTTTCGATCGAATTGGGTTCTAAACTCGTCGAGTACCTTGGCAGAGTTCTCAATGGAATTCTTGATACGCTCAGTCTACAGTAAAAAAAAATGATGCTAAAAATCAAAGACTTGTATTACCTTAAATAGAACAACCTCATCTGAACAAAGACATGTCTGTACTGCCAGTGTGTGAATGATACGTGGTATTAGTGCTATGATTAAGAGGGGAAATATTTCAGATGGCCCACTGCGTTGACAAATGTTCTGAAATGCAATCTTGAGGAGGCAAAAGATTGCCAGGAGCACCAATGCTACAGACTGTCTATTTCTCAGAATTTCCACCCTTTCTATCGAATATTGTACATCCAAACCAGTCCCCTTTCAAACCTCAAAGACGACTCCATCCTCACCGGGGCCTCGTGCTGCTCATTTATTCCGCCACGCCAAACCCTCGCGGCCTCGCCCACAACAATAGTGAGAATGGCGAAAGAGAGCAACATGGCGATTGCAATGGCAATACCTTGTAGATCTCGAGCTAGATCCTGACCAGTAGTTACCGAGGTTGGGCTTGCCATCTTGTTGTTGTCTGTGACATTCGCTGGAAGCCGCCCAAAGAGATGAAGTCTTGCCAAGAAGACATGCTCTGGGCGACTGTTGGAAAGCTGGTGGTTGAAGAGAGGGAAGGAAGAAAATTGGCGAAGAGCTTTTGTGTAGGCTTTGACTGCCATGAGTATCGTGACTTTAAAAAGGACAAGTTGAAGTTTCATTTTGTATCCTTTTAGTCGTTAAGTTCTTCGTGCTTTTATCCTCGAGTATGAGAGATTTGAAAGCTAAGAATCTTCCGGAGCAGAGTCTCAAATAGCACAATCATACTTCCCCAGAACCTAACTGTATACCAGTCCGCTACCGGCAACTTGTGAGTCATGTCTCAAGCGATGTGTGGGGCTTTGACTGAATGTTTTGAATGTTGCTTTCTATTTCTCTCTGTCTAGTGTGATTTCCAAAACACTACCACCTCCTCATTATTCACGATATTGACCCCCGTCAACTGTCCCCCAGAATCCCCAATCTCAATTATCGTCGCCCCTTCGACACCAACCCTTTGCTGCTCCGTCGTCGCCACACAATTCGTAAACGCAACTGTGCCGAAATCCGCGAATGACACCAACTGATTATTGACCTCGAAATCCTCCACAATCCACTCCGCATTCTGGCCTCCAAGCGCATACGTTGAGCTCAGATCAATGTACGCTTGGTCTCCTGTCGTGATGTTCTCGATTATTGCAGTGCCTTCGGTGCTGCTCGAGGCAATTACAGTCATGCTGACTTCATCACCGGCATTGATAGCGATGTCAAAAGTGTATGAATAATCTGGAAACCACTCATACCACGCATCGAACGAAACTGATCCATCAGCCGCAACATTCATATCAATTCCAGTCTGCAAAATCGCGTTGCTGTACGTATCGCCGTCAATCCCAACCCACACAGCTGCGGCAAACGATTCGCCCGTGCCCATCCCGTTTGGCGGAATTGATGGTGTAGGGACTTTGATAGCACCGGAGACGGCATTGAATGTTTGGCCTGTAGGAGGGGCTTTGATGACGGCGCCACCCCAGTTAGAACTGTAGTCTGTGTGAGATGTGGTGGCTCCTTTTGATTTGGATTGTTTAGTTGAGATTTTCTTGGGCAGAGATTGGAGATTTCGACTATTTTGCGTTGCGTTTGTGTTTGTGTTTGCGGATGTAGTTGTATTTGCGATTGCCCTGAGATTCTGGGGAACTTGCCGTCGTGAATTCCGTGATGTGCGGGGTGCTACGAGAGATGTGGCGCAGAGGAGAAAGGAGCTAATGAGGGCGAGGGAGAGCTTCATTATTAGATGTATAGGCCTGAATGACGGAAATTGAAGACTGAAATGGATGTAATGAACGATATAATGTAGAGACCGACGACGAGGTGCTCAAGCAGAATGAATGACCTGAGTACTCGATGGGAGAGTAGAGACTGTGGTGGGTGGAGACCGTGAAGCACTGTGACTTGAAAACGGAACAACAGGAGGAGTTACTTCCCTTCATAAACACAACCCCTCATAGAGAATCATCCAGCACTGCATGAATGTACTTCCTTTCCCACACACATGGCTTGGTATTCATCTCAGCATAAAACAATCCTTTTGTTCATAAGCCCCCGCTCAGAGCCTCCTTCACTCGTTTCCCCTGTCATTCTTGCCTGAGCATGATGAAGGCATGCATATCCGCCAACGAAAGCCGTGCCCCGCAGTGGAGATACAGGATCTAAATCCCACACGTCTCAGTCCTCTGAGATGAACTCTTCCGAAGAGGTATGCGGCTGCCCCACTGTCCTGCCCCTTTCAATCAGCAAACACTGTTTTCTTAGCACTTACTAATCAGTGCATGAATCATAATCAGATGAACTGGACAAATGCATGAAAGACTTTACGGGCACGTCCCTGGATCAGCGACTGACAGGTGAACGGAGTAGGCTGTGTGGATGAACTCAGGGCGCCAACCTGCCTATCAGGTGCAGGGGCTGAAAATAGCTTGTTACAGAGTTTAGCGAGGCGTGCACAGCCCCTGGGCAAGGGGCTACCACTATCTACCCCTCAAAGCGGTACTACATTACACATGATTTTTCATTCTGAATCTGAAAGTATCTCTGTAGTCGACACTTGGGGTCCTATGGCGAAACGAACTGTCTATGAACAAGAGTCCACAGTTCTTGTTTCACATCAGGGCTGGTCTGGCGGTCTTTCTAGACTTTCACTGTTTTGGGGAACGGGAGACAGCTATCCGCCGACCTTGAACAAGTTGGTCGACGATCCAGTTGTTCTTTCTGTGCTTGGAACGTTTCTTGAAGTTCTGTCTCTTCTTTTATTGAGATCAGGTCTCTGGCAAGGCGCCGTATATCATCCCAGCTCTCGCCATCGGCATCTGCAGCATCTGATTCCTCCCCAACACCATCTCCAAATGCCCTTCACTTGCTTCCCTCACCGCAACTGGTTCATTCCACGTCCTGCTCTCACTGATACCCGCGCAAGTATTGTGCAACTTCTCACTTGGACCCGAGTTCACCGCCAGCGCAAAGAACTCCGGAATCGTTTCCCACGCTCCAGGAAGTCCTCGATCCTTCCACATGATTTCCCTCAAAACGTACGCCATGTGGGCAATAGCCACAACCAGATGCACGAGGAGTACAGAGATCCCGAATTGTGTAGTTCGGCTTCCCCCCCAGTGGTAGCCGTACCCATATCGCTGAAACGTGGGGTTCAGTCGTAGCCACTTCTCTGTATCTGCGATGTTTGTCGTGTTAAGTGGCTCATCTTCACCACCAGTTGCACTTGTGAACACAAACCGGCCTTGAAGGGTTCCGTCTGCTGTTTTATTTGGGAGCAGGAAGAAAGGCGCGCTGAATGGATAGGAGCCATCTCCTACATTGCGAGCCAATCCGTCCGTCACGACTCCGGCGAGGACGGTACTGACGAGTTTTGCTCGTTGTCTTCGAGCAACGTCATCTGTTACGACCACTCCGGCCACACCTGGTATTGGCGCTTTGAAGATCACGCCGTTTGGGATGTAGTTGCTGTCGTTGTAAATGAAGCGTTGGTAAATCCCTAGGAGGGCTGGGAGGTTCCCCGTAATAAAGGCAATTGGTTGGTTGATTGCATTCGCGTACTCGATGTCAATTGTGGTGTTGATCGATTGCCTTCCAGAGGACGCATCGACAGGAGTGTCAAGGCATGTGTCAGACATACTGCCGCGGATACCATAAGAGACCTGGTCATTGACGGTTGGTTCGTAAAAAGCATCGACTGGGATCCATGATGAATATATGCTGCATGCAAGATTCTCGGTGGTTTGGACCCAAGCACCGTTGATGTTTTCGATCAGAGGAAGTGCCAGAACGGCACCAAGAGACGGCGATTCCGGGCCAGTGCCGGGTATCTCAACAAAGGTGAAATTTGATGCGTTTTGTGGACGGCTGTATTTGTATGCCCAGTCTGGGACCTGGATGGGACTTGCTCCCCCAAATGATGGGAACACCATGTTAGTTTGATTTTCTGGATTCTCGGGGTCGAAGTTATAATTCGAGTATGAATTGCACATTGATTCAACTCGGGGTGCAAAGATCGGCGTTTCGGAGTCGATGTTGATATGCGGTTGAGCAGCTTCCAAGGCAATGCCGTGGAAGTTTTGCTGAGCGAATATCCACTGTGGGTTGTCAGTATTGTGAAACTTAAGCAAAGGCGTTGGAATAATGTCGAACAAACACACTAGAGAATGAAGAGTGTTTGGAGAGGACGCACATAAGACGTCAAGGCACCACTTATGAACGAATTGAGAGACACCGCAGATGCTCGTCCATCGAAAGTGCTATTGCAGCTCTGAGCAGATAGAACTCTCCTCGTGGCCCCCGTCGCATCAGGAAAAGTGATATTCGCACCCGTGTCAGTATCTGTAAATAACAACCCACCAGCCCAGCCGTACGTATCTCTGAAGCCTCCAACCGGGCAAATTTCTTGCTCTGGATCCGAATTCGGGTCATTGCAAGGTATTCCACTGTTCGGGGCATTGAGACTGGCAGCACTGAGTGTTTTTGGCCAGAGCTCAGTGCTGACGTTCCAGACGTAGTATGGCACTAATGGGGTGACGAATGGACGAGGAAGGTCGAAGTAGTTTAGAGTCGGTATGACGGCAATCGCTGAAGACGGACCCGCAAGTGTAACAAGTATTGTTGAGAACAGTGAAAGCAGCCAGAAATGCATATAAGGGAGTCCCTTGCCAGTAGAAGGGCCCACTGACCACAAGAATGACCAAAATGATTTCCGACGCAGGAACTGAGCAGAGCTAAGTTCGAAAGCATTGGCTATCATTCCAAGAGGTAGGCCTGATCGTCCAGTTAGTTGCGCTTGGATCGCGTGAAGTACAAGTGCTGATACTGACGCCAGTATCAGCAGTTCATGGAGTTTCGCAGCCAGTTGGAGGAAGTTCAGTGCTCCGCCTTGTGTGAGGCCAAATGCAACCGGCTCGTCTGGCGGTCGAAGATCCATCCAGTACACATTTCTGAAGCTGAGCTGGCACACTGCCAGAGTGACGAATACTGCAATTATGTGCGGTACCAGTTTCTTCCAGTTTCCTCGCAGTCCTCGTTTGATTGCCACTTTTGGCGCCTCGCCATAGGGTATCACGACATTGTCGGGTGGAAAGATGTCTGAGCAAGAACGGAACCCCCTGAATTCGACTGAGACCAAGGGAGCATCTTTGGTGTCTTTACTATCCGGTGGCGAGATATCTGTGGAATGTTTCAGTGAAGTGTAGTCATTGCCATGCACCCCTCTCGGCCAGCGGTTGGGTGCGAAAGGAATCGAGGACAGCTCGGTTTCACCGGCCGTGGGAGCGCCTCTTGGGCTTGGTGAAGGCTGCACGATACGGCTGTCGATTGTTCTCTGCCACGCCGTGCCATCGTCAGGAATGAAACTCATCGGGCGAGGCTTCCTTTGAGTTGAAGAATGGAACATGATTGCCAGAATCAGAACATTGAAGTCAAGGAGAGAGAGGATGCAGGAAGATCAATAGAGGTTGTAGTACTCCCCCCCCTAAATAAATGTAATAGTGGGTCCCCCCAAAACCAGCCTGGCACGGTCCAGTTGCCATACCAAAAAACCCCTGCACTTGGACCCACTGTTACATTTAATTAGGGGGGGGGGAGAGAGTATAGGCAGAAACATTGCAACCGCAAAACACAAAATACGCAGGTGCAGGCCCTAATGTTTGTTACACCGCCTTGAGTTCTGCTAAGCAAAAGTCGGCTACAGCGCATTGTTACAGGGCATTTCAGCGCAACCCGCAAAGGCGGTGTAACAAACATTAGAGCCTGCACCTGCGTAAGGATTATTATTCTCCTTCCAACCCTGGCCAGACTTCAGCCAGGACAGTCCCTTCGCGTCTCAACCTTCAGCCCTGGGGAAAGAACCATGAGCCTGTCGGCCGATGACGCCACAGGCGCTACTATTCAGGGGAATGGTCGCAACAGCACGGGCGCTGAGCGGTCGCTGAACAATCACAGTAAGCACTAACTTGCCCTGAAACACCACCGGCGAGACCCAAAATACCTCCCTATCTGCGCTTCCTACCTGGATGATCATTGATCCCATGCAGGTTGTCGAAACCTCAGAGGGCTATCCGCAGAAGATTAATTAATCGAATGACCACGCTCCTCTACCAATGAAAGCGCTGGGGTCCTTTGTATCGAAAGGTGGTAAGCAGGGTCCACCTCCACAAGCATTGTGACTATCTTCGCTAGAATAGATTCCTATCTATCTATCCTCGAACAACTTTTCCTTCGAACTCTCAGAGCTCGGTTCTATCTCATATCAGCAATGTCGAGTCGAATCGCTTCAGTATAGAAAGGTTGGCCCAGAATAAACCCCATGCGTTGCAGGTTGGAAGGACGATCACCTCGAAGAGCGTGATCATCGGCTTCACCCTCTTCGAGAAGAGTCATCGGATTCAAGGGCATGGAAGTATTCAAATCCATTATATAGTCATCTTGAAGAAACATTTCCATCTATTTTTCTTCCAGCCCCGCCGAAGCGGTCACGTCCATGTCCTCGTCGTTGGTTGCGTTTCCCGTCCCCGTTCGAAGAGTCGAGAATCGAAAGATGACTCTACAAAGCAGTCAGTGGAATCACGATTTATAGGTGGGCGGAGCAAATCGAACTATTCGTTGTCCTAACAGGAGAGCTATCCGCAACGGCAGGAATAGGCGCTGAAGGTTTGATTTGAAATTTTCTACCCAGAAGCTCGATGATTGACGACACTGGGCACACTCGTTCCTAATTATTTCAAAATAATCGCCAGCGCACACGCCTGGAGGGACATTGTCGTATTTTGTAGAGAGAGAAAGGCAAGAATACGTCCTCAGGAAACTGTTCTGGTCAATGGTCGACCTTCCTTCGTATTTAACGATTGGGGGTAATCGCGAGGTGTTCTACCGTTTTCGCCTATTTCGGGAATGTGTAAAACGACACCCCCGGGTGTCGATTGGGGTGTCGATTGGGGCGGGGGTGTTGATGACTTGTAATTGGCTATCTAAGCTCCCTAAAAATCTTAAGTTAGATTTTTTAATATAAGTATAAGTTAATATATTATAATCCTTGTATTATAATCACGCGCTTTCTAGCTTGTAATAGAAAGATTCCTTAAAATAGAATTTTAATTTAAGGAAGTTTATATACTAATTAATTAAGTTCTAGTTTTTTAAGCCCTATAAGGCCCTACAAATTAGGGGGTTATAGGGCTCATGTATCTGGTTTTAGGGACTTATTCGCTAAATTTTTAGGCTTTCTTAAGCTTACTTTTAGTCTATAAAATATAAAACTTTTAACTTCTTTAATTTGAAGAGCTATTACTAATCCAAATTTTATAAAAAGCTTATATTTGAATAGCTCTTAATTCGTGCTATATGTAAATAAAATAATCATTAAATTATATTAATTCCTTATTAAATTAAATTAAATTAAATTAAAGAAAAAGCCAGAGTTTTGGTGTTCCTGTCCGAGCGCCTCTACGTTGGGTTAGTGGCTACCTAATCCTAGTAATCGACACCCCAATCGACACCCGGGGGGTGTCGTTTTACACATTCCCCCCTATTTCCCTTAAAATAGGCGAGGTATGCCTGCAACGAGCCTGCGGACATAAGTCCGTGTTTTTAGGGCATTTCGCTAAGAAACGAGCCCCATAACTATTTTGGATGCTTTCGTTTCATATTCAGAATTAAGTTTAAAGGCCTTCTAAGCTCAACTTATCCTTTCTCACTGTGTCCGCTTGAATTATATGAGGTTTTAATCTGTATTTGTAAAGAAATTGTGAAGTGAAATGGGCGACTTTGGTTTTGTGACGTCTGAAAACATCGCTAAAAACACGGAGTTATGTCAACAGGCTCGTAAGCAAATTTCAGCGAGACGCAAATATTTTATATTTTCCTCTAACTACGCCTTCTCCTAAGAAATCTAAAGAACCGGAATCATTATTTAAGTAATAAAAATAGAATCTAGATACTCTTATTAGGTTTAGCTTAACAAATATAATATTCTACGAGCAAGTTAAGAGTAAGCTGCGATTTTGATATTTGACTCACAGACTGAAAAGTGGATTTATCCTATAAGAAAATCACTTGTGCTTCGCCGAAATTTCCTTATCTAGAAGCGAAATCGGTGTCCTCTTCTCGCCTTTATTAATTTTGTAGCACGGACCAAGAGTTCGCCACATGCGGCTGGTGGGGCAACATGAGGTAGCTTAGAAATGGCCTCGAAATCGTTATGTACTATTTTTCTAATAACGAATAAAAGCCAAAATTTAATCAAATAAAGAGATTAATACTTGTAAGAGACTTAAAAAAGTCCTTCTTAGATTAAATTCTATTAAAAATAAAAATATTTATTTAATTCTATATTTAGAGTTATAATAAAAGGTTTCAGTTAAGATCACCTGATTTGTTACATGGCAACTGCGTGCCAGTGGTTACGTGCAGGCTCACATGACCACACTCACTGTATTTAAGCTTTGGCCACCCGTGCCACACCTCCTTTCTCCTTATCAATCTATATATTATTATTACAATATAATAACAACGTTTTATTGTAACATGATTAATATAATTAACTAAACTATTTTCAATGGATCCTATTAATAGGATTCTAATAATCTATAATTTTCAAAATATTTTAATATTTCAAAAATTTGCTCGTATTCGACTTCGTATTTATAACCCGGAATTCGCTTAAGTAAGGTTAGGGAATTAAGCAATCGGGCCCGCGATTAATCAATGGGGACCCCGATTGATCAATCGCTCGTATTGACAAACTGGGGGGAACAGAACGCACAATCAATTGGTTCTTCAATACGCAGGTACGACCACCACTGAGATCGTTGCAGCCAGCTGACAAAAGCTTCTATTCTAGACCTGATGGTGACAACCAATGACGATCCTTAAGACAAGCGAGCAAATAACAAGGACAGTTGCTCCTCGCGCCCAGGGGCGAAGCGTAAGCACTTGCCCCCATGGGGGCCATTTCCAGGGGCTCGGACGATAAGCGGGCCTCAGGGGGGCAGCCTTTCAATAAGGCGCTACCTTGAACTCCATCTGTCGGTTTCAGCAGCGATTTCATCTTTCTTACCTTTTGGTTTTGTGCACGTCTCTCTTTTCTTTTCTCAATGCAGTTGTTCATCTAATCAACACATGTCAAAAATGACGACCACACATCCCGCCGAGCTCAATAGTGGTGTCTGGACATCATGGCTTCCAGTAACCACAGCCTGGTCCTCACAAGCGGCGTGCAACTCCGAAGCGTGGGCGCGATACGGTATCCAAGCCACGGATGATTTCTGGCCATATATCTACGATCCCGCCTACGCACAATCGGTCGCCAACTCCGTGACTTGTCTTCCTCCGCAAGCGACAAGCTGGTGGGGAGGCGGGTCTACGGTCTCGGAAACCATTACCAGCTATAGTATTGGACCAATTGTGTGTCCTGCGGCATATACAACATACAGCACGAGCATTGTGTCTGGATCAAGTACATCTGTAATATGCTGTCCAACGTACGTCTTCCATCCTTTAATTGCGAGTGACTCGCTGACCTGGAAACTTGAATAGTAATTACAACTTCGCGCGCAGCCTCAATGCCAACGGCGGAATCGATGGCGTCTGCACATCCGCCTTCACCTCCGGCCAAACTCTCATCTACGCGTCGCCCGTAACGAACTCCTTCACCTCTGCCATAACAACCTTTACCTCGCCAGCCCTCATGATTGCCGTGCCTGTCGAAGGCTACAACTTCGCCGCGTCCACAACCTCTTCCTCTTCGAGCGGGACTACACAGAGTACAGATACAGGAGCGACGGGTTCGGGGCCGACTGCTTCAAACACAAACCCGCCCTCGAGTGGATTGTCAAGTGGCGCAAAAGCGGGGATTGGCGCGGGCATTGCTGGGCTTGTGGTTGTGCTTTCGGCGTTGGGCGCCTTTTGGTTTTTCAGGCGGAGGAAGTATCAGGCGGCTCCTGCGAGTGAACTTCCTGTGAATGGATATGGAGAAAATGGAGGTCCTAGTGGGGAATATAGAGGCGCTTTCGGGCCAGGTAAGAATGGGACCCTCGTTGAGGCGGAGGCCAAACCCATGACGCAGAGGTATGAAATCGATACCAGCAGTTACAAACCCGTGGAGCTGGCTGGGTAGACAATGCCGAAGATGTAATTTATTGATACCCTATTCTAAATGTTCGATGATAGTACGTACCGCTCTTGTCTTCTGAATTCCTTTCTTGGTCTACATGACCGTATGCTAAATATAAATCCTACAAGCCCCATGGTCCAAAGTTCCATCATACCCTCAATCACCCTCCCACCCCCACTCATCCTCGCAGGGACTGGTCTTAATGGGGGCACAACTCCAAAGGGGGAGTAGTGCATATTCGGCTTCGGCACTCCCTCTTCCCTACCATTAACAAACTCCACATCAAACATCATCAAAAATACCGCCATGCTCCTCAACGCTTCCTGCTTAGCATATAACTTCCCTTACAAATCTTCGGCCCGCCTCCATACGGGAAATACGATCCCTCTACCGGTTTCGTCGTATAGTACGGTTCGTCGCTCTTTCCTCGCCATTCTTCTTCTTTTTCGCTGCTGGGTAAGCACTCGGTTCCACCGTCCGTCAAAGAGTTGTTGGGATATACGATGAACCTCTCAGCCCAAAAATCCTCAACAGAGGAAAATTCTCCATTCACAGGTTGAGTTCTGCCTCGAGGTTCGACATGAATCTTGTCGCCAACACAGCTAAGGCTGATATAGCCAGGTTGTCGTTTGACGTCATCTGCATGATCTGGAAGAGCCGGTTGTGTGTTCCGATATCACTTCTGCCTGGTGTTAGTTGGGCCAGGACACCTATGTTGTTTCTCCTATTGGGTTCTCTCGAGCTTCTGCGCTTCCAGAGGCGTTGCTCATTGCTATTCGCGCTTGGTCCAGGATTGTCACTTCCCGCGGGGATTTGAAAAGGCGAGGTCGTTATCAGCCCCGTGGTGAAGGATATCTACTGGCTTAGAATCTGAAAGGTGGCTGCTGAATTGGGACCGAATGAATTTCTGCTCTTTGTTAGAACACATTGCTGTTAGAAGGGGGCTACTTATATCATCTTGGTATAGAATTGCTCGGTGTCAAAGGACAGCGGGTCCCCAACGCCGGGTATGGCGAATGGCATGATTGGTGGGGATTTGGCCTCGCCTGTCTGAGATCGAGCGACGTATGATTGTATCGACGTAATTGCTTGCGTTAAAACGAATGATGATAGGAAGACTACTACCATAGTGACGCTGAGATCCCATTGAAGAGCGGAGGCTCTGCCCTCGAGAAGGCTGACTAGCATGGCTGGCGTGTTGATGAAGGCGGGGATTATCGGAGAGAGATGTTGTTGGGTTTTTAATGGGAGATAAAGCCCAATAGTGGGACTCGGGGTAGACAAGGAGATGGCTGGGCGTTTCCCCTCCTGGGATGATTGGTGCTGGGCAATATCTGGGCTGTGTTTCGTTGCTATTCCTATTCGCCCGTGTTTCGCGGCACCTGCCAATTCTTCGGAAAGAATTTGACTTTCCAGCAACAAACAATAATTTTAGATGATGAATAGCGTCGTTCCAACCAACGAAAGCTTGCTGCAAAGAAATAGTGAAGAGTCGAGAGGAGGTTGTGTTTAAGTATAAGAATATACTGAGGGGCAAACTAACATCGGCCTCCTGTAGCAAGTCAGCACCTGACCTGGGCTTCCCTGGAAGTCTCGCTACCCCACATCCTACGAAATCCGAGCAAATCGTGGACTTGATTGTTGCGAAATATCTATTTTGTGGCAACATATGGCGTATTCGGGACTGTATGTGCGACATGGTTTGTTCTTGAGTAATCTTGTTCTTGTCCGTATCCGGAAATCAATTGATTTGCACGTTTTTACAATGGCAGTAGCCCACACGTATGTTCAGTTCGGATAGTCCAGTCGAGAACAATGAACATGTACACAATCGGAAGGAACCTCTTTTCATTTTATCTCTCCAACCGATCCCTAGATTTCATGTATTGTCTAAATAGGGTATCCACCTCATCGAAAGAAAGCTTGGAAGATGTGGCGAGTCCTTTCCCATACATCACGCGCTTGGACTGAAACTTCTGGAAGGCTAACACCAAACTATCGTAAGGTGGATGTTCTTCACACTCCCTGAAGGTGGTCTTGAAGAAGACGAAAGAGATATTTCGAATGCAATTAAGTATTATAAACCACGAGGCCAGCCACCCACTGCTCAAGGCATCTCTGACAGCCTCTGCCCAGCTCCCATTTCAGAGTAAACAATCGTATCTCCTCCCTTTTTGTAGCCAGCCTCCTCTGGCGTGTTGCTGTGCTCAGCCAGACCAGACAGTTCCGCCTTTCCGGTCCTCATATCCGGCTCATGAACCTCTGCGCGATCCAGCTCTGGATGTCCTTCGCCTGCTCCTCTCCGTCTTCGAAAGAAAAACAGCAAAGCGATACCAGCTAGAATCAAGAGAGCACCTCCTCCCACACCCGCTCCAATCCCGATTTTCGTTCCTGTTTTGCCACTTCCACCGCCATTGCCATTATTATTGTTAGGGTTCGTAGGTTCAGGAGTCGATATTACGGTCGTGAGCGAGACTGATATGGAAGGAGATCTTGTAGGCGAGGAACGACCAATAACCGTCACTGTTGACGCAGCGGCGAGGGCATAGAGAGGGTGTGCAGTGGTGTTTGTTAGGTTGCAGCATGAAGAAGGGCTGTATGAGTCGAGCTCGCAGCAGAACTGGGCATCAGGGCAGGCAACTATAGGGTCCCACTGTGATGGAAATACTACCGCCGAGTTAGTGATAGGAGACTTCAAGTTTGAACGCTAGAGTTGGGATACCGGTTTTGCAAACATTCCCGCAATCTGCACTGTTCCCTGGTAGATTGTCAACTGACGTATCGATAGTGCAAGAGCGAGGAAACCGACTTACAGCTTGAATCGGTGCAGCTTCCCCGGATATAGGCCAATGGATATGGCATCTGCGAGTCAGGCCAGCGACAAAGATTATTTGACATGCAGGTGTGCCCTTGCCCACAACAGATGCTTGATGCTTGGTCCGGAAAACATGGCGAGTCAAATTCGGCAAATGTTCCATCTGGAAAGTAGCAAGATGCGGCTTTCGCCATTGGCAGCGACAGGTAGATAGCCTTGACAACAGAGGTCGCAAGACAGAAATTCCAGAAAATCTTCCATCAGGATAGGTTGGGGTAGTTATACCTGTTTTGTTTTTGGGAGGCACTAAAGCAAGCCATCGGCTCACGTTCAGCCTTGTTTTGCAGCTCTGGACCTTACTGGAGCCGAGCCGACGAATAGAGTCGCGAGTTTATGTCTCAAAACGCCTTCGATCTCTATCGATAGGGTAAATTCCAGATGAACAAATTTCGCAGGATTTAGCCAAGAAAATGAGCGACACCACCGCCGAGTCCCAGACCACTTGGGCAACGCGTGACCTATGGTCAGCTTTGTTATGGGAATTGAGGAAAGCCATGGACGGAGGTTTCCTTCGCCAGGGATTGATAGCCTTCCATTTTTGGGGCTTTCTGCAACGTGCGAACAATAATGTTGACCTTAGTTGCAATCACAATCGTATCTATGTTTGTGATCCCATATTTCCGAAGCAAAATCGCAGTAAAAATGATCCACCCCTTGATTTTTGTGGAGATCCCGCCAATTCGCCTAATTCAGGGGCTCGGTTAGCTCCCCCCAACCCAACCCAAAGTGAGCGGCACAGAAGATAGCACCGATAAATCTCTGGGTCTGGTTCGGTGGTTCTCTACACAGCGTAGTGCGAAATATCAGGTAATACCAGCATACTCCGCAGCTATATCAAGGGACCATAGTTGATGTCCTCCTGACCATCCTAGGATCCACCACAAATAGGAAAAGAGGTATCAGAAGTGGATTATGCCACGGCTCCGTGCCAGGCGCTGAGACTATGCGGACAAGACGTGGCAGAGCATGACCGCTGGAGTGCATTGAGCACGGATCGGAAGCCTGCTGATCATCATCACGCAACGGTGAGAATGCGCCGAGGAAGGTGTCCTAAGAAGGTTATAGCGGTATTTTGATAAGGTCCTGCCGTAAGTATGAACAAAGTATGTACACGAGAAAAGTGGAAATAACCCTTGACCAATTCCCTTCCACAACTTATTTCCAAACCTGCAGATATGTGCCATCCTATTTCGTTGTCCAACACCATGAGTTCATCGGCTCAGAAACACGGTGAGGCACAGAGGACGGCCTAATACAGGGCTTAGAACTTCGGGTTTGCGTTGGTAAGAAGTTGTACGAAGTAAGCCTACGTGAAAGAACTCAGCATGAGGACAAACATTTGTTCTTAGATTCCGGTCACAAGGGGCTCAAGATATAAATGACATACCTCGAACCAAGTACCAGCCTGGGGGGCAGGCTGAAGCGCGTCGCTAGAGCCGCAATGAAAGTCGTAACGAGGCGCCGTGGAATTTGAACTACCATCTGCCTCGCCACCGGGTTTGACCCAGACGAAAGCATCCTCTAATGCATCGCCCGTGTTCGTGGTAGGACGCACGCCAAAACCAGTTCCGATTAAGTTACACCAGTCACCCCAGGCATTCTGAGCAGTCGGTTGAACACCGTTACGGCCTGTAAGATATCGCCATGATTAGGATCACATACTTTAACAGTACGGTACCGCACAGTAGAGTTTTGGGTTAAGTTTTTAGGTTAGGTTTTTGGGAAAAGGGATCAGACATACCGGTGTCGGTGATGAAGTGAGCTGACCAGCCTTGGCTTGCAAGCAATGGCGCCAAAGCGTTGATATACAGCTGCTCATCGCAACTGGCATCGCCTGACGTGTAAGACGGGCATGGACTAATGGTCCATGCATTGTAGTTTGCGACATTGGTTGCCAGTCCACGTAGAGAGGCTGGCGCACCTGCATTCTTGTATACGGTTGCAAAGAGGGTAGCGGCGGGGCCGATGTTGGCGGACCAGCCTAGCCATCCCGCATGTCCTGCATACAAATTAGTGAGTGGCCCTTAACACCGAGTCTCGGATTCTTTGGGGTATTGGAAGGGAGAGAGATAAAGGGGAACGTACCGGCATCGATGTACATGGCGACGTTCGGAAGATTCAGTTGCGTTAGTGCGTAATTGACACACTGCATGTACGCACTCTGAGCTCCAGCGCACTTCGCAACATTCAAGTTCGTGATCAAGTTGGCCAAGCTATCAGGTTCTGTTCCAGAGATCCTCAAATTAGCGACTTTGTTCCCCTCATTTTGAAGCTCTAGGATCGGAAAGGAATGAGCACACCGATTACAAGGATAGTATGGACATCCGAATAAGTAACCAAGAGCGCGCGGATAGAATCGATATAGGCGAAGTAATTAGCAACACCATTATCGGCAATGGTAAACTCCCCGTTACTCGCCGCGGCGGAGCAGTCGCGATCCGGCAAATCGTAGACGACGAATTGGCCGGCATAGGGAGGATTGGCTCCTGCGGCGTTCAATGCCTTGATACTCTGCAAGTAGGTGCCCATCAGTGGTACCTTTGCTGTAGTGTCTCTATTCATTAGTTAGTCAAGTGGATAAACAGGCTCAGGGTCATGTGGTAAGTTGGGGAAAACCACTTACAGCCAAAGGAAAGATGGCACTTCTGCCGCGGCGCTGGCTGCTGCAAGAAGAGTTCCAGTTAAGGAAGGGATAGCAGAGGCGTACACCTCGGACGAATATTCCGCATTCTTATAAAGCTGGTATCCGGCGTACGGGTTCCCAGCTGCAGATGCAGTGGTGGTGGCTGACGTTCCGCTGCTTGTTTTGGCCGAAGTAACACTGGCTGTCGAGGTCTTGCTTGTGGTCGAAGTAACACCAGTTATTGAGGTCTTGCTTGTGGTTGAAGTGACCAACGTGGTTGTCACGCTCTTCGTTGTGACAACAGCTGCTGGGGTGCATTGCGCATAATCTAGATGTGGAAATTCCGCGTTAAATTCTTACTTCCTGAATTGATGGTGTTTAGGATTGGAGGGAAACTGTGCTTACAAGAGTTTTGTGTGCTACAAGTCGCGCTGGCTACACAAACGGTTGATCCTGTCCAACCGATTCCCCCGCCTGGTAATCAAGTTAGAGTTGAACATTTGAGGAAGTTATAGATATCATACATTGGCCATAGAGGGTTTGCTGAGCCTGGACAATGGGCAAGAGGAGGACTAGAGTGCGAACCAAGAAATACTGCATGTTGAAGGTATCGAGATTCAATCTACCAACATCTATTTTCCAATTCCGAACAGGATTTTCTTGGGCAGAGTATGAATCTGTCACTCTAAATATCTTTACAAAAACCTCCTGAATTCAATATATACTTTTTGCCCCTTAAAACAACGGCAACCCAAAGCCGCCAACCCGAAATTTCGACTCAAGAGCTTGATCATTAGAGACAGTCCTTGGACATGGAGGAGGGAGCCAAGCACAAAAATTGCGGGACGGATTAACTAGTTTCAATAATGGTGGAGACATCCTTGTAACGCGGGACGGCAGATTTAATCTATCCCATACGGACCGTCCGTCCGTCGACGGATTTTCGACGGAGTGCTGCAGGGATTTGTACACAAGACAAGGTTTTAATTCTTAGGTAGTCTTCCCCCTTCTCCTGGTCGGAGCCAGTCGGCGCCAGTGATTTCTGGATGTCAACAAGACGGGAAGCCTGGGGAAGGGTCTCAGATGGCGTTAGCTGACGCGGGGTAGCGAGCCCCACCTCTACCTACCTAAAAGCTTAATTCGAGCCAAGACTACGTTTTGCCACCTATCACCTTGTAGCACCTAGCCTAATTGCCCTGAGATATCCTCTCATGCGCGGGTGAGGCGGGCCGAATTAAGCTTAATATCCATTAGGCTTGACGAAGTTCTGTGGTCCTTGATGCCATGATCAAGAAAGTTGGACACATGATGATTCCCCGCATTCTGTGTCCCTTTTGTCGCTGCTCAGCAAATCGGAACAACCCTAGGGCTTCACCACAACTTACCACGTGGGGATTTGCAACCGAAGATGGCTATGTTGAACAGCATCCCTCGGTTGTTATGAACCAGGCGTGCTACTAGATTTTTTGAGACGGAACTAATACCTCGTGTACCACTTCGAGTTAGCGAACTTGTAGTTATACCAAACTAGAGAGGAATGCTACGAGAATTGTGTCATCGAGGGCGCGGAGCACAAAATAACGGTTCGTGTGGATTTGTCGGCCCTGGTTTGCGGACAGAATGATGCGTTGGCGCTCTCTGAGATACACACTTCAGGAGGCCAAATCTAATACAACCCAGGAAGTGCCGGTCCTGGCTTGGAACCTTCCGGTGGTGTACCTGGATGAGCCAACGGCACTCTCAATATTGTGCTGGGTGGTGCCTGATGCATGTCATGGATCTCTGTGAGGCTAATGCATATGCAACAGCACTCACGCCACCACAACCTTGTAAAATAGCTCGTGCCCTCGGATGTTCCGGCTCGCCTTACTGTTCGTTTGGATCTATGTGTCTTTGAAGACTAAGACTATTACGGACTTTTTGATACTGTTAAAAAAATTCAACTTTGGCCTCCGGTTGTTTACTTTTTGAAGCTCCTAAAATTCTCTTTAGCCCTTCCTTATAACTGGGCTAATAGAGCGCTGATTTCATGTGTAAAGGTAAATTTATCACCCTAGCTGTTAACGTTTAATATACGTATATATGAAATGGTTGTTTTTGCTATAGATAGACAACCGTACAAAATGACGGGAATACAGGGTATACGGGCAGGTTCAGGGCTGCGGAGGCACTAATACATGTGATTTCAAGGCTTATACCCCCTATAAAGCTCTATAATTCTAGGCCATAACCCCTGATTTTAAGGCTGTGAGACATTTACAAGGGGTACTACACCCTTTAAGATCTTCCCCCTGTGCTTATAGAGGTAACTTCGCTAAATAGCTCTAAAAAGGTTCTCTTATAGCGTCCGAGCGCTATAGTTGCCCCGCCAGCAACGCTATAACCCTTGAAGATTTTCAATAATCTTGCCTATGGTTTACGGCGCGCTTTTAGTGCAGAGACCTGGAGATATAAGGGGCTTTAGTGGTTAATTTTAGCGGAAATTGCGTTTGGTACCCTGAGAGCCCTGAACTCGTGCGCATGCCCTGTATTCCCGTCACTTTATGCCGTTGTCTCCGTATAGTTACGATATGCACTTGATTTCGTGACCGTCCATCATTTCACTCTAGGACACTATTGAAGGCTGCGCGTTGAGAAGATTTAAGATATAGAGTAAGCATTTTTAGAAATGAAATTAGCTCTAGCCTTAATCGACTATATAACGCCTTAGCTTTGACTAGTCGCACTTCAATTGTCTACCCATATAGAGCTTTGATAGCTGCTATATGGTCCGTAACGAAACAGGTCCAGTCACTCGTGTTAAAGTAGACCGTGTTGCCATCTTGCGAGGTCTGGCAATTGCAGCTCGGAAGAGTGTCGCCATATTGCCAGAACATATCACCTGCCATGCCCGTGGTTGAGAGCGAAGTTCCTTGCCAGCCACTTTCGACAGCTGCACATTCGTCACTGTAGCCGACTGTGTGGTGTCAGTCAATTCATACTGTAGAGTATAGAATATATTGTATCAAGGATGAAGGAAGAGGTCTCTTACATTCTTCCAAAAGACATGGCTTGCTGGCATTGGCGCAGGCGGCTGCGTGAGTCGTGATCCAAAGGGTCCCCCAGCCAAATGATGTGCCCCCTTTAGCGCTCACAAGTTAACCAAAGGCTACTCTCCTGGGACTGCCATAACCTACAGCTTTGAGGGTATAAATGGAAAGTCGCGAAGTCCAAAGTAGATATCCCTAGGTTCTTTTGCCAGTCGTATCCTCCTGCGGACGTCGTAAACGGATAGCTGCCGTCTCCTCCTGTAGTGGGACCGAATCCTTCATCGCCAATGGTAACCATATGGTTGGGATCGAGAGACTTAATATACTGGGAAGTCGATGAAGCCCAGTTGTAGATCACTGATCTATACCACCGTTAGCTAGAATCAAACTAAGGCTACATTCTGAGTGACTTGCACGTCGCATCCTGAGCACCTCGGCTCGTTCGCCAGCTCCCATGAAAAGATAGCAGGTGAGGTGGTATATCTACTCACAACAGCCTGAATGTAGGCCCGGTATTGTGCCTGGGACGCAGAATCGGTAAACCAGGATGAACTGTTCCCGCCAAATGCGCTAACATAGGCTGCAATTCCTCCATAGTCGCTCCAGTTATTGACAAAATTGACAATCAGCTTGAGACCATATTTCTCTGCGGACGAGACAACATAGTCCAATCTTTGCAGGCCGTAGGCGCCAGTGTTAATTTGGGATCCGGTCCCAGACAGATACTGGTACCAGACGGTGCCGGTAGCTGGGATGGTATTCACGTCGTTGAAGCCCCAAACGCGAACGATCTTGAGACCTGAAGAAGAGATGTCCGCGAAAACATGGTCAACATCTCCGTCTGCGGTAAGGAATCCACACCAGTAGCAATTAGTACCGGCATAGTAGTCGGTTACCCCGTCGATGGTAAAGAAGAGGCCATGAGTTTTTGGGAAGCCCGTCTGGGTCGAGACGACCGCAGAAGAACTGGACGTGCTTGTCTTGATAGAAGACGTGGATGAGCTCGTAATTTTGGTGATTGAGCTTGTGGTTTTGGACGTGACTATTGATGTTGAAGTCGCCGCTCCTGACAAGGTTAGCAAGAAACGGCCAACTATCTGGGCGCTTTCTTACCTGGGACGCATTGGTAATAGTATGGATTATATGACGTGCATGCGTATCCAGCAACGCAACTCGTGGGTCCTGTATAGGTTGTCCCACCGCATTGTCCATAGGCAGATTGCTGGGCATTGACGACCCAAATGAGTGAGAGAATACAGATGGCAAGACACTTCATGCTGGCGAGTCTGGAAGTTCGAAATTAGGAGACGAAAACGAAGAGATCACACCCAACAACGGATGCGCTGCTCTATGTTTATAACTCGGATCATCCGGTGGTTTATTCCACTAACGGACAAAATGGAATGGAAAATATATTCCCGACTCGTGGCATCACTCCAAATTTTTCCGCACGAAATTGCAACAAGCCACCTGTAAATTTTACTTTCGGAATTCCGAAACAAATACGTTTTACAGAATGCGGGGAAACAAAGTTGGCCCTTGCAGCGCTCGAGCGGATCTTCACTCGGACCGTTCTTCCGCAATCTGACGATCTTGTCACACAGGGAATTTCACTATGCAGTATATGTTGGAACTTTTTGCGCAAGGTAACGAGTAGTTAGCTAGCTTGGGGATTAGCCACAGAGCGGGTACAGGGAATCTGCGCACCTAAAGACGGTGTCCGGTCCGAGGTGTTCTTGACACAAGTGACATTTTCGCTGAAAGCTGGATGGGACACTTGACTAAGTATGAGAAAGAGCAAATTGGGGACTAGTGCCCATGAATTGGGGCTCACTTAAGCAATAGTTGGAAGATGAGGATATGCACTGGAGGAATAAGTCTGAAAATTTTCAATAATATTTGTTCCCATTTCATAAACTAGACTAACCCAGGCCCATCACTTGCAAAAATACAGGTAAGAATCTATTTAGATAGCAACAATTTAGCAGGGCATCAACTCACATTCTCGAAGTTGTTCCAGATAAGAGAAAGATTGGCTGAGTCAATAAAATAAAGTGAAGTGAAATGAAACAAGGCCCTTGAACAAATTTATCTTAGTCCAAAAGTTCCCCTCTCCCTACTTTACTTAAATTTTTCTTTCTTTCCATAAGTCTCATCGCCTCGCGGCACTTAGTATAATAACCAATTTTCTCCTCCCCACACAATCGGGTCAATTAAAGAGGGCGTAAAGTAGACGACAACTTTATTTAGGAATTGTAGGAACTGTGGATATTTATCAAGCAAACTTTTAAAGGACTTCTCTCCCACTTTATACATTCTTTCAAAAAGCTATTTACATCGACGTAGTCCACCGCCTGACTATTTCACTCATAGGCATTGTGAGTAAAACGAGTTTTGAACCTGGCATGTGTATCCAGATGCGCAATTCATGCAACCAGTATACGACGAACCACCGCATTGGCTATACTGGCCAACCGTGCAAGCGGCGGTCGAGGTCGAGCTTGTCGCAGTCGAAGAATGTGTCGTTGTGCTCAGAGTGGTCGCCGTCGTGGTGATGGTAGTCGATGATGAGCGTGTGGATGAAGATATAGACGTAGTCTTCACGTTAGAGGTAGAAGTTGACGAAGTCGCAGTTGTGGAGCCACCTGTGATAGTGACTTTGGCGTAGAAAACACCACGCCCGTTGGTGCCGACGTAGACCTGACCAGCAACATTACCACTGCCAGCAAGCTTGCAGCCGTCGATAGCACCAAAGCTCTGGGTGCCTTGGAGATCGGTCCACGTGTTGCCGTTGTTAGCACTGCCGTAGAGTTTGCTGCCAGCAGATCCTGTGCCGAAGGCATAGAGGTTCCATGTAGACCCGGAGCCTACGCCGAGGGCGATTTCGTAGACGTTCTTCAGAGCAGAAGTCAACAGCGCGAAGCTCGATCCGAAGTTGGTTGACAGATAGATGCCCGCGTCCGTGCTCACGTAAACTTGTCCGGCAATGGTCGGATGGACGACAACATAGTTGATTTGGCTGGCGCCACTAAGAGACCCGCCTGCGGCAAAGGTCTGTCCATTATTGGAGGAGACATAGAAAGTCGAAGCATAACCGGCGTAGAAATAACTATCGTTTTGTTTATCGCTGGCGATAAGAGCAGTGGCGGGCAGACCAGATATACTAGCGAAACTGTTTGTATACTGAGAGCGTAGGACTCCTTGGCTGGCCGTAGACCAGAGAACTGTGTCACCGCTGGCAGAGTAAGCCACCGTGCCGCCGTATGCTGTAGTACTTGATCCATAGTCGATGCTGTTGAACACCTAAGTCAGCAAGCTTCGAAATATGCCATGCCACAGGAGGAGATGAGAGGAACTTAAATGTTCGACATGGAATGCAGGATGCAGGATGCACGTACCTCCATGTGCTCCCACCATTGCTGGAGACTCCAATCTGTTGCGTGCCCGCAGCATTCCCTGACCTGACGACATCAGCCACCGCGAGGCCCGCATAGTCAACGCTGGTACTCGAGGTGAATTCCGGACTCATCCAATTGGTTGACGGCGCAGTTCCGAGGTTGCTCGAAGACAGGTAGGTGAATCCGCTATCATCACCAACTGCGACCAGCAGTTCAGAGCCACCTGGCACGGATACCAGTCCTGTAACGGCCATTTCTTCGATTCCATTGGCTAGAGTGGCGATGGAGACGTTGTGGACGGTATCCCAGTTGGTCAAGTCATGGCCTCCCATAATAGTCAAACCGGTCCCGTAGAGCCAGTGATTGCTGTCAAAAGGATCAATCTCAAGCGACTCAACCATCCACCCCAGGGGTTCATTATTTGTGACATCCCAAAAGCTGGTTGCAATCCAAGGGGCATTCGAGGTCTACAAATCGTTAGCCAAAATGTGACTAAATAGAAGCATTTTGCCACCATTCTACACCTGGGCAATAGCTCAGGCGGTGTGGTAACTCTTGAACGTCCTAGGACTCACCGACAAACCGTAGTAGTTATTCGTGCTGGGATAGCTGGCCCATTCCCAGAGAGGGCTCCAAGTGAGACCCGAATTATTCGAGCGGAAGATTTGGGCATTTGGCCACCATGAGTTCAAGGTGGCCACCACGAGATGCCCCGGCTTCAACATGTCGACCCCGAGTCCGCCAAAGCCGAAGTAGAGGTTAGAGCCACTGACTGGAGTAATATTCGTCCACGCACTCGTGGTCAGATCATATCTCCACACAGCGCCATCGGTACCGTCATAAGGACCAATTCCGTTGCTATAGGTAAGGTAGAGTGCTTTTTCCGTGGGCTGCAATTTGCATTTATGAGGTAAGAACGCTCCTGGCTGGCCGGTAAGAGGGGACCAAGTAGACCCGGCGTCGGTAGACTCGTAGACAGAAGCAGTGACGTTGTCCGCAACACCAACGAAGATCCGAGACGTTGCCCCGTTGATGGTTGATGAGGTGCTGTCGAACGTGACGAATAGCAGACCCATGAGGTCACTTTGGTATCCCGTGGTATCAGAAGGGTCCTCGCGATAAGTACCCGTGTTGGAGAAGCTGGTGACGTTCGAAAATGTCACTCCTCCGTCGGTTGACTTCCAAAGGCCATGGCCGCTGCGAGCCCCAAAGTAGATAATGTTTGAGTTCGCGGGGTCGACAGCAAGACGCTCGCCAGTTCCTCGACCGGGCATATTTCCGCCGACCTTGAAAGTCAGGTTGCTGAAGGTCCAAGTGCTCCCTTGGTTAGTACTCTTTGCGATGCAGCCATTATTTGGGTCCCTGCGTGAAGCCCGCTTGTCAATTTGTCCAAAAAGGTGCGGGACGTCAAACATACCAACTGTTAGTGTACAAGCCCAGGGCGGCGTATACCACGTTGGCATTCTGTGGATCCAGAGCCAAGGCATCTGTACCCCAATTATGCCTGGATGCTATTAGTGATGAAGCCCTCTAGTCAATCGAGGAATACTCGTACCAGCTAGCATCCTGGGCGATACCATCGGATATAGGAGTCCAGCTGTCGTCGGAGTTGAGCTTGTACATGCCACCAATATCCGCACGGGCATAGGCGACGCCCTTGGCTTTTGGATGGAAGACTATGCTAGGGATAAAGCCTCCGCCTCCGCCGGTATGGACACTCGTCCAAGAGGAGGCAGCTTCGATGGGTGCGGCCGTGAGGAGCAGCGGAAGTGCATGGAGGGCCCTCATAGTTGCTGAGGCGAGGCGAGATTGTTGTTTGGTAGTCGGACTGGTCGTCTCTCCTTGCATTCTCCGAAGCCTTGGAGGCCACACGTCGCCTTCCATATATGGCTTTCCATCAGAGACTCGAACTCACCGCGCCGCGCCGCCTGGAGTTGAGTGTGGCCATCATTAGCGAGCTGCTTGACATAACTGGAGCGCGAAACGACGAGGGGTCCCCCTCGGTAGCGAGCAGGAAATGAAAGGGGTGGCACGCAAGGATGTGGAGAATTTCCCACAAATCGGTCCATCACCGTAGAGTACATATTTTAGTCGTGGTCCATGGGGAATTAAGGGACTTTCGGATGGGTAATCCGTAGTCCCATCCCCGATACGTCCGTTCCTGGAACTGTGGAGGATGTGCTTTCTTTCTCCACCACACAATTGTGAAGATTGTGGAGATCTTGGGTGGCTGCACGGATCACGCCACAAAAGATACAACGTGTCCTTAATCTGCGGATTTTAAATGGGAGGATAGAAAACGGAAATTAGAAAGGGGTGCCGGCATATAGGGCCGGCGTTGTGGCCTTTGAAGACAAGGAAGATGTGTTGACATGCTCACAAGTGGTGCGGGTAGCTCCAAAGCGGGGTGCAAGCTAGGAACGGAGATGGCCACACGAATGTCGTCGGTCACGTCCGAGACATTTGACCGACTTGTCAAAAATGACTCTTATGGATTTTATCCCAGTTATTTGAGTTTAATCGAAACATCTTCGCTGTTGACAAAAGCAAAGCGCCTCCAGTTCGCTTGGAGGCAAGACAGCGTAGCACCTGGCAGGTTTCTGCCTCTAGATTTTCGGTAATTTTCTCGAAGTTTTTATTTATTCTCGTTAGCACCCTCTCTTATTATCCACTTGAAGCGTTTCGACCGCAAAGGAGACCCAAATACTAGTATAAAGGCAAATCCAGCAATGTGGACCTTGAATAGTAGTTGTTACGTAAGCCACCAGGGGCGGAAGGTACTTTAGCTAGCTATCTCTCATAGAGAATACATCATCTTTCTGCCCTACTCTGGCCTTCGCCATCGTTGGGGCCCCCCGGGATGTCTATCCCGTAACAGTAGTGGTGATTGCCTTCAGGCTTTAGACATGGTGCGAAATGGAGATAGCTGTGAATCACACGTGAACTTGAGAGCTTCTGCTTTATGAAGATTACCTTTTACCTCGAGTCGAAAAACGTAGTTTATTTCAAATTTTGGCCAGGCATTCTCTTTAAAAAAAGAGCCAAGGCAACGCTTTGCGGGGAAGAATTTGCCTCAGAGATTAAAGGATGTATCTTGGGGGAATCTATCCGGGCCCCTTAGGAGTCGACTTGGGCGGCCTAAATATACGTAGATCGGGGCATATATTAATGGGAATACAGTGCATTTCTACTGAAAGTGTACTACAGCACCTTTCTCAGGCTACCTAGCCCATTAGAAGGAACTATATAGTTGTAGGCTAATGCCCTAAATAGCATGCCTAGACAAGGTTGCTATACGTTTTAGGGGCTTGTCCCCTGTATTTATAGGGGATCGCTCGCTAATAAGCCCTATTATGGTTTGCCCTATAGCGTCTGGTTAGCGGGGACGGACCTCTCTGCTTATACGGGGCGCTGGCTACGAACTGTCGATACTTTCAATAAGTATTCGACTGAGCTGAAGAGAGGATGCAGTTACCGAGGTGACTAGTTGAGATGCTATAGCTTGCAAAGCTATATACGTTATCCTCTTTATATTAATATAACTATAAGGTTAAATAGTTATTATAATATAGCCTTTTACCTGTAGCTCGAACTTTTTTATGCTTTTATAGCTGGTTACTTCCCGAATAATGACTACAAGAGTATAAAGGATATAGTATTTGAGTATTCGGGGGAGAAGGGAAGGTAGATACTCAAGTTAGACGATCGGGCTCCCGTAATAGCCTCTTGCGACAGGTCCTTTGTCCTTAATTAATCAGGTCAAACGAGTAGAGGATACCTTATAAATGTAACCCGTAAATACCGGCTATAAGTACTACTATATTATATCTTCTTGGAGAGGGTATAAGTTAGGAGGGAAATAGACGGGCAGGGATTTATTAGAATTAGTATCGAGTATAGGATTAACTCCCAACCGGCCATAGAGAGTCCTATAATAAGAGCTAGTAATAGTACCATATAACTTGAAATGCTTTTAAAGGTCTATAGGGATACTATAATATCGCGGGATTAGGGACCCGGGATTACTTGTAATAGGGAGTCTTTTTCCCCTTGTGGTTTTGATACCTATTGCAAGTAGTACTCTATTTATAATTCCTATATGCTTAGCACGTCCCTATACCCTTCTAGAGGTCGGCTCACGCCCACGGACGCAAATAACTATCAAATCAAAACAAATCAAATCAAAGCCCTACAGCGTCTGAGCATAGTTACTCGGCTAGTAGCACAAGCACCCCTAGCGATTGAACACAACCTTGCGAATATCTCATGGTAGGTTTATAGAGCCTTATAGCTGACCTGCCCCTAGAAACACACGTTATAATGCAGGCCGAGGCCAAATGCCCTGTATTCCCGTCACTTTATACAGCGATCCTCGTAGTCGTGTAAAGTTGACAACTTTCGCGCGTCAGAACCTGATAATAGACAGATTATGATTAGTCACTAGAAGGGAGGGCAGCACCGCAGGAACGTGACTGGGCAGCCTAAACAGAGATCGAATCCCTTATAGCTCCAGATTTTCGAAGAACCGCCTATATTCTACTTGGAACTTATAGATCTGTCTCAAATGCACCATGGAAGACAGTAGATAGCAAGTCTCCATCAACATTCCGACTTGTGGCTTGCCAAGTGAAAACTCATCTCGCCTACTTCCACATTATCTCGAAAATAAAAAACAATTTCGGTTTGACTTGCACTTCCAATTCCCCAACCTAGCTATGACAAGTAGTGTATTTTAAGCCTCGGATGTCGCGACAGATAGAACGGAAGGTCAACTGGGAAGTCTTCCCGCAAAGGCCGATCTTTAGATCTAGGGATGTGCGATCGGGGATAGAGATGTGTCCGTGTGTTGCGACGTTCTCGTCACTCTCCGGCGACCAGTATCGCCACAAATCACAGTCTCCGTAATTGTTCAGACAATGTATTGTGGTCAAGATGTCGGTGTCCGTATCACCGTGGCCAGATTTTGAGAGACCGGGTGAAGCTTGGATCATGTGGACTTACTGGCCGAGAATTTGGCATTCGTTGATGGGAGTGTCTCGAAGCTCGACGTAGTTCTTGTCCCGAAGCCACGCAACTGCGTGTCGTCGAACTAGGAAAGTTTAGTTTACACTTCCCGGTATTGCTTCAATGACGTGAACGAAGTGTTTGTGGATTCCTTCAGGAGCCCTGGATATCTTAGTATGACAGATGAGCTTTCGGCTTCGTATAAATTCCATACATTACCGTTTCTCCGCTATAGAATCCAGAGGAGATCACCCATGGACTCGATTCGAAAACGTAAACTTCAAGTGTTCTTGCATCTCTTTCTCAAGGTGTGGTGTTAGCCAAGGCCTTGGAGTCTGGGTCTCAATAATTCCCAAGTCGAAACGTAGCGCTTGCAGTGAAAAGCTCCACATGTGTTTTTGGCCACAGCGGCTATTGAATTTCGAAATCCCTTGTGGTACAAGTTGTTTATGAACCCTAGCCCTATTCGCTCAGAGGTTATCCAAGGAGCATCCTTCTTAGCCATGATCTGTTTGACATCAGAAAGATGAAGGTGATGGCTGATGTTACGAAGCGACTTCTGTTTTGTGTGAGGCGAATTCCATAAATTGATTAACTGACAAAGTAACAATGCCGAGCTTTTTGGAGAGGGAAAACGCAATGTTGTGAAATCCTCCGTAAGTGAAGTCTCTTGAGTCCCATTTCAAAGTTATTCCAAGCTCATCAGCCACTGCCAAGACTTGTGAAGAGACAGTAAAGGGGTGGTGTAGATTTATAAATCGAGGGTTTCATCGTAGAATGGCATTTGCATGATGTAACACTGCCACATGACGAGACTTGATGATTCTTGTGGGGAAACCAGGGGCCGCATAGGCAGGTGCAAATACAGAGAGTAAAAGCCAGATTTTCTCTCTTTAAGAGGGTCTATTAGCCTTGGGGGGTCCCCCTTAGCTTTCTGGATAAGTTTTTTTTGTTTTTTTTTTACAAATTATGTAATAGTGACATTTTTCTGTCACGTGTATTTTTTGCTATACTAGCCCACCGCGCGTAACTAAAACCCAGCTTCCAACAAGTCCCATCAAGTCTAAATCAGGCTTTTAATAAATGTCAAATGAGGCCGCGAAACTTTTAAAAGGCATAGGAGATCCCGAGTCTAAAGGATGGATTTTAAGTAGTATTGATGTTCGAGGACAGGAAGTAGCATTGAGGAAGCTCTTGACATCCAAAAGTGAACCTGCAGTGCATCCTCTTGTGAAGCATGCTCACCGGTCTGCTTTTCAGCGAAGGAATCGAGCAATAGTAAATGTTCCTGAAGATCAGGTAAAGCCAAACAAAGTCTGATTTGCTTGTTCTTAAATTTTCTGCCAGTCCGGACTTCGATCTTTCAACATCAACTCAGTCTGTGGTGCTTTTGCGAGCGCTGTCAACACACAACTTGTCCGGCCAGAATACTATCAATATATCAAGGTCACGGAAGTAAATTCTAAGCAAAGCAACTGTCAATTAAGGTAAATCTCTTTTGATTGCTTTTGCTGAACAACACTCGCACAAAATAGGTCGACCTGTATGCCTCCGCACAGTGTCAACCGGAGGCTGTTTCTCATCCACCGTCCGCTTCTTAATCTTGTCTTGGGTGTCGATTACAATAAAGATTCAAAATGGCTACTGCTCCTCCAACAAATGGTAAAAATGCCCCCGACGAAAACTAAGAACAGTTTAGCTGCCAGATCAAGGCCATCGGGGTCAAGGAAGACCATCAATACACGGAACGTCAAGCAGTCCGAACCATAGTCATGAGCATAACTGGAGACATTGCCATCATCCACGTCAAGAAAGAAATTTACTACAAGCTCCCAGGAGGCGGTATCGAAGCAGGCGAGAATCACCAAGTAGCAGGCAGGAGAGAGACAATGGAGGAGATCGGCTGCCGAGTCAAGATGTCCAAGCGTTGCCTGGCAATTGTTGAGGAGTGGAGAAATGACTTGCATCAGATCTCGTACTGCTATGTTACGCATGTTCTAGAGGACACCGGTGCAACTTCGTTGACTCAGGAGGAGATTGATGAAGGTTTGGAGCACAGATGGGTTCATGTTAATGCGGCAATCAAGCTTATGAAGGAGGCAAAGCCAGCTTCAATCTTGGGGTCGCCGATCAAAGAGCGTGATCTGTACTTCGGCGAGAAGTTTGCGGCTGCTTTGGAACCTCCTGCTGATCCGCATCACCTTTGGAGATGAACGGTGGGGAACCCAAAAGGATGGGAAAAGTCAAGTGGGTGTCATTTCGAGTTCCGAAATCAGCGAATAGAACTTCCTAGTAAACCTCAAATTAATCATAATCGCTGCGAATTATTGCTCTCCACGAGTTGATTGAGTGGTGCCAGTGAATGCTGGCTATACGGTAAGTCATTTGATGTCAGTTGCCAAATCACATAACTTTCTGCCTCTTAAACGAGGTGCCAGACCTTACATATAGACCTTTAAACCCTCCCTTAGAACCGCAATCGAGTCCTTTCCCATCCAACATTTTATTCGGTCAAGTGAGGAGCAGTGTTGCAGTACTGTCAAGAATAGTCTAGAGAAGCGATGATTAGAGCTCTAGAGACATGCGTTATGGAAATATCAAATTATATGAGCTATTGTTCCACACTTCACTGGGTCCCAAGAGAGCTGCCCTGAGAAACTTCTATAAATAGGACCCCTCTTCCGACCCCAACATTTCCTTTTCGACTTCATCCCAACACCCCACACCTCGCATCTCCTAATCAAATACCAAGACGGGAAACTACAAAGTCTATCCTATACTAAAACAAAGCAAACCTTGAAATCTCTAACGTCTAATCCTTATATAACTCCAAATAAAGACTGATGTGTACAGTCGGTGCTTATGAGTTCTGCTGCGGTGGAGGAAGAGTCCCGGTAGATTTAACCCAGCTTTTACCCAGCCTGAAAAAAAAAAACGCCTAGACTAACATTTTCTCACTGGTGTGATGCCTCACACTCCTCGTGCTTTACTGACTGCGGAAGTTGTGGGCACGCAAGACGTTACGGGTGCCCATAATACATCTGAGCCTGAGAGAAGCCAAACTTGTCACTTGGAGAATTGGGACAGCGATAAAGCATGGCGTGAGATAACGGAACATGGGGGGCCTTTGGCGAAGTTGGTCATGGCGATTGGTCGGGGAATTGTCGATGTTCACATCTCAAAGCTGGCCTCTTGGACTGCTGCATAGCTAGGGCAATAGCGTCGATCCCTTCGCAGCATCTCATGTCCTAATTCTGAATGCTTTCCTACAAATTTTATTAGCATTATGCAGTGATAGCTCCCAACTCGGATGGCCCATTCTCCGCTGTGTATGCTTACAAATTTGTCTCTTTATCCAGGCCATTGATCGTGACTTACGGAGATAGGTGGCCCAAAAGTTTATGAAAGCGGAGTCATATCAAGAAAGCCTTGGAGGAAGCCTCGTCTGCTTTACACCTAGCTATTTCATGTTCATGTGCTTTATTTGTGATTGGTTAAGTGTCTCGGAAGCCACTACACATCTCGGGCGTGCGTCGCCCAGCCTCAGTGAAAGTCGGGTGCCTTTATCTTCAGAACATCTTGTGCTTCTTTACCGCGCAACTTCATCCCAATCTACCATCATATCTCAAGCAAGTGCCCAGACCTCCGCCAACATACTGAATGGCAGAGGTACTAGCCGTCGTTGCAAGTGGCATCAGCATTGCTCAGATCGCTGGGGAGCTGTTGAGCTGTATTTTGAAACTGCGTACGCTGTGCAGAGCCTTGCGGGATAAGCCGGGGGAGTTGGAGGGAACCCTTGACGAACTTGAGGTACTTGGGAAGATATTCTGTCAATTAGGAGCCTTCGAAACAGATAATTCTCAACCCGGACATTCGGCGCTTCAAGCTGGCCTCACCCAATGTCGCAAGACGGCTACGAAACTCCAGGCTCTGGCGACAGCAGGCTCACGACCACAGGAGCGCAACAAAAGTCAAATACTTTCTCGAGTGAAAGCCGTAATGAAGATAGAAGAGGTGAAAGACTTGAAGACTGAACTTGATGCTGCAAAGGCTCAACTTGAAGCTGCAAAGTTGAGCCTTCAGTTAGCTATGACATGCTATTCTTTGTGAGCACCCTTTGTCTCCACGAACTAGACTTCACGCTGAAGAGCAATTCACAAGAAATATGCAGCGAAAGCACATTACTCTTCTAGAGGTGCACAACTTAGGGTTGTCCAAACCGTGCTCAGATCGATTGGACGACCTTCAAGCAGGTCACTCATTTACTATCATCCGTCAAGAAGACTCGAGGATGATCCAATTTGAGCTCTCGCGACATCAAAACTCGCTTCAACGATCAAAATGCTCTGTAGGAAAATGTTATTGTTCCTGTCATAATTCGTCGACGAGGGCTGCAAAGCTTTGGTCCTTGAAAGTTCCACGTGACTGGAACTCATGCGACAAAACAACTTGCAACAATTACAAGCGTGCGTCTTTCTGGATCAGTCTAACAACTATTGGGATCCCTTTGGTAGTTCGCGCAAGTCTGGATATTATGTGGACAATTCATCAGTCCCACATATATCCCTCATTGCATTTCACAAGAGTTGTTGATTGGGATGCTCCAGCTTTCGCCCTCCTGAGAGATATCAGATGGAACCAAATGATATTCGAGGAAGCGCGTTTGGAAATAATGAGACTTTTTGATTCAGGTGTCGCTTCCCCACTCGATCTTCTACCTAATGGAGAATCTTTACCAGAAGTAAGAACGCCGCAGTGGGGAAAAGCTTACGGTACTATCCATTACTGGCACGCATTCAGAAACTGTTGACGTTGCCGTGGCCAAACGGGGACACACAACTGAAAGTGTTAGAACTTTTGGTGAGGGCAGGCTCTTTGCTCAATACGATCGGGTATATTTGACAACCCTGAGTCTACTAGAAACTAGCGCGCTGACTTAAACTAGGATCTTGCAATGTTGTTCAGGATGGAAAGGCCTAGGTCGCTGGAAAACAGGACTAGACAATAAAAACGGCGCCCATACTCATCTCATGAACAGATTACTGCATTTAGGGCTTGATCCCTCGGAGATTGATGTCCCGGAGGTAGAGTTCCCTACGGAGATTTCGCCAATGCCGTCTGGAAAATTGGGCCTCCACGCCGATCCTTTCTTCGTAAACTGGATATCCGAGGGCCTGAAGGTCTCTCCTGGTAAGAGGACGAATTTAATCCCAAATTCTACGAATAATACTTACTTGGCCCTATAGGATTTGCTGGTTCATCCCCTTTGCAAGAGGCAATCCTTGTCGGTTCATCAGAGACGGTGAAAGTAATTTTGGAGAACTCCCAAGTCACAGAGGACGAAAACATTCTAAGGCAGTCCTCCTTACATCTCGCTGTATGGAGACCTCAGCACTTAGCACTTCTGCTCCATGCAGGATTTGACGTCAATGCGTGGGATTGGAATGGAAGAACGCCACTGATGTATGCAGCTACAACTGGTATGACTGAGGTTGCGATCACTCTAATTCGAGCTGGGGCAGACATCTGGGTAAAAGACAACCTTTATTCTAAGCACACCTGGCTTCCATACGCAATTGTTTCCACTCATTGGCAACTGGTACTTGGCGTAATAGACGTGGTTCGACAACTCCCCCGCTTCTCTAAAGACTCCGTGCAAGTTTTGTTAGACTCCACAATCGGCTGGTGGGCCATGGATATTCTGGCACCAAAGGACTCTGCGTACTTTGCCACTCTTCTTGAATGGGGCGCCGATCCTGAATTCCGATTTACTGCGAAATTGCCTGGTTATAAGGTGCCTGACTGTACTCTCCTACATTGTATTACCAATGCCAGAGACTTCGACACTCTTCTGAGGAGTGGCTTCAAGAGCTTCAATCATGCGAATGGCAAAGGAGGTCATGCCTTGATGACTCAACTTGAAGTTGGAAATCCTGAACTCATCCAGAAAAGTATCACTGCAGGATGCCAGGTTGACCACCAGGACTTCAGGGGTAGAACAGCCCTTCACGTCTGCGCAGAAATTATTCGGGCCACCATATTGTCCATCGACCCGAGGGACTGCGCCTTACGGTTTCAAATCCTGGGGTGTACTGAGGCCCTTTTGTTAAACGGGGCGGATCCCTTCTTGGGCGACTGCTGCCTCTGTGCCTGTTCTGAGTCCGGTTGCAGCCCTGCCCAAATTCTGCTCAAAGACTTTCACCATAAAAGCGTGGACACGGCACATCGATCCTACCCACTGACAATGCATTCTTGGGTGAACCAATGGTTGCAGCTACTCAAGGGTGCAGAGACGGATTTTGAGCATAGCAGGCGCTTTTTCCACGAAGCAATCCGCCTATCGAAGTTTGAGCAGTTAGAACTCACTCATACATGTTGTCGATTTGTGGACCACGGAGACAGACTTTGGATTGACGTGGATGAAGAAGACGTGGAGGGAATAAGGGACGAAGAGCGAGAGTTGATTGATCTCCTTGAGAGTAGCATGAGTGCTGTGCAGTCATGTTCAATTTCAGAACTTGAAAGTTTATGGCGGAAGGAAATGGATAAGTTGATGGAGCTACAGGGTAATAACTTTGTTTGCGCCGGGAATCCTTTGATTAATTTAAGTCATTATATGTAGCTAATAGTATCAAGTCGAGTTGAATTTCCCATAACGATTTGCCATTGAACTCTATACTCTACCTGAAATCTACAGTACGCTTTTTCACTGACTGAAATGTACAGGCCGTACCCAAAGCTACAGTTGACCTTCAGAGGCCTTAAGGAGACTGAAACAACTCTTTCGAGGCTTAAAACATGTACGAGGCAGTCACTGTCCCCTACTGCAGACTTAGAAATTTCGACCGTCCGTTGATCTGGGCCGTTGTCTGGGCCCAGGGGTTTTCAGCAGGAATGATGGGACACTTCTACCTAGGTTCTTCCATGACGGGACATGAAAAGAAACAATAAATGCCTCCTCCTTGTCTTCAAACAATAATACAACAGTGCAACCGCGATGTCGATAGACTTCTCCCAGTGAAAATGGCACCCATAATAAGCTTTCTTGCTTGACACGTGACTCTTGGGGCCAAGCTTCAACCAGGTGGAAACCTGCAGGGAGTGACTTAGGCCAAAGGGACACGGACTGACACTGCGACTGAAATATTCGTAAGTAATTTTATTATCGCTCTCCGGGACAAGAACATCCCAAGCTTCTGAAAGTGCGGCAAATATCGTAGTCCGGTTACCAGTCCGACATTGCCTCTCGCGGCAAATATATCCTAGCAGGCTCGGCAAAAATACCTAAATTTCCGGTATCGATACGTATCGATGCCAGAATCGTAAGGTATCGATAGTATTGATAGTAGTATCAATTCCCTGAACCTAATTTTCCCCTTTAATTACAATTAACTTTCGAACTACTTCTCTTATAAGAAAACTTTTGGTAGCGCAAATATTCTCCTTAATTTAGGCTTTCTATCTAGCTACTTATCTTATACTTTGGGCTAAAACTAATCTCAATGCGGCTATTTTAAGTAAAAATGAGCTTTTGAGATTTTCGTAGGGCTCGCTTATATATTTAGTACCTTAATAAGAAATACGAATACGGGGCTTAATTCTCCGAATACGAGAGGTATTTTAAATTTAAGATATTATTAAATTTTATTAATAATAGTAAATAAATTTTTTAATAGAAAGACTAGAAATAAAAGGAATTATATATGAATATATTCTTATATAAATAAAATAATAAAATAAAGAGATAATTTTTAGGGGTAAGAATCGATAAGGTATTAATACATATCGATTCTTACGATACCTGAAAAATACCTAATACTATCGATACCGGTATCGATGCCTCAGGTATTTTTGCCGAGCCTGTGTCCTAGTCCCTGAAGAAAATTTTATTTTTGCTTGTCAATGCCAACCCCCCAATGAGTACAATCCGAAGCAAGAGTGCATTGTCGTACCTCTGCTTGAGATCTCGGAAAGATTACCAAGATCTCCTTGTAATGCTTCGATGAGTCTTTGCAGCAAGCCCCCAATGTTGAAACTATGCATCTCCCTGAGAAATATATCGATGTACAGGAATGCCGCAATCTGGAAGGCTTCATGGATCTCAGAACCTAAATTTGCATGATAGAGTGCGATGAGAGGTTCCTGGGTAGGCAGTAGTTGCCATGCCAGGATGTATAGTCGGTCCGACCCAAGATTAATAAAAACGAAAGAAAACAAAGAGGGAAAAAACCTCTTAACAAAGTTTTCTTTCTTTAATTCATTTTCTTTATATATTTTTCTATTAATAATAGAATATATAAGAGGGTATTCAATATTATAAGAAAAATAAAAATAAATATATAATAAATAAGTATTTAACCATAATTTAATTTTAGATTAGTAAATTAAATTATATATAATAAATAAAGTATTTATAAAAGCTTATCTAACCTTATAATACCTATTACAATTATATAAATAATAAAAGTAAGTGAGAGCTATCTCGTATATATAAGTATATAGGCCTTAATAAATAAAAATTTTCGCGTTTTATATAATTAAATATTATAAAGAAAAAATAGAATATATACTTGAAAATTGTATTATATATCAATTATAAATTGTATTAGAAATCGGGTTAATAAACTTTATTTGCCTTATTCTACTCTATAATCTTATTACTTAGCATTAATTAATTAGAGCCACAGTTAAAAAATTATTATGAGTGACCCCGTTTTATTATTAATATATTGGACCGGCTGTAGATGGCGTCGCTAGGGTCAGCCTGTTGAATACCGAAATGGAACCTGCAAATCGAACACCAGTGAGAATTCGTAGAACTTGCAGAGTCTCGTTGACTGTTAAAGTACGAAGGCAACAAACGGTTTGAAAATTGTCCATTTCGCTAAGCGAGGTCATTAAAAATCGTCCCCTCGTCTTTGAAAGATTGCAATAAAACTCTCTAGAATTTTAGAGTCTCTAAAACACAAAGAAAGAATACTCGAGCTTCTTCTATTTGGCCTAAAACTTAATTTAAAATATTTGGACGTGGTCACGTTGAAATGTGGAATTTTTTAAATCGTGAGATTTTGGTGTTCCTTACCCTACTAAAAATGGACGATCTTGATATGCCAACTTTGTTCCAATAATTCTAGGTCGAAGTCCTCGTTTTCCTAGCCGCCAGCACTGTGCTGGTAGGGAATCACATGTGGCCACTCATCTTGGTGTACTCATAGCTCTTCACCGCTCATCTTTTGCTCCTCAATCAATCCTTGTAAAACTAACTGATAAGCTCTTAGGCGGTAAGAACTTCGGTCGTTACGGCTCGGGGGAATTTATCTAGCGAGTCTCGAAATTGGGTCTCCGGGAGGCCCAGTAAGTAAACGCACTTTTCACTGGCCGAAACACCTGCAACCACCATGTTCCCCGGCGGGGTGTTTCCTCATTGAAAGTTACTCCTGCCGGACCGCGTTACGCGAGGGACACGGCGAATCATTATATGTTATTACACGGAGACTGTGCAGCGGCTGTTCCTTTCTGTGCATGGGGGGAAGCACTTCCTATTATGGGTGGGGGAATCAAGTAAGCTGGCATATGCTGCCCCTCAATCAGAGCGCGCAATCAGGGTAGCAGCGACCTGGTAGCCGAACGTTAAAAGAAAGCTTTTCTTTCTACTTCTCCTCCTACCTCTCCTAGGAGAATTTTAGGCGATTTTGATCTTCTGTGTGGTATTGAGATCGGCGACAGAGGAAAGATCTATTTGATTTGGGCAGATCAACGCCTACCCTCTAGACTGGAAACACGAACGATGGCCGAATGCACAAATCCGCCACCAGCTGTGGACGTAGCACTCGAGGTAGATGATGATGGTGTGGATTCCGCATACGGCGAAGAGACGTAAGATCTCTTCGCTCCATATCCAGAAGTGCTACGAACTAGTCAAGTACTGCCTGAAATATCTAGCCTCTGCTGTGATTTCGTACTTCAATCTAACTTCATGAAACACAGGGCAAGCCTCACAACGTCCCTTTCTTCATACATTAAGAATCACATCTACGAGAATGGACGACGCTATCATGCGTATAATGAGGGAAGTATGTTCTCCCTTCTCCCTACAATCTACCAGAAAAGAAACTTATAACCCTTCCCCCCCTTTTCTCCTTGTTGCCGCCGGAAGAAGTAGGAAGTCGATGCTGATTCTACCGGATTGAAGAATACTTTGCTCCCAATGATGAAGCAGAGAATGATCGTTTAGATATGCATAATCATATGGCGAGATTAGCAATTGGAGGGAAATTGCATACCGCTCCTATTGGGGACAATCCCCAGCGGATTCTGGATGTGGGATGTGGGACTGGGATTTGGACTATTGATATAGGTGTGTTATCGAATAGAAGAGGAGGGGCTTTGCTAATGGACAGCTTTTAGGGGACGAATATCCTTCTGCTGAGGTATGCTTTCTTGAACTGCCTAGAACGTAAAGACTAACTGTGATTGAAGGTTATTGGTATAGATCTCAGCCCAACACAACCTCCAATGTAGGTTTTAAGGGTAGAAGGATGGCGTACGCTTACTAACGAGGAAAAGGGTGCCCCCAAATGTGAGATTCGAAGTGGACAATGCCGAGGAGGAGTGGACATACTCCAAGAAATTCGACTTCATTCATTGTCGCTGGATGGCTGGTTCCATTTTAAATTGGCCGAGACTCGTGAGCAGAGTTTACAAGTAAGTTAGCTCCTTGCTAAATCTAGCCAAATTAAATTCCCAAACTACTCTCAACCCGCCCCTCTTCTTTTTATTACAGACCTAATCAAACACTAACCATCACGCTTTGTATAAAACAGAAACCTTAAACCAGGCGGCTGGTTTGAATGCCAGGACTATGACATAATGGTCACATCATCTGACGGCTCCTTAACCGCTGAAAACACTACCTATCAATGGAATGCCCTGTGCTGTGAAGCGCTCGAGAAAATTAATATTGATCATCAGCCTGGCGCGAAAATGAAAAGGTGGTGTGAGGATGTTGGGTTTGAGAGTGTTCAGGAGGAGATTCTATTTATGCCTTTGGGCATCTGGCCAAAGGATAAGAAATATGTAAGTCTATTTCCTCTCTACCTGACCTCTCATCCCCTTTCCAGTTGCTTGTGAAGGGAGCGAGCGGTCAAGTTCAGGGATGCATTGGTTAATAATAGAGCAGAAGGAAATTGGAGCATGGAATTACCTTATTGTTACTGAGGGTTTGGAGGCTCTGTCATTGAGATTATTTACAAAGGTTCTAGGGTGGAATAAAGAGGAAGTTGAGGTTCTTTGCGCGAAAGTAAGGACTGAATTAAAGACGAATAGGAAGATTCATCCGCTCTACAAGTAGTAAGTAACTAAAGATCAAGATCTCTCACTTCCAGCTCCCCCGACCCCACCACTTAATTTATTTTATTTATTTTCGCTAACGCTTTCGGATTTAGTCATGTAGTAATTGGCCAAAAGCCAAACGAAAAAGGGGATTAGAAATTTTTATTAATAGTCTCGAAATTTGCTCCGATTCAATAGTAAATAATATTCGTTTCTATACTAATAACCGAACTCTGGTATTGGGCAGACATAGCATAGCCCAGGCTATGGCGTCAGCCAAAATTTGATCTGGACTAGATTGTGACTCCAGATCTTTAGTTCGACAGACGGCGGAGAGTGATATGGTGTGGCCCACACACTCACCAGTACGAAGAGCTCCCAACGTGCAGGTGCGAACAGGTTGAGAAGTCCTAATAAACTTCCCTGGCGTCTCATATCACTGAGATAGACTTCGAGTGTTTCTGGTGGAAATCTCGGTCTTGTGAAGTAAGGTTAACTCTTTACGGGGACCAGATGGACTAGATCACTTCAATCCAATGCATTTGTTTGCGCTATGCTAGGTTAAACTCCTGCGGTGTGGATTCCCCATCAAGTAGCAGTTTCTTTGCATCCCGTTCCATGTATCCACGAAGACAGCATTCTCAACCAAAGACTACCCATCCTCCCTCTCGCTATTCCTCACCAACAACAGGTACGCTATATCCTCGCAAACGCAGATCATATCACCCAACTGCATTTCATTTGGTCCAGTTCCAATTCGTCGGTTTTCTGTTTCCATAAACCTCCTTCGGTGCGTTGCTGCCTCAAAAAGTTCTCGAATCTCGCCGCAATCTGCTGGTCGTGGGCTTCGAGATCAGGTGCAGCGATCTGGTATCTGAATTTTACGACTCTGCGCACTCGAGTGCGTGATTCAGCGACTCACGAAATGCCACCGTCATAAGCATTTCGTGCACTGTGGCTGGGGCAGATCTATTTGGGGAGGTGTCAGAAGGACAGATCACACTCAGAGGAGACGGAACTGAAATGAAGATCGCAATCACACAGCCCTTGATTCCTGGTGGGAGAATGGAGATGAGGGAAGAAGGCATAAACGGAAAGAAGGAAGAGTACTATGTTAGGTTTGACATGATTGAGGATGTACAGGAGACTACGGAAGGGGAGATCTTGACTTGTCTTGATATACTGAAGGATAAGAAAGGTTACATGGTAATTTTGTGAGTGGGTTGGTTTTGAGGCAGTTGCTGGGGAATGGTTGGGTGTGAAAGAGGGCTGGATTCTCGACTATGAAAATTGAACACTTCGCGGGTAGCAAGATGAGTGAAGTTACCATTATTTGGCCAGCCCTTCAACTCCGTACAACAGATTTAGGAAGCTGTGCAAAAGGGGGAGGCTCGCTTCTCGCTTAACCCAAACGCGAGGTATGCTCTACTTTACCTTTTTAAGAGCTCTTCTTGATGACTCATGGGTATAAATGCTGTTGTAAGGGACTGTAGATACTTTAGAAAAAGAAAGGGACAGACAAGCCTAGCTTGAAAACGTCTTAGAACATGTAATTATTCTTGAATTCGTATCTCCCCGTTGTTACACGAATGGTTAGGCTAAATGCATTTGTCCGATCAGGGACATGTGGTCCCACCAGGACTTGTGAGTCAGAAGATATCGTCAAATCTGACTACCCTCAACCCTCCGTCCTTATGCATATATTCGCACTTCTCTTAACCACCTTCGATCAAGGAAGACAGGAAAATCAACGAAGTTGGGAAATATTGAATCAGGTTCCCACGCCAAGGTCGGTGACATCGGCCTGGGCCTATCTACGTTCCATTACCAGCTTATACCTCACAGATCTCAGATCTGGATCCCAATAGCAGAGAAACTAACTTCGCGAGTCAACTTAAAGCACCCGGATTCGCTGTATATTCTATAGTTCTATAACTCTTACCCATCATGGCTCCTCACGACGATCTAGGTATTCTACCGCCTGCCCTCAAGCCGGGCGATACAATCGCTCTCCTTTCCCCTTCCTCCCGCCTCAATGACATCTTTCCTCTTAGATTATTGCGCGCCACTACCGCTCTAGAGTCCCTAGGCTTCGCCGTCAAAACAATCTACACCCCAATCTCATCAGCGGCCTCTCATCACCAACAAATCCAGCACCGAGTCGCAGAATTGCACTCCGCCTTCTCTAATCCTCAAGTGACAGCAATAATGTGTACCATAGGCGGGCTCTCATGCAACGAATTATTGCCGTTTATTGATTGGGAATTAATTGGAAAGAACCCGAAGATCTTCGTCGGATACTCTGATATCACATTACTGCATCTAGCGATTGCTAAAATGACCGGTCTGCGAACGTTCTACGGGCCCGCAGCAATCACCCAATTCGGAGAATTCCCTAAACCGTTAGATTTTACAGTCCGGCATTTCTTGCATGTCTTGATGCCTAGGATTGAGAATAAAGTCGGGAATATGCCAACAAGCTCCCACTTCACCGACGAATTCGGCGACTGGGGAAACGAATCTTCAAGCCCGAAAGCTCGCACCCTACAATCAAACACCGGCTGGAAATGGTTGAGGAAAGGGAAATCTGAAGGAAGAATGACGGGTGGTTGTCTACCGAGTTTGCTGCAATTGGCTGGGACGAAGTGCTGGCCTGAGATGGAGGGGAAGATTCTTCTGTTGGAGAATCCCGAAGGGGAGAGACCGGATGGACCGTTGCCGATGGAAAAGACGAGGTCGTTGATGGGGGATTTGGGGAATTTGGGTGTGTTTGAGCAGATTGTTGGATTGGTGATTGGGAGACCGACTGGGTATGCTGGAGAGGAGTTGAGACGTTATGAGAAGATGGTGCTTGATATGTGTTCTGGTATGGCGCTGGAGGGTGTGAAGAAGGGGGAGGAAAGGGGATTTCCGGTTTTGGCAGGCGTCGATGTTGGGCATACGGATCCGTTGTTGACGGTTCCGTTAGGGGCGTTGATGAGGTTGGATTCTGGGCGGAATTTGTGGGAGATTTTGGAGCCTGGAGTGATGTAATGAGGAGTGATGAATTTGTGTGAGGGTTTAGGATTTGATGGCTCCAGTCCCTCTCATACGGCCGTCCTATTTTGATATCAGCTGAGCGCCTTTCTGCAGTCTAGTTTGGAAAAAAGTTAAAACGACATCCCCCGGGTGTCGATTAGGGGCCACTAACTTACTAACCCAAAGTAGAGGCGCTCGGACGGGAATACCAAAAAAATAGCTTTCTCTTTAAATTTAAATTACTTAATAAGGAATTAATAAAACTTAATACATTCTTTATTTTATTACAGGGCTAACTAAGTGCTATATAAATATATTAATTAATAGTAATTCTTTAAATTAAAAGATTAAATAGTTTTATTAATTTAAAAGTAATTTTAAATACGCCTAGAAATTTAGGAAGCTTAAAAACTAGAACTTAATTAATTAATATATAAACTTCTTTAAATTAAAAATACATTATAAGAAATCTTTTTATTATAAGTTAAAACGCATATAATTATATTACCTTATTCTTATTATTAAAAATTTTTAACTTTGGATCTTAAAAGAACTTAATTTACTAATTACAAGTCGTTAATATTTTGGCTCTTAATTAATATCTGGGGAATATTATTTTAGCTTTTTCTTTTAATTTAAATATTTATATAAATATAATTTTACTATTTTAAGGTTTATATAAATTTCTTAAAGCTATTAAACTTTAGTATAACTTCTTCTTAATATAGCATTACTATAAAATAATCTAATAATAGTTAATAGATATAAGAGCTATTTCGTTATTATTAATAAATATATTATTAGTATAATAAGTATGTTCGTACCTTATCCCTCGATAATTCCCGAACCTTAGGGAACAAACTTTAGTATATACTATATTCTATGTCGCGACGTGAGTTATGAGTTGAGTACCGGCCCCTCAAATGGAATTAAGGCATTGATGCCTCAAACTGGCTTTTGCCACCACTACCATCACGTTCGACGTTTTATTTCGCTGGCTCCGTTACAGTCTCTGCCTGATGCGAATCCCCTACCACCGTCGCCAGCTCGTAATCCTCCATTACCTCTGTCTGCCTCTGCATATGTCCTCATATTATCGCTCATAGAAGTCGTGGGACCGACTATCAATTCCGAGTTTTCTTTTGCATGATACGGCGATGGTAATAGAAGGGTTCACCAGCCAAACGCCCAAACCACTCAACCACCCACTTGTACCCCTGTCGGAACACCAAAAATTTATGGATTTTTCAAAGTGCTTAGAAAATTCTCAAAACTTCTCAGGATATGGAAAATGCCCCAAAAAGTTCGGTTCTAACGTTAATTTTTCGAAATTGGAGTGCTGTCGTGGCCAAATTCAGGTTTGAGCGGTTGAGTGGGGTGGGCATTTGGCTGGTGAACCCTTCTACCCGCGAGTGCAGAACTTTGGAAATGGCGATCGCTACCATTATTAACCATAGCTATCCAATCCCCATGAAACAAAGGCACCGCAAACGAACAGCCCGGTCGAATCTATTTTCCCCAAACGCCATGAAATTTGATCGGGTTGAAGTCGCCCCGATAGGCTCCTTAAACAAGGGTGGCAATTCGTCCTATATCGGCCAGTCGGCACCCCCGTCGTCTCGGCGGACGGCGTCAACACGGCGCAACTCCATCCACATGACGACTCGAGCTGAGGCGTCAACGCCGAGGTTGGCTGCCCCCCCTCCTTCTGTGACAAACTCGTCATCCCGGAATTACAGCCAATTCCTTTTCTATATCAATGCAGTGCAGTCTGAATTAGCTGCAGTCTCTGTCCACGGTTGCAGCCAGAAGACCGAGTTCTGCAAGCCCTCCATTGACCTAGCCGCAACGACCGTTTTTTATTATTAGCCCTTTCATCATGTCGATGCCAATACTTGTGGCTCTGGGTGCTTTTGCCCTCCTCTTTCTCAGATTTTTGTTCACATTTGTCCAAAACCATCGCTTTGCCAAAGCGCATGGCTGTCAAGAGGCACGGCAACAGCCACAGTTCGAGCGCATCATCGGCTACGATAGCTTCAAACGTCAGGTCGCAATGTCCAAAGCCAAGCAGATCCTTCCAGATGGATTCCAACGTTTCGAGGACGTGGGCGACACCTTTTCCCTCGTTTCGATGGGCAGGAAGTTCTGGTTCACGAGAGAGCCAGAGAACGTCAAGGCAGTTCTTGCCACCAACTTCAAGGACTTCGGGATTGGGCGGAGATTCAGGGCCATGGGACCATTGTTGGGACAAGGAATATTTACCAGTGATGGTGCGCTCTGGGAACATTCGCGTGTAAGGGCCGTTGTCACAGGAGGAATGAGAGGATACTCACTACCTATAGGCCCTTGTACGTCCCAGCTTTACCAAAAGCCAAGTAGCGGACCTCGATACATTCGAGACGCATATCCAGCGTTTTATCGAGAAGATCCCTCACGATTACTCGACCATCGATCTTCAAGCTCTGTTCTTCCAGCTAACACTGGACAGCGCCACTGAGTTTCTCTTTGGAGAGTCCGTGGATGTTCTACGTAGCCCGCCAGGATCCGAGCAGCAGCTTTTCGGCCTTTCTTTTGACTACGCACAGAAGGAGGTTACGCAACGAACGAGACTTGGACCCTTCGTCTGGTTTTATCGAAATAAAGAATTCGATATTGCCTGTAAGCGGGTACATAACTTCGTGGACAAATTCGTTGCGAGAGCACTTGAATATCGACGTGCTCATCGGGCTGGCGAAACCACGAGTAACGAGAAAGAGAAGGGGAAGTATATCTTTGCGAATGAATTGGCTCTAGCCACCGACGATCCCATGCAAATTCGCGGCGAGTTATTGAATATCCTGCTTGCAGGTAGAGATACAACTGCGGGCCTGCTTAGCAACACATTCTTTGTTCTGGCACGTCGACCAGATATCTGGGCCAAACTCCAGAACGAAGTCGACCGGTTAGAAGGAAAGCGGCCGGGTTATGAGACATTACGGAGCATGAAGTATCTGAAGTTTGTTTTGAATGAATGTAAGTCTCGGCTCAAACTCTGTTCAGCTTGGAATCCAGCTCACATCAATTGAAGCACTCCGCCTGTACCCATCAGTTCCAGGCAATTCACGATTCGCCAATAAAGCCACCACGATTCCAGTCGGTGGTGGCCCAGATGGCAAATCACCAATCTTCATTCCCAAAGGTGGAACTGTCGCGTATTCAACCTACTCAATGCATCGCCGCAAGGACCTTTATGGTGAGGATGCAGAGGAATATAACCCCGACCGCTGGGAGATTTTGCGTGTAGGATGGGAATATCTGCCATTCAATGGAGGACCAAGAATTTGTGTCGGACAGCAATTCGCCTTAACGGAGGCCGGCTATACGATTGTGAGATTGCTGCAAAAGTTCGAGAAGATTGAGAGCAGAGATCCGACGCCCTGGTTAGAAAACCTGCATCTTACTTTGAGTTCAGGAAACGGTGTACAAGTCGCGTTATTTGCTCGATGATAATATTAATCTTAGGCTGTGTCCTTGACGGCTGGCGCCAAGGCTTCGCTGCTAAATGTTGCAGACTAGCTCAGATGTCTAGCAATTCCATGGTTCCTATGATGTTCAAAACTCACGAAGTTACATGAAACAAAACATAAAACATATGTAGAAGAGGCTCTCCATAAATTTTTATTACATATATAACGCTATCAAAGCTACTTTCTTGTACTCCACTACTAATTCAATGTATCACTCGCTTTGATCTTGTAATCCTTCGTGAAATCGTGCTCAATGCTCGAGGCTTTCTGTGATTCTGTTAGCAATATTCGACTGTTCTGATCCCGCACTCGTACCAGCAAGAACTTCTTCCTTGCTTCATCATCCCCTTCCAACTCCTTTAAAATCCCAAAGAATTTATCAGTTTCCACAACCGTCATAGGATCGCTTTTAGCCACCCTCTCGAGATTCTTGACACTCCTCTTATCAATATACCTCAGAAAGATATCCCTTCTTACGTCGGCATATCTATCCAGGATTTCTTCTCCAGTCTCACCTCTATACAGCCCAATCAAGCAGTCTGCCAGACCACCAACGTCGAGGGCAGCCGTCATGCATCCATAGCCGCCCATCGGATTGCAAACATGTGCCGCATCTGCAGCCAAAAGAATTCGACCGACTCGCATTTTCTCAACACAGCGATTGTGGATCTTATACATATTCGTCTGTTCGATTCGGTACTCCCCGGGTTTGGGGTGACCAGGAAATATCTTCTCGAAATGCCAGGCTCGACGCTCGAGATACTCTTCATCAGTCAAGCCACCCACATCACCGTACGTGACCCTCCAAAGGCCTCCCTTGCCACGTTTGGCAACTAAGCCCCAGTGATCGGGATCAACCATATAATTTCCCCCATCCCATCCATGCTTTTCGAATCCTTCGTAGAAGACCTGCAATTTGTCAACAGAAAGAATATTTGGACTACGAACGGGGAAGCTCACATTTTGAACAATGAACTGATAGTCAAATGTCTGACCTGGCCATTCTCGCCCGAACAAAGATCGTCTGACCGCGCTTGTCGCCCCATCACAGCCCACCACATAGTCGGCTTTAAATCTCGTCTTCTCCTTGCCGTCTCCCGTTTCAACATCAGCCCAAGCCTTGCCGTCATCCTGGCCAACTTCAACAACCTGATGATCAAATTTAACTTCTATCAAACCCTTCCCCTTCTCAATACAATGCCGATACATAATCTCAATGATTTCTGCCAGTTGCAAGATCGTCATGCGGTCAGGATGGTCCTTAATACACGACATATCAATGCTGGTAAGCTTCTGGCCATCCGATACTCGGCGCCAGCAGATCGTGGGAAATGTCGCGATGGATGCCGCGCGGATGTCGTCGAGAATTCCGGCTCGCCGGAAGACCCGCGTTGCGGGAACGCCATATTGCGTTGCTCGGAGTCGGGTGTCCAGATACGGGTACGCTTCTAGGACGACCGAGGGGATGTTCTGCTGTGACAAGAGAAGAGCGAGAAGTAATCCCGATGGGCCGGCTCCTACGATGAGGACCTTGTGCTTTGAGTCAGCTTTTTTGATCTGCTGAAGGAGATCTAGATGGAGCATACCTTTTCAAAAGCAGGTTTCGGTGGAGATTTTGAGCCCATTTTGAGATGGTATCCTAAAACCTCAGAATACTAGGTGGTGTTTCTCCCGATGTAATTAAACCTGGCTCATACTCACACTTCCTTTATGTTTGTTATTTCGCGCCAATCCTTACCTCCCTCTGCATGCGGGCCAAGCCGCCGCGCACGTGACCCTTCGTTGCTTTGCTCACCATCGCCCTCACCCACTGTTCAGGGAATACGTAAAACGACACCCCGAGGGGTGTCGATTAGGGGCTACTAACCTAAAGTAGAGGCGCTCGGACAAGAATACCAAAAATCTAACTTTCTCTTTAAAATAATTTTTTATAAGGAATTAATAAAAGTTAATACTTTCTTTTCTTTTATAGTACTAATTAAGAACTATTTAAATATAAGCTTTTTATAAAATATAAATTAGTAATAGTTTTTTCAAATTTAAAAGATTATAAAATAAATTTTTTATAATTTATAAATAAACTTAAAAAAGTTTAAATATTTAAAAAATAAGTTTTTAAATAAGATATAAAAGCCTTATAAAGCCTAAAAGCTAGAATTTAATTAATTAATATATAAATGCCTTTAAATTGAATTTTTATTTTAAGAAATGTTTTTATTATAAATTAAGAAATATATAATTATATTATAAGTCTTATAAAATACTAGCTTATATTTCTATTAAAAAACTAACTTAAAGTCTCTAAATATCCTAACTTTTAATTAATATTCTAATTAATACTTATAAGAATATTATTTTATATATTTTTATTATTTATATATAGTCTTTATTATATTACTTCTTTTTATATAGCTTCTTTTTATATAGCTTTAATAACTCGAAATATTTATTTATTCTTTATATATTTTTAAAACAAGCTAAATTTTAATAATAAAAGCACGCGCCTTTTTTAATATATATTTTAATATAAGCAAGATTACTTTTCAATTTTTTTAATTATATATTTAAATATATTAAAATAAATAATTATTCTTTTTTATTACTTATTATATTCGAATACTAACTTGAAATAAAGTAAAATATTTTAACTTAATTTTAAAACCATAATTCTTTTTTATTCTTTTAAAGATTTATTATATTATTTATTATTTTTTAAAAATAAGTTATAAAAAGATTTATATTTATTTTAAAGTATTAATATACTAGTATTAAATATTATAATAATAGTATTTAGGGCTTAAAAAGCAAAATAAAAGATCTTTTATAAAAAACGATTTAAAGCTAAAGAAAAGAAAACTAAAATATAAAAAATTACAAGAATATAAATATGTTCTTTATAATATATTAGCTTATAAGGAGATTAGTATTCTAAATATCTTTATATATATTTCAAGTATATTTCCTTAATAATATAAATATATTATATATATAATTATATAACTTAAAAATAATTAAAGGCAATAAATGTGATTATAACGGCAGGAATAAAATAATGGAATAAGGCACAAAGATTAATAATTCCAATGTCTTGAGAATTTAAAGCTAAGGAGAGAAAGAGTGAGGTGTGGCAGTGGATAAGTAGGTATGGCCAAGACCGCTAAAACGCCGAGCTTTGGAAGCGAGCTTGGTTTGAACCATAGCTTGGAACCTTAGCTAAAACCATATCTATATTAACCATATAATACTAGCCGTCATATTATTCCCCCCCTCCAAAAAGCTCGACCCGAGTGCCAGAATCCAAGAGAGTACAGGAAAATAAAGGGAAAGCTAAAGCGAGTATAGTAAAATTAGTAGGATAAAGGGAAAGGACCCTATTTCCAATCGCTAGCCGCAAAATCAGCCCTCTATCCGTTCCGCTGCCGCCAGGGACGAATTGGTCCGTGCACACTTGTTTTCGCTTAATTCTGGCCAATCAGAGGGCTGGATTTCCCCCTCAATTACTTTAATTCTACCTCTCTCTATGAAATACATCAAAACAACCACGATTTTTATATAGGCGAACATCGCATTGCTTGCACCCATAGAAGCTATCTCTCCTATAGCTCTCTCGCCCCTGATTGGCCGCAATTTGAGCTAGTGCGATTCGTTTTTGTGGCCGGTCTCCATATCTCAGTCCCTTATAGTACACACACTTCCCAATTTTACTAAGCTTTATCTGCTCGTGCTTTCCCACAGGCACCTCACTAGCTCCCTGGCTAATCTGTAATATTCTTCTCTTTGGGCAGATCTCACTGTCCTGGGCTTTAGCTAGTAGAGTACTAACTAGCTGTCTCCTGAAATCCTGCTGGCTTCTGAAGCTTATTTCCCTAGGCTCAGGGACATCGCTATATAAAGCTAGTAAATAGCAATTGACTAGAACCGTACGAAGTAGCCAGTGCTCTAGTGCTTGGTGCCCTCCTCGCTCTACGTGCCGTAAACCAGCGTTCTGGGTAGTCAGGTGATCAAACTCGTCAACTGCTCCCATATAATAGTTATATCTATCCGCAATTACAGGAATTGAGAGTATCTTTGTAGCCTGATTACCAAAGGGTATTCGTACAGTCTTTGCTTTAGAAGAAGTCTCCTTAGGCCTCTTCCTTAGCCGTAAAATACGCTCGTCACCTGATATAAAGGAAGACATTATTAAAACAAAGGCCTGATCTTTCCATCTAATATGATATACTTCTCTATTAGATATATACCTAGAATAGGTCTCTCCCCAGGGGATTATATCCTTTTTATCCGATTTCTGAAGGTCAAGAAGCTCCTGAATAACCCTACCAGTTGTCCTACAAGTCCCAGTAATCGCAACTCCTTGAGAGCGAGTATATTAGATAAAACGAGTAGAAACAAAGAGATTATCAAGGTATACGTGATAGCCAGAGCCCTTAGGAGGCTTAGGTAATCTTTTAATCAGGTGCAGGACTACTGCTTGTATCTTGTTTCCACCATTTCCAGCCTTAATTGTCCCACCAAGCTCCCTAGGAGTACGTACTCCCACAGGGCCATTTTTTTGACCAGGAATATGCCAGTTCCATACAAGTAAGAACCCCCTCTGAGCTGCTCCCCAGACCTTATATCCTGTAGGTGTGGGCTTGTTTGGAACAGTAGTTATCTCTTTTGATCGACCTTCAAATCATATAATTATATCGTCAACTGCCAAGTCCCGTCCAGGCTTCCAAACCCTCAAATTAACCGCTTGAATGTGTGTACTTAAGGCTTCGACCTACTCGGTAGTTTATTAGCTAGTTTCAGGTAAAAGGAACAGGAAAATGGAGGCTACCTTCTCATATGGGCCTTGTTCCTGATTTCCATGGAATCGCATACGCATATGGAGTTCCTGAAACCGATTTCTACCCAAATACTTCGTAATCGGGTGCTCTGGTGTTATATCTTTTATTGCCCAGTAGTCTGTAATCTTACTGTCTACGTACAAGGTCATATATATCCGAATCGCAAAGTAGATATAAATCTCTCTACGGCATGTTGGATACTAATTATTTGCTCGTACGTAAGGGGAGGATTCGTCTTGAGGTTTTCGCATATAATTATTTGTCTTCTCGACTATTAAATCAAGGATTTCGTAAGTATAGTATATAGTAAACAAAGTAATAGGATCATCTGGAGAGACGTCTTCAGATAGGGTGATTTCCCAGCCGAATTGGGGTAATTGCATCGGCTTAAAAGCACTCCCCTGCTTCCGCAGTGGATCCTCATTAGGCCGAAGGGTCCCTTTATCGGTGGAATCAAAAATAGTGTCGTTTGGCATCGTGGTTGTGGTGTAATTAATCAATTAGGTGGTTTGTTTACATGTAAATATCAAATCGTGGTTTTGGTGTTCCTCCGGAATAATAGTTATTCCGGCCCCGAAAATTCGTCCCTGGCGGCAGCGGAACGGATACACGATTTAAAGCCGTATCCAAGGCTGGCCCTCCTCCAGATTCGCCAGAATCGCTACCAGAATTATCGTCGTCAATTACGGCAATAGTAACCCGCTTGCCAGAACCAGAGGAAGTGCTTTTAGGTGGCCAGATATAGTTCTTTACCTGGTGGCCGTGGGAACCGTACCTAAAGCACTGGCCAGATTTCCGATAGTCTTAACGGACCAGTGCGAATATAAGGGCACTAATTATTAATTCGCTAATGTCCATGGGATCGCTAGCAATTCTGGGAGCAGTCTGGTACGGTAGAGCGGCTGTTTTTAACGAGAGCTACTGAACTATATATAGGAAATTAGCGTAAATCCTGTGTAGAACAAGCTACTAGGCCAAACAAGAGCGAATTGCGAAAGCTAGATATTTTATTAATATCTGGCTAGCTTTGGCTATTCGGTTCATATAGGGTACGTTCAAACTTGGCTATATAAGCAGGAAGGGAATCATTGCCTTGGCAGAGCGCATGCAGTTTGTCCTTAGCCTCCGATTATTTATTTGGATTATTATATATCCGCGAAAGCTAATCCAGGATTATTTAGTGGTCCCACAATTGAGTATGCTTCGCATAAGAGAGCTATGGCAAAACCATGGACTAAACGAACAAATCAAGGTTCAGGTAAACATAGTAAAATTGAGCCGTAGTATCTCTAATTGCTATACTATCCATAGCAAGCTTTGCTTTAATAGAAGATAACCAAGTATCGAATTTGTATGTGCTCCCAGTAAACTTCTCAGGATCAGGGAGCTTTGGATAGGGCCGAGAAGCTTGGGTTTTCGCAAGAGCTACCTATAGAGTAGCGATTTCCGAGTATAGGCCATCGAATTTGCGCTAGACTTGCGTTTGGAAGGTATCCACTCTTAAGAGAATATCGGTAAAGTTAGTACTAAAAAAGATCTTAAAAATGGGGGTATTCTCTAATAGGCCGGACAGACAGAATAGGTACTTGGGAATAGTATGGTACTTTACCAAGCCAGACAGACAGAGGGTATTGAGAGCTATATTTCACTAATTAGACAGATAGAACAATAATAAATAAATAGAAGGTTATAGGCTTTATAATACTAATATTCGCTACTGAGAATATAAGGAGCTTTAAATAATATAATAGCAAGAATAAAGTAATAAAACAAGGTATAAAGATTAATAATTCTAATATCTTGAGAATTTAAAGCTAAGGAAAGAAGGAGTAAGATATAATAGTAAATAAGTAGGTATAGCTAAGACTACTAAAATGCCGAACTTTGGAAGCGAGCTTGATTTGAACTATGGCTTGAAACCTTAACTAAAACTAATTCCTTTGGCTAAAGCCATATTTATATTAATTATATAATACTAGCCATTATAATAAGTAATACTAATTAAGTAATACTAATTAAATAATACTAATTAAGTAATACTAATTAAGTAATTATATTAGCTAACTAAATAAAAGACTAAATTATAATATTACTTCTTTTTTTTCCAAATAAGTTTATTCCCGAGCTTTATAAAAGCTAGTAATTCATTTTATTTTCTTATTATTTTTTTTCGAGTTTCTAATATTTTATATATAAATATTTTATATTAAAAACTCTTGCCTTTAATATATAATCTAAAAGAATTTATTATTATTTTTATATAATTCCGGGCAAGTATTATTTTTTATATAATTTAATTAATATTATTTTTTTATTTAATAAAATATATCTAGTATTAAATAAAAGAAAAATAATTATATATAAGCTTTTTGAAATATAATAAAGTGAGATAAGGCTTATATATAGTTATACTTCTTTTATTAATACTTAATATATTTTAAGGAAGTTTTAGTAAATCTAATATATTAATATTACTATTATAAAAGTATTATAAAGCCAGGAAGTAATTATATAATATTAAAGCTAAATATTATTCTGGATTTTTATTTTAGCTAATTTATTAGATTTTATATTTTAGCTTATTTCTTATTAGCTTAATTATTATAATCTATTTAATATTATATTTTTATTTATTATTTTCTAATATTATTAAAAGTAATTCCGGATTTATTTAATTTAGTAAAGAGTTCTAGAAAAACTTTTTATAACTTTTTTATATAAAAAACTAAATATATTTTTATAATTTCTAATAGCTTTAAAAGAAATAAATAGCCATATTTTTTTAAAATATCGAATAAATCCTCTATTTAATTTCTTAGCTTCTGGCTCAAATAATTAGATTTCTAATATTTTATAATAACTTATATTTTATTTTTAACTTTGAAATTAATTAAATAATAATATTTATTAACTCAAATTATATATTATTCTTATATCTTTTTTATATAACCTTAGGCAAGTTACTAGAATTTATATAATTAATTTATTAATATTTTAGTTTTAGTTTTATTTAGTTTTTTTTTATAAAATAAAATAACTTTAATAAAAAAGTTCTAGTTTAAAGAAAAATAAGATTTATAATTCTTTTTAATTATAAATAAAAACCAACTAATAGTTTTATATTAAAGAAAAGCTTATTAGTAATTAATTATAATTATTTATTTATTTTAGTTATTTTAATAATAATTAATATATAAATATAATTTCTAATTAAAGCATTAATTAATAATCTTTATTTATTTAGAAATAATTAATTATTAAAAGTTTAAGTTTAATATTAATTCTTATATAAAATTAAGATTAAGAATTAAATATAAATTAAAGTTTCTAATTTAATACAATTATTTCTAAAATACTTATTTAATATATTATATAAAATAAAAATATTAGTTATTTAGTTATAATTATATTTTATATAAATATACTTATTATATTATAATTTGCTTTATCTTTTAAATAATTCTTAAAATCTATAATAATATATTATTAAAAGCAATTAGGAACTAGAAAGAAATCAAGTAAATTAGGCATTTTATTTTTTAATATATATAATTTTCTATAAATATAATAATTAGTATAATATTAATTAATATTTTTGCTTATAAATAACTAGTAATATTACTTTTTAAATAATTAATAAACCTTTATATATTTTATAAATTAAAGTAGTTTATAAAAGTAATTTAGTAATTATTTTATTTTTTATAATATAATATTTAAATATTACTTTTAGTTTAAGCTATTATATATAGCTTCTTTAGCTTTAATAATATATAACTATATTATAAGATTTTATTTACTAGTTATAAGTTATTATATTTAAAAAGAGCTTCTAATAATACTTTTATAAAAGTAATTATAATAAAGGCTATTAGTAAAGCTTTTAAAAGAAAATCTTTTTTTAAAGAAATTATATCTTTAATAAAGATATACTTTTCTAAAAAGTCTTTAATATATATTTGATTTTTAAAGCCAAATTTTGAATTAAATAAGCTGATTTTATAAAGAATTATTATAAGCTATAAGTTATAAATTAATTTTTCTAATTTAATTCTTATTAATATTTATTAGTATAGCTATTTCTTTGGGAGTCACGTATATAGTTACGGGATACGGGATACGGGTTATAGGTAATGAGATATGGGTAATAGGATATAAGTAATAGGATATAGGATACGGGATATAGTTATATAACCTCGTATCCTATTAGTAACTTGACTAGTAGACTAGACTCCTTTAGGCTTAGTAGATTTAGGAATCACATATTAATACTATAATATTATAATCCTTACTTCTAAATAATAACTTTACTAACCTTATATAATTAGTATTTTATAACTATATAATAATATTATATATTTCTGGTAAACTAATACTAATTAGTTTATAT